TTTTTCTGGCTGAAATTTTCGAAAAGGTAAGTTTTGATCCCTATAATTTTCGGATCACTAGAGACTTTCAGCTAGGAAATCCGAACAGATGAAAAATTTTTAGGAATAAAAATATGCCCATATTTACCGTTTAAATACTAAAACTGACGGTTAACAATGTTATGTTTAAGTAGTTTTGAACTATATTCTCGTTGAGTGCCCCTGTAAAACGACGTCTAAAACCTTCACACCAAGAGCAAGTTTCTTACACAGACGACAGACCACCATGTCAGCAAACAGCCAGAGTCTTTCTTTCGCTTCCTCGATTTTGGCGTAGGCGAGTATATTTATTGCTTACGACAGGTGTAGTTCCATGCTATCACCAAGAGCCGTTCTTTGTCTGTTCTATCAAAGTAGCTTTGTACATGAAGTGAACAAATAATAGCAGACCATGCAGCGTCAAGTGGTCGCTTACAAGAGGTTAAAAACAGTGATCAATAGTTACCCCCAAAGGTGGTCGCAATGGGAGAGCTGATAATGTTTACTAATGGCTCCATCAGTAGGCTTTCAATGGCAAAAAAAAAGATGGTTTGGATATAGGTGATCGCTTTCCGGACGTAGTCGCATACGAGAGGTGGTAGCTCATGGAGATAGAAACGAATTCCAGAACATGATGAGCCAAAAGGCAAAAAAACTGACCCTCTGGTGCCCCCGCCTGAGTAATCCTCAGGACCGGGTTGTTCAAAGCTGGGTTAAGATAACCCATGGTTAGTGTGAAATTTGAATTCAGATATGAAAGCTTAAAAATTAAATTCAGTTTAATTCTTTTTGTCAGCAAGTTGATGATTGGATGCTCTTAAAAATAACAGAGAAAATTATCCGAGAAAATGTTTTTTAGCAAAAGAAAAAGAAACCCGGGTTTAATTTAACCCTGGGTTAAGGGCTAATCGGCCTTCGAACAACTGGGCCCAGGTGATTAACGGCTTAAAACCTGCTTGATGAGGTTTAAAACAACAACATTGCTAATATTACCGAAAAGAGTATTGTTATGTAATATTGTTCACAGCCCTTGCATTCGGCTCGATTTTCGTTGTTGGGGGGGGGGGGGGGGAGGGGGAGAGGAGCTCATTTCCCGAACAGCGGCTGGTAACCGAGCCTACCTTGCAGTGACAGTCCCTTTGCATTTTCCTTTTAGAGATTGTCGAGCGCGCGTATCGCGTATGAAAACTGTAGGGGATTTATTGGTCAAAAGAAGTAGGCTCAGTCTCCAGCCTTGGTTGTCTCATGCGCCCGCGGTACTCTAGCCTACGTGTAGCCGCACCCTCCTCCCGGCAAAGGAAAAAGGGGGAGAGCCGAAGCTCTCTCTCTCCGTTTTTCCTTTGTAGGGGGGAGGGTGCGGCTACACGTAGGCTAGCGGTACTCTCAACCGAGGCTGGGCTCAAGCTAAGGGACTAGCTATTGTTAAAACTGACCAATCAGAAGCCAGCCCGAAGAAATTTGCGGTCTGGTTTCTGAATGGTCAAGTTTTAGGATTGGAAAAATCAATTAGTTTGAAAGCGGGAGGCTATTTCAGTAAACAATAACGGGCAATGTAAGATTGAAAATGGTTGCTTGTTCGGCGCCTTGAGGTTGTTCTGGATAGTTTCAAGGCAAAAGAGAGTCTGGCTTTGAAGGATCCGGAGCCTATTCTGGTTCGAGAAAAATTTCTTATTCTACCAACGAGTTCATAAAAATCTTTAAGTTTTTATCTTTTCGCGTGGTATTTAATTGGATTATATGGAAGGCAAACAAAATTTTAACCATTTTTGTATTTTTGTTCGATTGTACATGTTAGTATTAGTTCATTTGTATCAGTTATCTATGCTTACGAACTGCAGAGGCTATTATCATAATGGTAGTCTTTCCACTTCTTTCTCTTAAAAGGCCAAGTAAATTATCTAAATAAATAACAAAGGTTTCAAGGCAGCTAACCTCAGTGGAGGACAATTATGTAACTAAATTGCGTTTAGAAATAGATTCATTCATCTCAATCCGTGGCGCTACTTTGTGAAGTCGGAGTCACTTCATACATAAAACGAAAACTGCATAAAAAGAACCAGAAAAAATGTGCATTATTAACTTATATAATGTGCGAAACATAAACTTATGTTTAAACTCAGCTTAGATTCTGTTGCCTCACGTCCGTGCTTTCAAATAATGTTATGAATGAACAGATACAACAGACAAAGAAATTATTTCTTGCAAAACTTTATTCGTGGATGGGGAGTACTGCGGGCCCATCACCCAAGCCTAGCGTAGCAGGCGCTGCGCTTGTGAGCGCAAGAAAGAACAGGGCGCGCGAGGTTCTTTGGGGCAGGCGCTTTCTGTCGCACGCCCCTTTCCAAGCACAAGAAATCAGTAGCAGTTTACTCAATGCCTTTTTAAAGTTTGCTTCACTAGTTTACGTAAGATTGCAGCAGAGATCACAAACTGAAATATCATTACGTTTTATTCACTTATTTATTGAAAGGTAATTTAATCACATTTCGTCATAAGTACAATGTTAGTGTTTAACACTGAGTAACGCTTCATTTGCGATAATAATTGGCTTGTAGAGCTTGTTAAACTGTCTCAGAAGAGATTCTACAAAGCGAGACTGAGAAACGAAAAATATCCCTGAATTGAAAATATTTGCAGTCACGCTATTATCCATGGTCATACAGTATTTGAAACTATTTTGTCTTTAACAATCCAAACCTATTGTCTTGTGTATAAGAGTGCAAAAGCTACCTCTCAAATCGTGTATTTGGCTAATAAAAAAGTGTCAAGTCATAAAATATTATGCCACATAAGACACAGTCACACCGATTATAAGATGGACAGGTTCCTTGCTTGAAAACAGGTCTCAAGAATGTAAAAGTTCGTATATATCTGTTTTGGTTTCATTAACGGTCTCGAGAATTGGCTGGATGTTTTCCTTCAGATTAGTAACACAAATTTCCAACGCCTCAAGATTTGATCTGCATTGTTTACTGTGTTCTATGTTAGCTGCAAACTTCTTGTAGATCTCGTTCAACTCACTGGTCTTCCTTTCCCCTAGCTCTCCTTCTAGTTGCACCAGCTGGTCAGCCATTACCACGCTCCACTCGATTAAGTGTTCCTCGTTCGAGGCGTTTGGCACGTAGATTTGGTACTGCTTTTGATTTTGATTGAAAGCGATTTCAAACCTTCCTTCCCGACATTTCCTGGCAATGCCGCTCGTCATAGACAGCAAGATACCGACCCTAAACTGAGGAGAATTGGCGAGGTTCCTCTCGAATTTTTCAATTTCATCTCTATCTGTTGGTCGCTTCCTGTTCTTTACTTCGATCATGATCTGGTGGTTGTTTGGCGAATGAGCCTCAACGTCTGCTTTCCCCATCTCGGAAGACGTATCAATAAAGGTAAAACATGGGAGGTTCTGCGTTAGAATTGCTACTACATTTCGTTCGGCGCGATCTCCTTTCTTGTTGGGCTTTTCCAAAGTGTTAGAAATCGCATCAAGTTTCTCCTTGCATTCTGCAATCTGCTGCTGTACTCGACTTTCAGAACCTGTGACCTCGGTTTTGATATTCTGTTCTGAATAACCAATGTTTTGGCTCAGCACTGCTAGGGGTTGTACTTTCTGCGCTACTCCGTCAACACGGCTTGTCAATTGATCTCTGATTGAGGTCAAATGGCCGGATAAATCCTGTTTGAAGTCCGATACGTTCGTCGCAAATTTGGTCATGTTGCTGTTGACCGCCATAGTGACGTCTTGCTGTACTTTAAGGACTTGTGTTCCCACCTGCTCCGCGATTCTTGCAACAGTTTCATGAATTGGTTTCATTTTGGAATTGAGTGCATCTTCCATCATCTTCTGGTTGACATCTAAATTCAAGCTGGCGGATTCTTTGACTTTAAGTCCAAACTCAAATATCTTAACCAGGTCCTCGTCTGAGTAGGCTTGAACTGAACTGTCATATTTGTCCATATTTAGTTTGATATAGCGTGTACTGGCCGGTTCTTTCTCTTCCATCTGGCGAAATCGTTTGGGAGTGTGTTCCCCGTTGTTTGATGCCATATTAAAAGTAAATTCTACCAAAACGTTTCGGCAGTTTCTCTCAAGGTAAGAGCTCGGATGATTCACAATGATTTGAATACTACAAATGAGGTTCTCGGAAATATTAATAGGTTTCCTGGAAACTGATTGCAATAGTTACTGCTGTGTTTTGTCTGACTAGGTGTTTGATTGGCTAGTTAAGGCAAACCAAGCCGGAAGTGTGCCACAAAGTTTCCGAGAACTGTATACCGTAATTCCGACTACTGCTGCACAACACGTTTTAGTCGGCCAATCACAAATCACATTCACAATAAAAGAGTTTGACTTTGGTCGTTCGTTTGGTATCAAAGACGAATTTTTTCAAAAAAGAGTTTCAAAGTATCCGTGAACTCGATTGAATTGGAAGCACTTTTTTTGGCCAACCGTGAAAAGAAATACAGGAAAGGCGCGTCTGCGTGTTTTAACCCAGATACACTTTCTCTTTTTATCTCCAGCCTATAATAAACAAACTTGTTTTCGTACCAGACTCAGGTATTAATCACACCTTTCTGCTGACCTATCTTCTAAATTGCAGAAATTACAGAATCGCGCAGCTCGCGTTCTAACTTTCTCTAATTATGAATGTAGTACTAGTGAATTGTTTCAAAATTTAAAGTGGTCGAAACTTGTCCATCAGCGCGTAGTTAGTATAGCAATAATGATGCATAGCATTGTAAATAACACAGCTCCAAAATATCTGACTTCGCGTTTTGTTCGTCGCTGCGATTTAACTGGTGATAACCTTTAATAGAGAGAATGAATACAAGCTGGCTGTTCCACAACCCCGAACTGAATTTTATAAAAGAAGTCTTTCTTATAGCGTAAGTGTGTTATGGAACAGCTTGCCTCTGGAGGTGAGGTAATTGTCATCCCCTAATGTATTTAAGGCAAAATTAAGGGACCTTAATTTCGATTGTGAAATAATTTAAGTTAGCGATATGTTATTTTTACACACGGCCTCCTTAAAAAGGAGCTGTTTTCTTTTCATCTTTATTATTTTAGTTTTTATCTTAGATTCTAGTTTAGTTATGCAGTTAGTTTTCTATGCTTGAATGTAAATGTACCTGAAGGAAATACCGTGTATAAATAAAGTTACCATACTATACCATACCATACCATACCCTATTGGGGAATAGAATATGGTTAAACCCTTTTTTTCCTCGTCCCGTTCATTTGGTGCTTTTAATCCGGAATACAAAATCTCTTCTGGAGATGTAGAAATAGAAAGGTGGCATTGATGTGATACTAAATTATTTAAAGAAGCAGCGGCAAGCAGAATGAACCTTTTTAAAGTCCTTCCATAGTTGTGCGATAGGTATCATTGAAGTGATACCACAAGCCAATGAACTAGATCTTTTTCTATGAGGAGAGGATTTGAAAGCAGAGGACTCAATATAGACCTCTTTCATAATGCCGGACTATTAATATATTCTTTTATATGTATTATAATTAGCCTTTCGGACCTCGTTAGCATGTGCAAAATACAAAATAGTTCGTACTTTTAAACGAGGCCAGAAAGGCTCATTTATATCCAGCCGAATTTTTGAAAATGTTACCGCCAAATGGTCGACCTTTGCGTCCAAACACTTAAAGGGGAACTCCGGGAGAAAAATGACCTTTTTCTTAATGATTTGCCTACATTTGTTGTTTCAATTTTTGACTACTAAGTTAAGTGATTGTTCGTTAGAACGAAGATATTTCACCCTAAAGCGGAGTCAAAAATGCAAATAGCATTCCGCCATCTTGAAAATTGTTTGTCTGCTCAGAAATGGGTCAGCGTTTTCATTTATGACGTCAGAACGTCAAGCGTAATCCGATATTTACTCGGCTTCCAGTTGTGTACAACATTTTGCATCGTCTGCTTTGGGAGTTTTTGTTACCTTTATCACTCTTATAATGTCGAATTCTGGGTCAGAATCCGAGTTGTCCGACGAAGAACAAGGAGCTCAAACGTTTTCTATCCAGCCGTATCAGTTTGAACCGCGGGTAAACTCGGATGAGAGGGATATCAACGCTGAAAGTCTTTCTGGCGACGAGTCCATTGAAGGCAGCGAAGAATTGAATCCAAGACTGGAAAATTCCGACTGGTATGTGCTGTGCTGTTTGCTTCATTGTAATTCTTTTACCGATGTGCGAAATAAACTGTTGTTTGGCCCAGATGTCGTGTTCGTAATTGTTTCTTTCTTGTTTTGTTTCGTTTTGAGAGTCTTGAGTACGTAAACATTTCATTATCGAGCGGCCGACAAATTGTTTAGTGTTCCTAGTTTTCAATATGTCTTGCGAATTAGGTGCTGTGAACGTGAAAGCTGTTAAAAACCTAGCATAAATTCTCTCCTCCCCACGCAGCTGGACTTTTCAAGTAGAAGGGAAGGATTTTGAACAATTTTCTTGGCGCTTCGCTTTCTTTTATATAAGCTAACACTAGCACGGGTGCAAACAAAAAGAATTGTATTTTTGTAAATGTTGATCTTCACTTCACATAGGTTCTTTAAGTCAACAGGCGGCCGTTGTCCCGCCTAACCTATTTCAGGAGAGAATTTTATTTACATGTTTAACTATCTAAATTTGCCAGTGTCCTCACTTTCTTTACTAGCTTGTATAAACAGTTTTCTTCAACTCAAACAAAATTAATCTGCTTCAACATATTTTATCTACATATCACAAAAAAAGTTAGTAACATCTAAATCTTACGAAACCTTACATTGTTGTCTTAAATCAGCTCTCAGTTGCTGGTGTTTATCCAGCTTCTTAACCCGTACCTCATGTTAAATGTAGAACAATTCAGTTTTTGTTTCCCATCTATGATTTAGGTGCTCATGTGATAATTGCCAGATTATGGGGAGAGCGGAGGCATGCATATGCTGCCAAGAAATAGAGCAGGTTAAAAATAAGCTTAGTGAAGCAGTTACTAGTGGTGAATGTGAGGAAGAGCCAACATGCATCACGCAGCATCCAGGGTTCCATCCAGTGTGTATAAATAGATGGGTCCTGCAGACTGCATGGTATCAATATAAACAACAATACAAAGAATCTTTTGATGGTCCTGAAGACAAACTCTACAGGCACATAGCATACAGACAATTGGCCCGATGGTGCTGGGGAATCCTAGGCAAGGAAATTAGGGTTGTGCTTCCTTCATGTGCTGTAATGTGTATTAGGAACTTCTACCTCCACCTGGGCCTGAGGAGGAGTTTGTCTTTACAGGGTTTAAATATGCAGATGAGTGACATGACTTAAAACTGACATCAGGCTGCCAGTGTAAATGAGAAACTGTAAGCCACTTATGATGCATAATATACAGCTATAAAGAGGATATTACAAATAATTTGCTTACATTTTGTAAGCTGAATTTTTAAGCCTTTAGGTTTTTGTATTCTTATTTGACACTATGATATGTTGAAAAGTCCTATACACATGCATCCATGTACATCCATGTCTACACAGGTTATGAAAATGCAAATCTCCTTGTGAAAATCAAAAACATGGTGTGAATTAGGAAAACAAACCATGCTAGCTAAAAAGGTCTATTCCTCATTATTTGCAGCCAAAAAACCTCACAAGTGGTGAACTGTTCTTGTCATGTGGGTTTCAGTTTTTTACACGTAATTGGAATAAAAAGACATGGTGAATTGAGTTTCTTATTGTCAAGTTTGGAAAAAATTTCAGTGTTACTCTGATTGACTGTTACAAATAGGAAACCTCCAGGAAATGTGTCAAAGGCTCACTATTGTTAAGTCATCTATTAAATCTTGAACGATGTTGGCGTATTGCATCTGATTTACTAGGTGCTGGTTCTGAGGCAATGTTACTTGGTAGGTGTGGATGAAGTGGCTGTGCAGCTGCATTCCCCTGCTCAACACGACTGAGCACCTCTGAAAGTAGGTCTGACAAGAACTGATATGACTTCTTCTCATTAATTGGTTTGACAACCCATCTTTTATTTGCTTTTGGGAAGCAAAGCTTGTATCATGCCTCACCTGCCCGTTCACCTGACTTTATCACAGCTTGACTACGGCCAGTGTTAGCATTGTTGTCTAGAGCGGCTAGCTGGGTCCTAGCTACCATGCCCTGGTAAGAATAATGCTCGCGTTTGGAGGCATACTTCAGCATCATTGAATGGTACACCTCAATTTTACCAGTCTTTCTCCATGGCATTTGATGAGCTGACTTCTGAGACCTGGACAACATTGAATGCAACCACATCTCCAGAGTCCTCATCCATTAAAGTGTAGGTGCCATATTTGGCACTGTGGCCAGGGCTGTCACACCTGCCATCACCATCGAGATTTACAACTTCCTTGGAAGTCAGTCTGTCTACCTGCCGTTGACTCTCTGCTTCCCATGCCTCATTCACCACAGGGAACAGGTATTTACGCTGGGTGTCATAAAAGACACTTTCACTGAAAAATTGCAGGTTAAAACATGATGCCAGACGACTTATGGCAGCAAAGTTATTACCTGTAAAAAGAATGGATGCTGCCAGTAATAAATTTCCTAGAGGTTTCCTTTTTACAACAGGTTGTGACTCCCATGTCATTTTACACCCACTCTGGCACACAAGCTCTACAGATAACATGCTTCCAACAGTTTTCCTCTTCTGTTCAATGACAACATCACCGCATTCCTGGCATCTTTTAAATAAATTATTTAGATTTGAATTAAAGACTACAAATTTTTTTTCATTGCCGGGATTTTCAGGGAACTCATCTTCTGATTCTTCATCATCATCATCATCATCTTCATCAGCATCGCCATAGTGTTTTCCTTTAGGGGGAAATTTCCAGTGAGGATCTAGGTCCTCATCATCAACTTCATCATCTGTGTCGCTGACATGACCATCAACGTTGTCATCATCATTTTCCAGCCTTGGGTCTTCTTTGTGCAATTGAGTGAAAGGGGTGGTGCTAAAAAAGTTACCATCATAGGTAGGAAACACTGAACTGGGACATGCTGGCAAAGAATAAGTGTGATCCTTCAAAACCTTCCATTGTACAGCATCTACATATGGTGGGCGTTTTGTATAGGGGTGGGGGTAACATTAGCTTTGCCCTTTTTTTGTTTGGAATCCTCAGTTTGAACTGCTACACTTCTTAAGGTAAGAGGCTGACAGCAACACTGAATGCCAATGTCATGCACTCTTGGTTCTGAGGAGCCTGTTTCTTCATTATTTTCAATCTGGTCTTGATCTGAAGAGTCTTCCAAGACATCCTCTGAAGAAGAGCTTGACTCATCATCACAGTCTGGGAAGTCAGCAGCTAAAAGTTCTTCCACAGCCGGATGGGATAAAGTTCAATACTTACAGTCAAACCAGGTGAAGCGTTCCCGTCGCTAACGAACTAATAAATTCATTAACGGAAAAATGATTTCGTTTATTGATTCAATAATCCATTCATAAAATGAACAATCCAATATTCATATTCAGCCTCAATTCCATAATCGAATGTTGATTCGATTACTGTTTTTAGAAAAACTACACTTTTTTTGTCCTTTTTTTCTTAGAGTCGAGTTCGGGCGAGTTCTGAATTTCAAACCCAAACAAACTGTTACATGTACGTCATTTTGTTTCCAGTATTCACTGCAACGGACCTGACCTCTTAGGAAACACGATAGTGTAACTAAGGTCAGTGTATGTGCGGTGATTGGTGGATTTCGATCCCCGGCCTTTGTCAGTTTCTTTGTGTTTGCGGTCTGTCTCTTCTAGCTGTTATTTTGATTTAAGGCAATTACAAACGCAGTCGTAAACGGCAGGAAAAGGGAAGCAAAGACGATTGAACTCAACAGACAAGAATAAAGAACAGGTAGATTTTGTTAATAAACCAAATCAACATTTAATTATTGAATCGAGGTCCAATTTGATTGTTCGATTATTCATTTTATGAATGAATTATTGAATCAACAAACGAAATCATTTTTCCATTAATGAATTCATTAGTTTGCTAGTGACGGGAACGCTTGACCTGGTTTGACTGTAACAGTATTTTCTATAAATATTTTTGGAATGTTCAATTGTCTGTTTTTATCGTAATGTCGAAATAATGAAAAGTGAAATTACAGACTTGACATACAAAACTGAGGGCAAGGGTGAATTGAAGGATCTAACTTGAGGTAAGCACTAGGGAAAAGGAGAGAAAAAAACAGTTCTTATTAACATCTGTAACAGGCGGCGATTTTTAGTACACGTTGTATCTGCTACGTGGCACAGTCGACTGGATAAAAGTCTCTTGATGTGAGGTGACATTCAATTTCCCATAAGGTCATACAAGTTTTGAATTTTTTTACAAGCTTAGCTTTAGCAGCTTGATAGGATTGGAGTCCTAAAAATTTAAACCTATTTCACTCAGGTTTAGGTGTACAAACTCTCTTTTTACTTGCAAATGCCGTTGAATTAATTCTGCCTTATAGTGTTTTAAACCGAACTTGTCAGTTTCTCACTGAGTTCTAGATATGCTAGAGGCAAAACAGGAGCGTGAACTCTCAGAGGTCATCTAATTCGAACTGGACTGCAATCTCGTCGCGTCCGCCAAGCAGGCAAATCGAACAAGACAAGATTTTTGCAAAATAAAACAGGATGATGAAAATTTGCATGAGTGACAGTACTAACCTGTTTATGGTTTTGTTTCTGAAGGCGACTTTCAGATGACAATCGCGCTTTTTTGGGTTCCGGACCATATTTAAACAGAGACGGTATAGCGTCATCCCTTAAATGTTTTCGAGCCTTTTCGCCCATTAGTTGTGCACGGAAATCGATCTCAAAACAGCTGGGCAAGAAGTGTTCGCTGCAAACATGGCTGTTTTCCAGGGGTGGCATATCTACACGCCTTACTCGGTCGAGCCATGCCTTCCTTCTATCGTCTTGCGGGAACTTGTGGTAACTCACGGCTTCTCCCGTCTTTTCTGAGTAATTGTGGCAGTCAGGCACAACGCAGCTGACCATTTTCTCCTTTGCTTAATACAAACGGTCAAAAAAGGTTGAATTGGAAGCCACGGACACAATGCAAAGGGACGAAATAGAAAGACGTTCTGCCCTCATAGTTCTAATATACGAATCTCCCGCGAACCCTCCGCCAACCTTCAGGGCGGAAAAACGTAATGAGCATGCGTGAACTTTTTTGCCCAGATCCCCTGGCCGGGTTTGAAAAAATGGCGGGATTTCAAATATTTTGTTGCCTAAAAATAAAATGTTTCCACTCATTACCTGGAAAGAACAGGCAATTGGCCTTCAAAAGTTGCAAGCTGTGGTTATAACTTTGTGGTTACTTAATTTTCTCGAAGAATACCTCATAGTAAAACGGACTTTAACAACATTAATTTCCTTGCGTTGTACTGGAAAAGTGCATGCGTAGGTTCGATTTTTTTCAAGATGCATTCACAAAATGTGTTCATATACGGGACGTTCCTGGATATATAAGGTCCGGAGCTCCACAGTGGACACAAAAACAACATATCTTTGGACAGTGATTTGCCCAAAAAAATTAAGGCTTGCCCACAATGTGTTTGAAGTCACTGAACTTTGTCTCACTCGAGCTGATATTTTAAAACCCTCGCTCGATCGGACACTCGTAATTTCGCAGATCACTAAAATATAAACAAAATCCTCAATATAGACGTTATTGCGTTGATGTGTGGGCAGAAAAAAGGTCAATCTTTATCTGGTAAAATCTTCCCAAAAATAAAATCGGTTTCAAAGCAACTATAGTTTTTTAAACTTGCTCGTTTCGCGTAGATATATAAATTTTGCTTTGTGTTGTCAAGTTGAACACGCATAACATCTGTCAAAAACCTACGCGTGAGTAGGATTTCCTTCAAACGAAGTTAAAGTTATATTATTTCAAAAACTTCTTGCTGACAATGAAGAAATTAATTTTCTGTACGAAAACAACCTACCTGAAGATCTTAAAAGCAAAAGATGCAACTTGGCAGCCAAGCCATGATTCACCATTTAGCTATTTTAAGCTTAACTGGTCCTCGCGAGGGTCTTCGTTTAAGCAAATTAAACTAAGCCGATCATTAGAAAATACAGAAAATTGAACATAAGGGTTTGTTTTGCTCACCTCAGTCAAATCCAGCTGCAGCAATTGTTTACGGGAAAAGAGTCAATTGTTTTGAAGTCACTGCCGGCAGTTGTCGTTCTCAACTTCACAGCGAGTGAAAGGGACAATTTGCGTACAGAAAGTTATTCTTATAAAGAACAGAAACTTTCACAGTGCACTGGAAAACAATACTATGTAATGAAAAATGAAAAAAAACTCTGACTACTATTACTTGAGCAATAGAAAAATGATCCTGAGTAAGCTTGCTGGCCTTCTATTTCCGAGGAAGTTTAATAAGCGCACCAGTTTGCTCACTCTGATGCGTTGTAAGAACAAAATGGTTGTTTGACTGACGACAAAGATAAAGCTGGTTCTGCAAAGGTAATAAATCTGGGCGTGTAAAAAAAGAAACCGTAACTACTAATAACAAAGTACAAGCGGGTTTTATGCTTTAAAAATCAGCGAATCCAATACCATGTAACTATTTGTTACTCGCGAAAATGAAGTCAGACAGCCCGCTAATTTTTGGTAGTAAACAAAGTTAAACCTTGGCTCTTTCCATCAGCGCTTAGTTAGTAAAGCAATAATGATGCATAGCATTGTAAATAACACAGCTCCAAAATATCTGACTTCGCGTTTTGTTCGTCGCTGCAATTTAACTAGTTATAACCTTAGAGAGAATGAATACAAGCTCGCTGTTCCACAAACCCGCACTGAATATGAATAATACAATTATTCGGATTGTGACTATGAAAGCTGCCATCGAAGATAAAACCTTACAGAAGCATCAAAAGTTTTATCATCTATTAAGGAGAGGATTCCAAAGCAGAGGGCTCAATATAGACCTCTTTCATAATGCCGGACTATCAATATATTCTTAGATAAGAATGTGCAAAACGAGGAGAGAAATTAAGGCCGCAGCTTATTTATATCTAGCCGGATTTTTGAAAACATTACAGCAAAATGGACCTGTTGCGTCCAAAGTAGCCACTATAAAAACTAAGATTACAACCATGTTTTTTCATTCTCTTCTCCTCCTTTCTTCCTCCTTGCTATTTCTTTTTCTCATTTTCTTTCCTTTGTTAGTGTAATTTTGCAGCTTATCGGGCCCAAAAAGCCTGCCTGTTGGCGCCTTTTCACTCTAATGACTGCAACTTTCGTTAGTTTAGTTTCCAAAAAATCTGCTAGATATACTGACATATGAAAGAATAAATGAATGGTCCGCCATTATGAAAGAGGTCAATACCAGTTTCGATTTCCTATAATTTGATTTATTTTCATTCTTTCAATAGGCGACAACAGTACTACAGTCAAACCAGGTCAAGTGTACCCCCCAAGAATACATTAATGAATTTATTATTCAAAAGTTGAATCCGTTGCTAGTTGTAGATTTCAGATTGATCTCTGCATTCTTGCATGTGTAATGAGCCGTGAATTCACACGCGAGGCAGTTATGAAATTTCTACCAGCTCCATTTTCCTGAAATTGATGTAAATGTCTTCTAAGAAGCTTAATCCATTCAAAGATTTCCAATCTGACCAAATACAGAGAAGTTCTCGTAAAATATTCACTGCTCATTACGCATGCAGAAATGCCGCTTTGAATTTGACACCAGTTACGGAAACGACTAACGGATTCATTTTTCAAATAATCAATTCATTAATAGAATCTTGGGGGGTACGCTTGACTTGGTTTGACTGTAAAAGTCACAAAGTCACAAAAATCATATACCGTAAAAACTCGTGTATAAGCCGCACTCTTGCATAAGCCGCACCCCCAACTTTCAAGCATGATTTTGAAAAAAAACAAAAAACAAAAATGCGCTTTTGTAAAAAAGGTGATCGTTTGTTCGCGCATCAAAATGTTCACAAATAAACTTGAGGAAATTTAATGTTGTGTATTTGCAGTGACATTTTAAATAAGTTAATCAACTCTGAAAATACCGTTTAAAAGGTTCTCTTTAATCAATTTCCCCATTTCCTGCGAAAGACAACAGTTCTCTTCATTGCTAAAGCCCACAGTTGAAATGAAAATGGAACGATGGAACGAAAATAAAGCGCTGGAGAATGCTACAAAACGATTGCTTAGTAACCACGCGTAACGTTCGCTTTCGCATCAGCTGTGCGTGGATATCATGTTTATAAAGACGTATGGAAACCATCGATCGGGGAAAAGCTTGTTGCTAAACGAGAGTTTAACAACCCAGTGGACAAACACGCCGTGAAAGTAGTGAAGGACGACGAAACGGTCGGCCATTTGCCTCGCGAATTCTCTCGAATAGCGTGGTATTTTCTTGCACGTAGTGGGGAAATCAGCGTTGAAGTGATCGGTCGCAGACGACACTGTAAGCAGCTGTGCTCCTTTAGGAGCCACCACTTCTACTGAAAGCAATGATCAACGACAGGTTTCAATATGTTTAATCTTTATTTACTGAAGGTTTTCAGTTCAATTTGTGACCCCTACAAGCCTGTTTACTCCCTTTGAGAGCAATGGTCTCGTGTATAAGCCGCACCCGCGATTTTTTACTCAAAATTTCGGCAAAAAGGTGCGGCTTATACACGAGTTTTTACGGTATGTATGATTTATTAGTCAATAACAGTAAAGTGTGTTATAATTCATCACTGACATATATAGCACTGGAAAGTAATCCGAAACATTTCTTTTTAAGTAGATTATTTCATTATAGGAAAGAAGTGGGCCGAAGGACTTAATGAGTCCCTTTGCCATATATCATCGAAACGTCGGATAGCTATACTATTTGCATTTCTACTTGTGGTTTTTAGTAAACCTTAATCACGGCCTACATTATGAACTTTTCGCTTATACAGTAATAAAAGCACAATCATAACACACTTTTATTAGCATGCACTACGGCTCAAATGAGAGATTCATTAGTCTACCTGCACAGCAGGGATAGGTTTGCCTGCAGCAGTCGCCTCTGAATCAATTAACTTCTTAAGATTCTTCCTGGTTTTATCGATACTTTTAAGAATGAAATTCATACTTTCCTTCAAGGCCTTAGCTGCATTTTCAAGCGAAGTTAGATTGTCCCGACAAGTCTTTTCGTGGTCTTTCGTTTCTTGAAATTCTTTGTATAGCTCCTCAAGCTTTTGAATTTGGCTGGTACCAAGGTCTCCCTGCATTGACTGGGCCAACTCGTCGGCCATTAACACACTCCAAATTATCAGTGCTCCATCCTTGCCCGCATTCGGCACATAAATCTGGTATTGATTCTCCCTAAATATGACTTGGAACTTTCCAGTTTTCGCTTTGTTGACGATTCCGCTTTTCAGAGATAAAAGGATACCTGCTCTGACATCAGGAGAGCTCGCGAGGTTACTTTTGAAGCGATCTATTTCAGATTGAGGCACGTTACTACTGTCGCGATTTTTCACTTCAATCATGAATTTGTGCTGGCGCAGAGACACAACCAATATGTCACCTTTTCCTGGTTGACGTGAAACATCCTTCACAAGGAAGTTAGGAAAGTGCTCTTCAAGAAGCTTCATCACTTCCTTTTCACCAACATTGCCTCTCACGTAAGGTGACACTTTCAGCGAGGTAGACAGCTGTACTAGCTTCTCAGACAATTCACTTTGAATTTTTCGTTCAATGGTCTGCAAACTTGTTTGGACTGGTTTCATTGCTGCCGAGAGCTCGTTCTTCAGATAACTTTCACTGACATCCACAGTCACCGTGGTAGATTCTCGGATTTTAAGACCAATTTCAAATATCGCTACGAGTTGTTCGGAAGAGAGTTCTCTCACCCAGTCTCGGTATTTTGCCATATCCAGCACAATTGTTCGAAAGCTGTCACCATCTTCCGCTAACTCTGATGATCGCCGAGACCGCTTTGCAGTCGGTTCTTCCACATTTATAGAACTGGCCATGGGATATTCACGAGGGTGTGTTATTTTTGTCTCTTCAGTTTCACGTAGAAGTGGTCCACCGAGATCGCGTATGTCCTGCTTTCTCGGAAACATGCACGATTTACAGTTCCTGTTTCATTCTAATATATTTCAATCGCGTGATTGGCTGCTATAATTAGGAACCAATCACGCGATTGTAATTAAACAAAGAATGAATAAAAACGAAACGCACATCTTTCCGAGAAAAGCGGGGCATGAGGGACTTCAAGTAGGCTTGGATAAACTTTACCGGCAGCGGAATTTGGAGCAGAATAAGGGATTTTTGAGGCGAGCATTCTGCCGGTACTGAATCATAACAGGCCAGAGCCCCGATTTTAAGTACTAGGCGACTTTGAAAGACACGTGCTTCACGTATTTGTGGCGGATTAGAATGCCGGCTTGGTCAGAAGCCCCTTGTTTAAAACATGGCGGGATACTCGCAGCTTAAGGCAAGCATGTGCCTTGTAGCGTCAAAACAAAACCCGATCCATATTTGATTGAAAGTAATTGTACAAATCTGGTACCAGACAAACCGCTTTTAAAAAGCAAAAAACAAAACTAGTTTACGGTTACTTCTCATTAACTTCACTTATCAAAACAAATATTTACTTTTATCAGTTTTCCCGTTTCTTTCAAAACATCCTTCATTTCGGGGCGTTTCACTGTAGTCAATGAAAGACACGTTTTATCAGTCTTTCTTTACGCGGGAATATCAACGTTTCCATCTTTTAAAACGCGATGAACCAAAGCTCGTAGGGTACCAAAGCGCCAAAGGCGCACGACGCAGTCCCGGTGTTATGTGAGCACCCGTTAAAAATATTGAACGCCAAAACTATCAAGTTTTGGTACAGCGAGAGGCAGCTAGTTTCTGTACGACCTGTACGCAAAGGTTAGTGCATGGACAGGCTATCGAAAGAAAATAAAAGGGATGCTTGGCCAATGGATAGCAGGCCTAACTACGCAAATAAATGTCTCATTACACCCTTGTCCGCGAGGTTAGTACTAAATTTACTCTCTAGAATACATTACACAACTCAATCAGCAACACTTTGCAAGTAGAATTGGCGATCAGTGTGGGCAATTTATACTTCTAAGGGACGTCCGTCGCACAAAGGCTTAACGCGCGGGGGTTTTTAGTCAAAGACTGACTTAAGAGTTTCGTCACGATCGATCCAGTTAGAGTGCGATAATGTGCGCGTGAACTTTGCCTACAACTGGCAATAAGCTGAATAAACCGGAAGCTGAACACCATGAATAAGTTACTAATTCACATCGCTCAGGTTTATAGGTGGATATTAAAAATCGTATTTTCTCAAGTTCCAGAGGGGTTTTTCGCGCATTCTGTTGCGCAGTTTGGCAGTGATATACCGAGCATCAGACAGGTAACGCACCGAAAGGCACCATTTTCCTCTTCTTCTACCAAACAATTTTTCTGGCAATGGTCTTAGTACTGGTCTCGTTGCCCAAGGCTTGCACGAGCAAGATACGGTAATCGAGAGTCGAGAATCGATATTGTACTCGGGACAAGAAAAGGTCGCCGTCCAAGGAACAACTGATGCAATGCAAGAGCTTCAAGCTGCTGAGAATCGCCAATTCTGGATTATAACAAGTGAAGGAACTCCTGAGAAGCGTCCAAATTATAAAGGAACTTTGGAGGCCAGTCACCCACGGTGATTGTCGCACCACGCATAAAGTAGAATAAATTTGTTAGCCTGTTCTTGTGTTTACCACAAATCACTTAAAACTATAGGGAAGGTGCACTATAAACTCTGGAAAATGAAAACTCAATAATACTATGGTTGACGACTGACAGTTTAAAAGAGAGACAACCTTCACCTCAGAAACTTGGGCGCGCCGCCTGTAAGCTCTGAGGGAGAGGGTAGCCCCATAATTTGGCCTATGTCAAAAACAAATGACAGTACAAAGATGACCTACAATTATAATTTGGATAACGACCGACATTTCAAAAGAGAGACTACCATCACCTCAGAATCTTGGGCACGCCGCCTGTAAGCTCTGATGGAGAGGGAAGCCCCATAATTTGGGGGCTCCTGATTTGGCCTATTTCAAAAACAAATGACAATACAAAAATAACCTACAATAATAATTTGGAAAAATGACCAACATTTTAAAAGAAAGACTACCATCACCTCAGAATCTTGGGCGCGCCGCCTGTAAGCTCTGAGGGAGAGGAAAGCCCCATAATTTGGCCTATTTAAAAAACAAATGACACTACAAAAATAACCTACAATAATAATTTGGATTATGACCGACATTTTAAAAGAAAGACTACTTTCGCCTCAGAATCTTGGGCGCGCCACCTGTAAGCTCTGAGGGTAGCCACATAATTTGGCCTATGTCAAAAACAAATGACAGTACAAAGATCACGTACAATTATAATTTGGATAATGACCGACATTTCAAAAGAGAGACTACCTTCACCTCAGAATCTTGGGCGCGCCGCCTGTAAGCTCTGAGGGAGAGGGTAGCCCTATAATTTGGCCTATTAAGTAAAAAACAAGTAACAATTCAAAGAGAACCTGTAATAATAATTTTTGCATTATGATTAACAATTCAAGGAGACTAAAATGAATGATATAGTGTCGTGACTTGCGTTACCGTACTTACCTGTTGTAATTTACCTTCCGGTGTTGACAGATTTATTTAGGATTAGTTTTTGAACTTTGAACAATCAGACATTTGATATAGTTTAAGTAAGGAATGCATGGTTGGTAATCATAAGGGAACCAAGATCAGGGTGTGAGCGAGAGAGATTAAAACTGTTTTCAATTCAATCAATTGTGAGTTCTTTTGTCGGTGTTACCGATTCCCGACAAAAAGTGGCGACCATGCCAGGACCGATTCTCAAGGAAATCGTTTTCTGGAGTTCGTGATCAGTTTCACGTGAAGAATACAACGCAGCGAACAGACCACGTTTGTAAACAACATGACGGAGCTTGAACAAGCTTTGAAAAAGATCGACTCTAAATTACGCCTGTTGAAATTTACGCGCGATGATGTACCCAGAATCCAAGAAAAGAATGAGCTAAAGGCGGCAGAGCGATTGCAAAAAGCCTTGGAGCAACAGATTGATAGCGTTCACGAACAGATGGTAGAAATTCAAGCGCTCAAAATAGAAAATGGAGATCAACCCGACGACGTGCGTAAATGGAGCCTGGAGATAGAAAAGCAAGTCGCAGAATACGAACAAGTCACAGAGGATGTGAAAAGAACGTTTAAGAGTCTGCGTGACGAGGCCTTACTAGAAGCGAAATGGGAAGAAGAAAAAGTCGAAGAGGAGAAACGCAAACGGCGATTTGAAGAAGAGCTAAAATTAGAAGAAGCAAGAATGGAGATTAAGAGAGAATTTGAGAAGAAACTTGAGCAGGATAAAAGCAAATCGGCGAAGGAAAGCGGGGCGAAATTACCTAAATTAACCATCACATATTTCAAGGTACCCATTTGGATTGGCTGCAGTTCTGGAACCAGTTCGAAACCGACATTGATAAGGCTGCAATTACCCAAGTGGCAAAGTTTTCTTATCTGAAAGAGTTGCTTATTCCAAGGATTCGTTCTGTTGTTGATGGTCTATCTTACAATACGGAGGGATACGAACGCGCCAAAGCCATCTTGAAAGCCAAGTACGGAAGGCCGATTGAAGTTGCCAACGCACATATGCAGTGTATAATCGCCTTACCTACCATACAGGGATCACAACCACCAAGAATACATGAGTTTTATGAAAAGCTGTCCTCAAATATTCAAGCACTGGATACGATGGGGAAATTAAGAGAAATCAACGGCTATGTCCGAGTTACTCTAGACAAATTACCCGGCATTAGAGCTGACGTTGTTCTTTTGGATGACGACTGGCAAGAGTGGACGTTTCCTCAAATGACTGTTGGAGGCACTTCGTAAGTGGTGTGACCGGAATCCATTACACTCATCCGACCAGCCTGTTAAGTCGCGAGACAGATTCTTCAACTGAAAGCAAAAAGACTGGAAACACAGACCATGTGTGTACTGTGGTTCAGCTGAACACAAGTCTGTAGACTGTAGCAAGGTAGTATGGTAGAGAGGAAGAAGCACCTTAGCGAGAAAAGGTTATGTTTCAATTGCACTGGTACCAGACACCGAGCAGCAGAGTGTCGTATCACGAGAAGTTGCCAGAAGTGTAATGGTAGACATCACACGTCAATCTGTGACAAAGAACATCCACAGTTGTTGCTAACCACTTATGAAGATGCAGTTATCTACCCAGTGGTGGTCGTCAATGTGGATTGGATAAAATGCCGAGCATTGTTAGACACGGGAGCTGGTAGTGCGTATGCCTCAGCAGTGCTAATCAAACACCTTGGAAAACAACCATCAAGAACAGAGCACAAGGGAATAGACATATGATGTATTCAACCACCCAGAAAACAGAGCAGTATGACGTGAAAATTTCAAATACTCGAGGGAAGTTTGAGATGACAACAACAGTGAGCAAGGTGGACAAAGGTGTTCTGCTGTCAATTCCAAATCCTCAGTACAATGATAAGATCAAGATGTTTCCGCACCTCGCGGGTGTGACCATGGATGATGAAGATACGAAGCCGGAACGGCCCATACATTTAATACTGGGAGCTAGTGAATACTCCAGGATCAAGACACAAACCCAGCCGAAGATTAGAAAGGCCGGTGAACCGATTGCAGAACTAACTACATTGGGCTGGACGATGATGTCAGCGGGCAAGGGGCCCGTTTCTCGAAAGTCTCGGTAACTTTACGGACCCGAAATCAAATATTCAAATCGAAATATGAAAAATAAGAGCGCGGGTCCTGGCTAGCAAACTACTCCATTTTGTTTCATTAACTGACAGTTTTATCGTGTTAGATGCGAAACTATTGAAACCTCGATCTTTAATGTAAACGGAGACAGCTTACCGGGCCCGTTAATTATCGGGACTTTCGAGAAACGGGCCCAAGGAGGTCGGGCTGACGAGTGCTTACCTGACTAGAACTCCCTCAGCAGACTACGAACAGCTGTGTAGTCTGGACGTGCTGGGCCTTGAAGATAAAGCAGACAGGAATCAGCAGAGTGTATATGAAGAGCTAATTGGGTGCTGTCAAAGATGGTCGTTTCTTTTATCGCTCCGTCGTTTTCGATGTAAACTCCGCTTATAACCATGGAGCGCACTTAATTTTTTACCGAATGGCAGCCAAAACTGACTCGCTTGGGAAGAATGACGTTTCCTCTAGAAGAAGAGCAAAAAGAATACGGGAAAAAGGTTCTCAAACTGACGACGACCTCGAGGAGCTTCCCGACCACGAGGGTGACGCCACGCTGAAAGCCCTTGACGATATCAGGAATAAGTTAGAAAGCTTACTTCTTCTCAAACCAGCTGTTGATGACCTAAAATCAGTAATTGCTAAACTCACAGAGGAAAACAAGCAACTAATGGAAAGTTTGAATTCTGCAACTAAGGAAATTCAAGAAATTAAAAATGCTTCCGCGGCGACTGAAAAGGTGACTGCTTCGCTTCGCAAAGAAAATGATCATTTGAAGGCTGAAGTCGACAAATTAGTATGTCGCAACATACGTCTTGAAGCTCAGTCAAGAAGAAGCAACTTCAGAGTTTACGGTGTCAGAGATTCTCCACATGAAACTCCAGCAGAAACCGAGCAAGTGTTGAGAAACGTCCTGTTACAACAGCTTCAAATACCTGAAGAAGACGTAAACAATATGAGCTTCGAAAGAGTTCATCGAATTTCTAACACCCGAGCTGTTAATCAAACCAACAAATCTAAGAGTCCGCGCCCAATAATCGCCAAAGCCAGCTTTTATCAAGACAAGGAGCAAATTTTTTCATTCGCTAGAAGCTTACCAAAAGGCTCAAAGATCGGTGTTGCCAGTGACTTCCCAAAAGAAATTGCCGATATGCACAAGAAACTTTACCCAATCTTGAAAGCTGCTAAAGCCCAGAAGAAAAAAGCTTTCTTTAATGTCGACAAACTTATTATTGATGGGCAAGTTTATCGTGGAAAAGAAACTAAAGATCTTCCTCTGTACGGTAAAGTTATGGTACATGATTAGTCAGTTGCTGTAAATAATTGCTTCCTTTCGCGCTCCCAAGAGTTGCTTCGCTCTTAGCGCCTACTTATTTAGCATTAAACTGTTCATAGGGAACCCGTTTAGGTGTAAGAAGAGGTTTCCCTACTTTGAGCAATTTGTGCTCAAGTAACTGTGCGTTTTGTGTCTTAGCGTTTCTGTATAACCGTTTTTATTTACATGTTTGGAATCTATTTTGATATACTTAGATTTATCTCCCTACAGCTCTTGTACTCCTTCAGCTTGCGTTAAGACTGATTACTAATGTTTATTATTTAATTTACATTAAGTACACTTTCAATTCAAAATTGCTAACATTCGAAAAGTTTTTCAATATCTTCCTCAACGAAACCGATAGAATATTCTATGCTGCTAATTCACGGCTGCTCCGTTTAGACTCTCCTTTTGTTCTTTAAACGTAAGAGGTTTAAATCAAGCTAGAAAGAGACGGCGGGTGTTTAGATGGCTCCACAATCAAAAATTCGACGTTGTTTATTTACAAGAAACTTACTCTTCCAAAAGTGTCGAATAAATGTGGAAAGCAGAATGGGGAGGGAAAATTTATTATAGTCATGGAACAACACATTCAAAAGGTGTGATGATATTATTTAAACCGAGCCTGGATTTCGAAACAGAAAGCATCTTCGCTGATAAGAATGGACGATACTTGCTATTAAAAGCCAACGTGCTAGAATCTTCCTTCTTGTTTAGCAACATTTACACGCCAAATGACTCTATCGCCCAGATAGCTTTCTTTCGCAATCTTGATAACATTCTCCTACCATTTGCAGATGCACAAATCATCTTGGGAGGTGACATGAATTGCCCATTAACACCTACAGATAAAATGGGTGGTGCTACTGTTCAGAAAAAACAAAAAGTCATTGACGAGATTGAAGGCTTAACCCGGCGTTTTAAACTTCATGACATTTGGAGAAATCAACATACCAACAAAACACAATTTACATGGCGTAACAATTCCTTGAAAGTGCAATGCCGCTTAGATTATTGGCTTGTGTCGAAAGAATTGTTGATGTCTGTCATTGATACTAACATCACCAACCCCACAATATCTGATCATATAGCGCTATCACTTTCACTCCTCAATCGAAAGAATAGATCAGAATACGCTAAACGTGGACCTGGGTTTTGGAAAATTAATAACGCTTTGCTGAAAGATGCAAATTTCACTGACGAGCTCGTAAGCAAAATACCCGAATACAAAAACAAACACTGTTACCTTACTAATGAAGGCCTGTACTGGGACATGCTCAAGATGGAGATTAGAGGTTTCTCTGTACAATACTCAAAAAGGAAAAACAGAATAAAAAGAAATAAGGAACGAGACCTTCAGAAAGAAATTGATCACCTAATGGCCTTGCTGCAATCCAACAGATCGAAAGAAAATATCACTAAACTCTACCAATTAAGAGCTCAACTCAATCAGATTGCTGAATATAAAACCGAGGGTGCAATGATTAGAAGTAGGATACGCTGGCACGAAAAAGGAGAAAAGAATACTAAATACTTCTTAAATCTTGAGAAAAGGAGGTTTGCAAAAACTCATATAACTAGGCTTAAAACAAGTACTGGCTCGGAAACTTCTTGCGAAAAAGAGATTTTGGAAATGCAGAGAGCATTTTATGAAAATTTATATACGAGCGCTCCCTGTGATATTATTGCACGCGATACTTTCCTGGGAGACCCTAACCTCGTCAAACTCGACGAAAACGAGCTAAATGAACTCGAACAGCCTTTGTCGAAAACCGAGTGTTTCAACGTTCTTAAACAGTGTGCTAAAAACAGATGTCCGGGCAGCGACGGTCTCTCAGTTGAGTTCTATTTGCACTTCTGGCATCTACTTGGTGATGAGATGGTCCAAAGCTTTAACTATGCTCATAAAGTAGAACAACTCAACATAACACAAAGACAAGGTATAATAAAGGTCATACCGAAAAAACGCAAGAACAGGTTGTATTTGGAACATTGGAGACCGCTAACGTTACTTAACGTCGACTATAAAATAGCAACCAAATTTATAGCCCATAGAATCGCTAAAGTCCTCCCCAAATTAATAAACGACGACCAAACTGGCTATGTCAAGGGACGCTATATAGGACAGAACATTAGACTCATTAACGATATCATGAAGATAACTGAGCTAGAAAACATTCCCGGCATGGCGATTTTTGTGGACTTTAAAAAAGCTTTTGACACCGTCGACTGGAACTTCCTTTTTATGACCTTGGAGGCATCAAATTTCGGCCCTCAGTTACTACAGTGGATCCGAACCTTTTACACTGACTGTTCTAGCTGTGTAGTAAATAATGGTTACGCCTCTGTCTTCTTTAAACTACAAAGAGGTGTTCGCCAAGGGTGCCCTCTTTCCGGCTCCCTATTTGTGCTGTGCGCTGAAATTCTTGCTAATGCAATAAGGTCTAATGCAAATATTCAAGGAATCAACATATATGGAAAGGAATTCAAAATTTCACAATACGCAGATGATACCACTGTTTTTGTCTCTGATATAACATCTGCCCAAAACCTCTTCCAACTGCTCCACGCTTTTCAAAAATGCTCTGGTCTTGAAGTAAACAGAAGCAAGACAGAGGGCTTGTGGCTAGGCGCGAACAAAAACAACCCGGAAGAACCTCTTGATATTGCATGGCCAAAAGACCCTGTATTTGCACTTGGTATTCACTTCTCTTATAATGACGAAGCTGCTTTCAAAAGGAACTTTGAACAGAAACTGTCCTCGATGGCTTCCTTGCTAAACTTGTGGTACCCTAAGAGCTTAACTTTACATGGTCGAATTGTCATTTTAAAAGCATTAGCCCTCTCCAAACTTATTTATAACACTGCTGTCCTCACTGTCACCCCCGCATTTATTCAAAAAGTTAATAAAGCTATTACTCAATTCGTCTGGCAAAAGAAAAAACCAAAAATAAAACAAACTACCCTGATTGTCCCTAAAGAAAAAGGTGGTCTCTCATTGCCTGATTTTGACATGATTAACAATGCTCTCAAAGCAACTTGGATCAGAAGACTAGACAGCTGTCATCCCACCGCGAGTTGGACTCACATTCCTGTTTCCCTGCTAGAGCGGGTCGGTGGTCTCTTTCTCCTTAAATGTAACTTTGAACTTAAACATCTTAACATACACATTCCATTGATCTTTTACGAGAAAGCCTTGTTGGCCTGGCAATCCATAAATTCGTTCACTCCCTCCTCAAAAGAAGAAATACTGAATGAAATCTTATGGAACAACCGCTTTATTAGGATCAACAATTATTCAGTATACTACAAAGCATGGCATGTAGCGGGTGTTGAAAAAATTGGAGATCTCTTCAACGGCAATACCTTTCTATCTCACCAAGACTTCTGTTCTTATTTTGGTCTTAAAACTAATTTTCTTACCTACTACGGTTTATGCAAAGCAATTCCTCCTAACTGGATTAAAATAATGAAAGGTAAATTACAACCGCCTTCGAATAAATCCATAAGTATGGATAGAATTCCCGTTGAGAAGCTTTCTTCTAAACTTGCTACCAACTTTTTTGTTGAAAGGAAATTTGTTCCTGCCACCGCCAAAAAAAGACTCAGAAATGCTAGTTTAAATGAACAGCAAATTTCTCAAATTTACAAGATGCCTTTCAGTGCTACGAAAGACATACAACTCTCAATGTTTCAGTTCAAGATCTTACACCACATCTTACCCACCAACGCTACATTATATAAATTCGGAATTAAGAAGCATGACCGCTGTCATTTATGCGCTGAAAAGCAAACAATCACACACCTATTTGTGACTTGCCCCAATGCTCAGCTGTTTTGGACACATTTTTCAGTTTGGTGGCGCGAAAAAAACAACATTGAGATCTCGCTTTCTGAAGCACAAACACTTTATGGCATTACAGACACCGTGCCTCAGTGTCTTGGTTTAAACCTCTGCTTGATAATTGCAAAATACTATATTTACACCGCGTCTAAAAATGAGGAAGATTATTTTTTCGACGCTTTTTTGTCTATCCTTAAAAATAAAATACAAATTGAAACTAGCAAAGCTAAGGTGCAAGTCAAGCTGTAAAAATAATTTTCTTGATTCTGGCTAATTTCCCTTGTTTTTTGGCTTTTTTGTTTTGTTTGTTTGTTTGTTATTTATTTATTTATTTTTTGTCGTTTTTAGCGTATTTACTCTTCGTTAATAGGTAGTAAGTTAGTAATTAGTTGTATTAGAATTCTTTTTTCACTATTTTGTAACAGACTCCAACTCATCGGCTCCTGTTTTGTAAGCATTATCTTGTAAGTTTATATTATGTAAGTAAGTAGCATTTAACTTAGCAAGTTATATGTAAGTAGGTATTAAAGCTTTATGTAACTAAGTAAGTACTATGTAAGTAAGTCAACATTATGTTTGTAAAAACAATTAAAAAAAAAAAAAAAAAGAGTTTAAAGAACAGCTAAGACAGAGTGCGGAGGGTTGGTATGAAACGGACTTTCTGTGGAAGCATGGGCACGAACCCCTACCAAACAATAAGCAAGGAAGTCTTAGAAGACTTAGAAACCTAGGCAAGAAACCTCAAAGAGAGTCGAATCTCCTAGCACTGTACGATGACGTAATTCAAGATCAGTTGGCAACCGGGATCGTAGAGAGAGTGACGTAGGAACCAGCAGTAGGAAGGGAGTTTTACATACCACATAAGCCCGTCATCAGAGAATCAGCAGAATCCACCAAGCTTAGAATTGAGTATGACGCTTCAGCTAAGGCAAACGAGAAGAGTCCCTCGCTGAATGATTGCTTGGAAACAGGACCGTCTCTTCAGAACCTCCTTTGGGATGTGCTAGTTCGCAACCGTCTTCAACCAATAGCATTAGCTGGTGACCTCAAGCAAGCATTCTTCCAAGTGCGAATTAGAACAGAAGATCGAGACTTCCTGCGGTTCCACTGGTTCAAGGACACAACGATGTTTGAAGTTGAAGTGTTAAGGTTCACCCGTGCTTTGTTTGGTCTTGTGCAATCACTATTCTTACTGGGTGGGACGCTGCAATATCATTTGCAAAGTCTAAAAGGAAGATACCCTAAGGAAGTGGACGAAATCCTGAAGAGCCTATATGGTGACAATTTGACTACTGGTGGAGAAACAACAAAAGAGGTGTGCCATTTGAAGAACACGGCTGTTGCAATAGTTGGTGAAGCAGGTTTCGAGCTCCACAAGTGGCACTCCAACGAACAAACTTTAGAATCCGAAGCAAACAGTGAGCAAGAAGATGAAAAAGAAGATGAAAGTTATGCAAAGGAACAACTTGGTGTTAAACCCGGTGAGACCAAGATGCTGGGGCTACCGTGGGACAAACTCAAGGACACGATGGCAGTAACCTTCCCAGCAGCTCCTCCTGATGTAACGAAGCGAGAAACTCTACGATTCCTTGCGTCAATCTATGATCCATTAGGCATTGCCTCAGCAGTTTCCCTTGTGGGGAAGAAGTCCCGTCTGGCAAAAAACGATACCAAGATTAGAGCTGGTGTCGGCGCACATGGCCTCAAATCTCGTGGCAAACATGAAAGACGCCCTCCAAGACCAGCCCATAAGATCAGTTTATGGATGGTTGGATAGCACGGTGGCCCTACATTGGATTAAAGGCGGAGGGAGTATCTACAAGCCGTTTGTTGCTAACAGAGTAAGCAAGATAAGGGAAAAGGACTACATTACCTGGAGACATGTGAACACCGACCAGAACCCCGCAGATGTAGGGAGCAGAGGCTGTGACGGAGCCAAGTTGCCCAACTTGTGGCTGAAAGGACCTGAATGGTTAGCAAGCCCTGGAAGCTGGCCAGCAGAAATTCTAACTGAGCCAAGCAAGGAACTGAGGCGGAAGCTAAATTGACTAAAGAAGTCCTCGGCACTATTGCGGAGACCAAAGATGATCTAGACGAGATCTTGAATAAACACAGCTTCTGGAAGACAATGCGAGTGACAGCATGGATTATGCGCTTTGCACAAAACTGTAAGCGTAAGAAATCAGAACGACTTGCTGGCCCTTTGACCACATCTGAGACAGACAAGGCAGTCCACTGGTGGGTGAAAAGAGAACAAGAGAGCAACATGGGGACAGAGAAGTTCAAGCAGGACCAGTTGAGCCTAAATTTACAGAAGAACAGCGAAGGGGCGTACCCAGTTTACCTGCCACCAAATACAATGCTATCAGAGAAGTTAACACAACATGCCCACGTGTTGACATCGCACGGGGGAGTGGGCCTCACCATGACCTACATTAGACGCGATTACTGGATACCTCGCCTGAGACGTTTAACAAAGAAGGTAATTCGTAATTGTTTTGGATGTAAAAGGTTCCAGGCTACAGCCTTTCAAAACCCACCACCAGAAAATCTTCCCGTTGAACGCACCACCGGTTCAGTTCCCTTCCAAGTCGTGGGTGTAGACTATGCCGGTCCAATTTTCATACAAGGCCAGTTCCAAGAGAGAAACCGGAAAGGCCTACATCCTGCTGTTTGCATGTAGCCTGACCAGAGCCATACACCTTGAGTTGCTGAGTGACCAAACCACAGAGGGGTTTATCAAGAGTTTCAAGCGATTCATAGCAAGAAGTGGGAGGCTCCAAAAGGTGTACTCTGACAACGGTAGAAGTTTCGTAGCCGCTGCGAGATGGTTACGAGGTATTATGAAGGATGAGAGGATGCATGACTACCTATCCAGAAATCATATCACGTGGCAGTTTAACCTCAGTCGGGCCCCTTGGTGAGGTGGTCAGTTTGAGAGGTTAGTGGGGCTGGTGAAACAGGCCTTATACAAGTCGATTGGAGGAGCTAATCTTACCTGGTAAGAACTCGAAGAAGTTATACTAGACGACGAAATTGCTCTCAGTAACCGTCCTTTATCTTACGTTGAAGAAGATATACAACTGCCTGTGCTGATACCTCAGAGCATGATGTTTGGTCAGCCCAACCTGTTACCCGAGGGAGATGTTGATTCATTTGAAGACAAGGATATGAGGAAACGTGCAAGATATCTCCGGCGTTGCAAGGATGTGCTATGGTCCCGATGGACAGGGGAGTACATCAAGAGCTTGAGAGGAAGGCATCATCTCAACCATACCAAAGGTGGACCACCCATCGAACAAGGAGACGTTGTCCTGATACAGGGTGATGAGCGTAACAGGAGCAAGTGGAATATTGGCGTTGTGGTAAAGTTGATCAAAGGAAGAGACGGGATCGTCCGAGGAGCGAGATTGAGGGGAGGGAAATCCTTCCTGGAACGAGCAGTTCAACAGTTGTGTCCTATGGAGCTATCATGTGATCGGTTGAAGGAACCGGAAGTTCCAGTACCTAACCCACGCGCCAGAGTAACTACTCCCAGGAGAGCTGCCATTGCAGCAGCAAAGAACATTAAGGACATTGCAGAGCAGGAAAAAGAAATGATTTGAACATTTGTTTGATGTTTGATTGTGATTTCACTTATACTTATACACCTCCGGTATCAAATAGGGGGAGAGTGTCGTGACTTGCGTTACCTGTTGTAATTTACCTTCCGGTGTTGACGGATTTATTTAGGATTAGTTTTTGAACTTTGAACAATCAGACATTTGATATAGTTTAAGTAAGGAATGCATGTTTGGTAATCATAAGGGAACCAAGATCAAGGTGTGAGCGAGCGAGATTAAAACTGTTTTCAATTCAATCAACTGTGAGTTCTTTTGTCGGTGTTACCGATTCCCGACAATAGAAACCATACTGTATCTGTGACGTTGATTAAACAGATCGCCCAAGCAAACACGAAGATGTTGAAGTGAAAGAATATCTGGAGTAATCCAGCGTCTTCGGCTGCTGCCAGCGAATAAGATTATGGCGAATAAGATTATGGATTTCGACAGTGCTTGGCGGGCTTTTTGGAGAGTGATTTGTCACTGGAGGCACATCGACACTTACATCCTCTTAAGCCAGAGAAAAAAGACTTGAATCCTTCGCCGTTTGATCAAAAAGGTCGTTCATTGAATCAGATAATCGGTCTTGCTGTTCCTCAAGGAGATGTGAAGTAGAGCTCGAGCTCTCGCATTCGTTTACACCGGCGACTATAAAATGTGCATTGTTGACGGCCTTTCCCAAACGTTCAAATAGAGAAGATTTAAAAAACTCTTTGGTCAGGGTCTTTTCCACGCAGAGTTCCTTCCAAACAGGAGAAAGATGTGCCAGCAGAGAGTGTAGTATTCCTACTTGTGGCTCCTCAGTAAAAACTTGATACGCCGACTCGCCGTTTTCGCTTCGAAGGTCACCAATGTTGATACGGCATACTACTCTTGAAAGAAGTTAAATAAGCCATTGGAGCACTATTTTCTTAAAAGAAAGCACTTGAAAAACCATTGAAAGCGTATCAAGCCTATTTGAATCCGAACGCGGAGAGAAAACTGTAGTTATCAATTGCGAAGCCAGCCGCGAAGATCGACTTCCAAATTTTCAATCGACTGTGAAATGAATTTATAATACCCAAATAGTCTGATCAAATTTCGCGTTTGCTTGAGATGTCTGGTTCGTTTAATCAGAAGTACAAAGTTCCTTGACAGGCAATGTGTCCGGCGCTCTCCAAAGGCGTCTGCAAGAATGCTTAAAACTAATTACGAAAGTAACGCTTGTCTGTTATTGGAAACCGATCTTCGGTGGTTGCTGTGGAGATTAGGCCTCCTTGGGCGCGCACTAAAATCGGGGCTCTGGCCTGTTATCACAGGATCCAGAGGAGATGTGTTTGTCGTTAGAACATCAAAACCCGTCGAAAACCTCCGAAAAAATGGGTTATTTTGATTCGTTACACATTCTATAGACCGCAAACCGAGAGACTGAGAGCTCGATCGAATTTTGTATTTCCCATCGACGTGTTGTTGGCATAAAGTTTACTAGTGGAGGCTGATGTTGCTTGTCACAAATCTAACGTGAAACAGCTAGCTTTACTAGTCTCAAAATTGTAAAACGCATGCTCTGTTTAGGCTATGTGTTGTTACGCTACGCTCTGATTTATAATCTAGAAGTATCTTTTAATCTTCACTTGACATTTCTACAATTAAAATGCGTTTAAATGTTCACTGTGCATTAAAAACTGTTCCTTCCCTTACTCCCGGCCATTTTCTTCGAGCTCCCGACAACTCGAACTCTGACTCGAGCTGTTTTCGATTTCCCTTGAAGGTTCGAGTTATCAGGAGTCGAGACTACTAGTAGTCCCCATTTTCCCGCAGGGATAGTAGAGTGAGTGAAACGCAAGCGCGCGTGAAAATCCCCCCCACCTCGTCTCGCCTTTCTTTTATTAATATTTTAAATAAACATAATACTATCTAATTAAACAAATGTAGAAATGTCAATATAACAATAATTAATAAATAAATACAAATACAAATCCAGGGTAAGTTAAAAAAGCTAAATTTCCTATTTAATAAAACATATGATCTTAACGGGTAAGTTAAGCTATAATTATTCCTAAATAAAATATCTAAGACTATTCACCCTGATAAAACTGAGGTTATGCTTTTTACCCATAATCATTTGTTTGGTCCTTTAAGACCAATTAAGCTAGGTGGATAGCTATTCTCGCTGTCTTCACTGTCTGGGCTTTATGATTGACAATAAGTTAAGCTGAGGTGATCATATAAAGGATCTTGTAACATCTATGGCTTAAGAAGGTGAAGCAAATACGAAGGTTTTTAAAGTCTCCAATTTCGGAGTCATTGAATTTTAAGGGAATATTACCTAGCATCACCTATGTATGGGATCTGTGTATGGGGTAATTGTAGTGATGCAAAATTAGCTCAGCAGTCTTGAAAAGATTCATCTTAGTGTCGCTAATCTTATTGTTGTTAAAAAGCATAAAGGTTCTGACTCCCAAACATAGCGTACATGGTTACCATCTTCCACTAATAATTTATATAAGTTAAGGCTCCTTTGTACGACACACAAAGTTTATTATGGAGTCTGTCCTGAGGAGGTTACAGTTACCATCAGGAAAAGACCTAATTTCCGAAATATGAGAGACAATTTGAAACTTATGCAGGAGAGACCAAACACTGATACTGGAAGACTGTCTTTTAGGCATAGGTCCCTAATAGCCTGGAACTCCTAGGAGTATAGAGGACCACCATAGATTTAACAGTAAACTTCGTTCTCTCTCTGCAACCGTGAATACTATACCTTTTTTTTAATCTGCCCTTGTTTTTAATAAGGAATTGACTAATTTTAGATATTTTTAGGAATTTTTATGAAATTTGAATAGTTAGACAATTTCTGTTACACCACTACTAACGAAGATTGCATCTTAAAACAGACATCATATACGGAGTCGCCAATACACCTTGTTTCATCGGCAAACATTTCCAACTTTTCACCACTAGGGACCTCAGGCAGGTCATTAACATAGATACTGAAAAGTCTAGGACCTAGTAAAGAGCCCTGGGGTACACCAAACCTAATTTCTGCTACATTTGATCTCTGATCCTCAATGTCCGGGCGATCCCGCACCTATTTGAAAGATTGTTTTAGATTAGCTGACAAAACAATAGGGATTGTCACATAACAATTCCCCTATCCCTGATAACAGTGGAGGTGCAGATTAAAGGGGACCAGTGAAATAAGAGGTTCAGAACGGTGCAGGTCTACTGCAATCTCCACATACTGTTTCCTCCTAGATAAATAATCAACAATCAAGTTGTAAAGGTTCCATGATAAACCACAAGCTGAAACTTTAGAGCCATTGCCTCATGGCATATGGAATCAAAAACCTTGTTAAAGTCGATGAACAGTACTCCCCAGTTCTATTTTTATCTACAACAGCTCATCTCCATAATTCACGCAAATGCAGCATTAAAAGTTCTGTTGAACTACCAGTTTTAAATCCCGACTGTGCTACATATAAACTAACGAAGTGGCAGTTGTAATTTTCCACATACATTGAGAGATGTAAACCTTGCGGTATATAAAGTACAAAGAAAAGTTCAATCAGCTCATACTTTAAAAAAAAAATAGACTTAAAAACTTTACTGGACGTTTCGATGTTTCAAACATCATTATCAAGAGTAAGAAAGGTTAATAAAAGTGTTGAAGTTTGAATAAATTGGATTACATTCGTGCACGCTTCATTAATTTGTAGATATCTCAATAGAAAAGCTTCGCGCGAATTGAGCCCGATTGATGTATAGTATGAAGGTCAAACTAAAGGAAGCCCAAGCTCGAAATATGAGCATCGGCGAGCATCGTAACATTCTAAATATAAGGATTTGTATGAGGAAAAAAACCTATCGTTTCTGTAACATATATTAGGAAAGTGAAAGTATTTCAATAAAAAACAGCTTACCTTACATAAAATGTGTGTTACATCTCTCCTGTGTTGTCCGTGGGCCGATTTATGGCCGTTTTATGGGTTGTACTGTAAACGGTTTTCTCTCTCTCTCTACGCGGTGCGTAGGTCTCATGGGAAGGATTCACTGTACCCAGTATTCGAGAATTCGAATTGTTCTCCCTCAAAGCAATTTGTTGTCGAAATTTCAGAGCAATTATTACGGACTTTTGCTCCAACAATTTATCTGAAATTTATTTGGTATACTTATTATATCAATAAAGGCTGATACCAACAATTTCAGTAAACACGCAGGGTCTAATTAAGGGCTAATTTCATTGAAAAAAATACCACCAATAACATCAGACATTTCCCATTACTGCTGAATGATAGCTGTAGCTTATGTCAAAGCTTCGTAGCCATCGCGATGAAGCCGATAAAGATATTACAAAGTGAGTTCGCCATAGCTCAATGCACCTGTATTAATAACGGAGCCACCATTAACTCATCAATTTCACATTTAATAAACATAATTTTTCTTGCATTCGCTTACGAAACTTTATAATCTGTTGCAATCTCTGTTAGTTTTAACTTCAGTAATAACTACACCTCTTCAACGTTGAGAATCCTGCATTGCCAAGGTCAATTACCTGCACAGTTAAATACAGAAACAGGCGAAGTCATTCAGATGCTCAGACGATTTTAATCGTCTTCAATGAGCGGACATTGTTCTGTCAATTGTCAAATAATATTATTTTCAGGCTCAAGTTAATGACAACCTGAAGATAACTACTAAATCTTTGCTCAGGAATAAATGCGTAATATCATTCCTTTGCATCTTTTCACACCGTCTTCGTTCTTGTATTGCCCTGACAACAGTACTCGAATCTTAGAATATGTATGACTGAGAAGGATTTCCTTCCAAACTACTTGGTAAGATCCTGTGCAGCCCACGTACGTTATTACGACCTCTGTGAGCCGTTTTGATCTTGCAATGTAGCTGGAACGTGTCAGTGTTTCATATCTCCCACTGCTCTTCTTCGGCATGTTACAGCCGCATTCATTCACCGCGTTACACTTTACATCTTCTAGTTCTCGTTCCACTACTGCAATCCTAGGATTTGCTGGAATGAGGCGGGACAAGACCGTTCAATTGAGTTGCATGACCACTTTCTGCCAGCCATTCCTACCGACAAAATAAGAGACATTCACTGTCGTAGTCTAGTTAAAAAAACCAAGAAAAGAGAAAAAAAAAAATGGAACAAATCAACCCTGGAGTTTTCTAACTACCGACGAAACGAAAGTTAGTGCTGCTCAATACAAATACCTGAAATCTGTCTTGGACGTCTTTCTGCAGCTGTTTTCTTTGTGATTTACTCAGTGACGATGTTTTTACCAGCTGATACCAGTTGTTGATAGCTCTACAAAGTAGAAAGTCTTATAATTACATATACCTTTGGCATGACAAGGTACCTAAGGTGCATTGTGTAATAAGTATCTCGTCAGGTAAAACGGCGCTACGAGAGCGAAAACAACTAATCAGCAGCACGAGCAAGGGAAAGCAAGGAAACTCACATCACTCGACGGGCAAGGTAACTTAAAAGACGATTTCTTGCTCTGAGTTTGCCCTAGCAAATTAAAGAGAGAGTTTAAAAATGTAGATTAAAAAATCACTACATTTGAAGACTTACTTCTCTCTTTCTTTTAACGCCTTCTCGTATTTTTTGGGAAGTGGAATGGGTGGTCCCTGAAAACAATAACAATAAAAAGGAATGTTCAACAATCTGAGGCGATGCACTCATACCGAGACCAATACCCCTGAAACGTGTGTCTGTTTTGAGTTTAATGGGCAGAACTTACATCTGTAGATCCTTTCATGGAGAAAGGAATGGTAAACGTGAAGAAATCTCCTGGTGGTAACTCGCGATAAACAGCTGACGAACCAACAGTACGATCAGACGCTGAAACAAAAGTTCAAAGAGAGGTTTAATCCTTCCATGCACTAAGTCATTACTTTACTATTATCCAGGTATGCCACAGAACAAACAAAGCCCAGGTCCAGCGACATCCTGGGATACCCAATGGAAGTCAATTGAGACGGGATATATTTCAGGTGACACAGCGGCTGCGTGGTATAGCGGTGGCGCCTGAAATGTACCCCGTCACGTGTAAAAGTGTTGTTTCGCTATTTAGACCTATTATTGTTTACAAGGTCCTGTTCCCGTCGTCCTCGGGGTTGAAATTTTAAAAGTTTAAAACTCCTTATTTACAAGAAAAGTGAGAGAAGAAAACGATTTTCGAACTGGCCCAGCAAGAGAAGGTGCCTACAAGCTCTTCCTCTCTTTATAAACTTTTCCTGTGACCCTTTCCTTCGCGAACATCCTGTTCCCACTCTGAGCTGCCCCTGGGGATTTACATGTTCCACTCCCAAGTCTCACCTAACATAAGTGGATCATTCCAAAGGTTGGGTTCTATAGGTACTCCCCAAGGGCCGTGTAAATGTTCCTCTAAAGCAGGGTAGTGAGTGTGATATGGTGCGAGCAATAATCCTTCGTTGCCTGGAAGAATTACAGGTCTGGTTGGCGTGCAGAGATTGAAAGTACAGTTGTTACAACCGCTGAAAAAGAATAAAGGTATACATGACTGTGAAATTCTTCCTTTCACGATAAAAAATGATCAACATTGATTTAAGAAACAGACAAACGAAAGAACGAAAGTCACACGTCACGCCCGAAAGGCTATGGTCTTAAATACTATACTAAATACCTTTTATCGGCTTGCAGGTCTAATTTAGCAATTGGCAAGCTCACCTTCTAGGATAATTGCGGTGCATAATTTAATTCGTTCAGCCACGAAACACTTAGAAGTTCTTGAGAACTCGTTTAAATGAGTCCACGTGTTCCAGATCGAATTGGAATTTGAAAGTGTTAGTGTTTTAGGCGAGGGGAAAACTGGAGTACCCGAAGAAAAATCTCTCGTAGCAAAGGAGAGAACCAACAACAAACTCAACCCGGGCCAAACTGGAGGGCGGCGAGTACTCTCATTACTGCGCCACCCTTGTGTCTTGGGGTTTCCCTTGACTAGAGGAAGACTGCCTTAGAACTGATTTCTTAACACTAATGTACCACAAACATTGAGTGTAGACAGATAAGTAAAAACAAACCTGAAAGAAATTCTATCGCAGACTGCAAAAAACGTACAACTATCGCAACCAATGATGTTGACAGCCGTTTTAGTTACTCCAAGAACAATTGTAGAGTTGTGACAGTTTTCTACTGTCACAGCCCTAAAACAGGGGAGAAAAGCAATTACATCGAAAATCATCGAGAGTCAGTCATAAGTTTTGGAAAACTACACTTTCTTGAAGAAGGCTTTAGCGAGAAATCAGACCATGAGATACAGAAATATACACATGAAATATAGAGTTGTCAGTGACAAAATAAAACGTTTTTGCGTATCATAGCTCTTGCTTCTGAAGACTAAGATTAAGTGATGATTAGGAATAGGGAGCTTAAGCAACCACCACGACGACAACAAAGACAGCGTCGAACAGCAATTGGTTTTATGAGAAAAATAGCTCCGCACGTGCATCACGCTTTTTAGTACATTTCTTTGACGTCCACTGCACGACTACGATGTGAAACCATCTAATGCGAAACTTTATACAGGAAGTGAACATACGACGACGAATTTTCCTTTCCCATTTTGAACTACGGAATAAAGTCCTAAAAACTAAAAATCGCCTACAGTTGACAAATTGGGCGGGTCCAAATAGAGGCGATAAAGTTTGAAAGAACGCAAGTTGAGTTTTTTTTGGCGACGTTTTCATTGCCGTTGTCGTCCTCATTGCTTAAGCTCCCTATTTATAGCTACAGCTTTAGGCTTTCAGGCAAATCATAACTAATTAGTGCAAAACTTTGAATAAGGTGTAAGGTGGTAGGCTCAAAACGTTTGTTTTACACTGCCCTTTCCGCAAGTGTTGTTTTTTTTTTATACTTAGCCAAAACAATAAACCATACATCACACAAACCTCAGAGGACATAGGATATAAATGTACGAGTAGTGACATCTGTGTATTTTCACCATACTTCCAGAGTATGAGTCACTCGCCTAAAAAAAGTGAAAAAAAAGTAGAAAACATCCGGAAACGACAAAACAGCTAATTAGATATAGGTATGTGCCTCTCACAATGAGGAAAGTCACTTCCCAGGAAATTTCTCGGCCGGTTTTTTGATTGGTTAGGGACTGGCCCGCTTCTTAATCAAATCATGACTTGCTGTCGGCACAAGTTTTCCCGCGCTTAGTAACGGCTACCATTGGATCACCCGCACCTCCCCGCACCTGTTTTGATTGTAATAGCCTACTTCCCAATTGCCTGAAGTCTCCTTTTTAAAACGAGGCCAAGTGCAAAGCCTTTAACCTGGAAATATGTTTTTATGTAAAAAACGTGAAGGGTTTCGCACTTGACCTCAATTTGGAAGTAAGGGTTCTAAAACATGGGAATGGCCTTTTTTTTAATCGGCTTTTTTCCATTCAACTAAAATCTGATCTAAATCTGCTGCTTCAAATAGTATTGATTTTAACAAACACACACAAAAAAGGTAAAACAAAGGGTGACTTATGTAATGTACCTTTGCTACAGTTTGCTTGCAGACTTGTGAGAGAATTATGACTCTTTGCCTGCCAAAATTAATAATAAAATTGTTTAGCAATATGAACAAAGCAAACAGCTACTGACGGGTATCGTAGACTAGACAATTCCAATCTGTGAAAATGTGTACTCAAAAGAATGAAGGACGTCAGATCGATGAAAAAGATCGAGTTGCAGAGTGATAATTGATCAAAGCGCTAGTCTATCACTTTATTATACACATATAAATTAGATTAAAGACCAACACGTATATTGTACCCTCGTGCAGCACGCTTCATCAATAGTTTGACACGCAAGTTTTTATTAACTGCCTGGAAAAGGGAGAAATAAACGTGTTCAAACTCCGTAACATGATCAATTGGAAGGAAGTAGGAACTCAATCATAAACATGTAAATCGCCAAAACACTTGTCGTGTCTTTGTTGAAATGAGATTGCCTAAGTTAAACAAATCTCGTAAAATGCCCCACTATGAACCCCAGTAAGTTCTATGTAAACATGTAAATTGCCAAAACACTTGTCGTGTCTTTGTTGAATTGAGATTGCCTAAGTTAAACAAATGATCTCGTAATATGCCCCACTATGAATCTCAGTAAGTATTACATACTCTGGTGGAGCATAACTGACATTGCTCATAATTCGACTTCTGTTTGTAGAGTGTTCTTTGCTGGCAGAAATACTTGTATCCGCTTCCTGCTGTCGTAAGAGACTGTGTTCATCAAATGTGTCACTAAGGCTTAAAAAATCTACCAAAGCAGGAAAAGAAAGGTCAGGTTACAGCAACAGATAACTTGACTACTGCAAAACATGCTACTGGAAAAGTTCCACTCAAACAATCAACAGAGCCTGGTGTTCGTATTGATTGCTTACAAAATAGGGTAACTAAGGAGAAAATAAAAAAAAAATGCCGCGACTTTATTTGTGTCAATGCATTTAGTACGAAATTAAAGAACTAACTGAGGACACTATTTTTTTGACGGAACCGCCATTTTAATTGATTATGGAAGCCACGTGAAAGTCTAGTCGTTTGCAGGACAAAGGAACTACTTTATTTCTCAGTTATTTCAAGACCGTATTGATCCGGCCGCGGGAAATCGAACCCTCGACTTTTCGCTCTCCAGTAAAGCGCCCTACTGACTGAGTTTACAAATCTTGCTGCAGTTAATATAAAATTCATCAGGACAACGTACAACACTGTCCGTGAGGCGAGGTAAAACTGTTTTCATTTGAAGAAGAAATCTAACACTGTTCAACACATAAATACTCTCTACCCTGTGTTTTACAGCCTCAAAACAAGCAATTACTTACTTTTTATAGGTGTTTCCTGCGGTTTAAATCCTCGAGCAAGTATGGATGACACTCCGAAAGGATTCACTTGCAAATTGGATCTCAACCAGGACTGAAGATGTCGAAATGAGAAGGTTCTGGAAATCTGTGGAGTGATGCATTTTAGGTACACGTACATGAAAAGATTTAACCGCGCACGTTTAACAAGCCCCGAACCGGGTTTTTTTGTGCCATTTAAATCAAACAAGGTTTCGGATAGTGTGTTTTTGTTTTCTACGTTTTTTTTAAGCCAAACTGGGCTGAATTATAACTTAAGATTCCCTATCAACATTGTCAAACTTGGAACTCTAAAGGCAAAAATTAATATCAAAATGATTCTATCAAAGGGAAAACAAAGCATGGAACTGTTTTTGGTCTTTTTTCCACACTATAAGGTTAAACTTTAAAACGTTGGCCCATTTTTTCACGTTGCAATCCGTTTTAATCCCGGCCACAGAAAGCCAAACACAAACACTTATAGTTGAGGTATAGTAGTTGAATAATTCCTCTAAGTAACACAGCTTGAACTTTATTTAGGGTTTTCTTTGATTCCAATAAGTTTTTATAGTAAAGCAATACCACTGGAGTTACACCTTCCCTTCAGACAAGCTGATTTTCTCATTTTTGTCTCACCATAACTGTTTTTCTATCCAGAGAAATTAGAAGAAAATAAACCACGTAAGAAAGGCGGTAAGTTTTTTGTAATTAATTCAAAGTCACCTACTCTAAGAATTAAATTCACCACACAACTTAATCTAATAAAAGTGTTGGGGTAAAACAGCACGGCTAAAGTTTAAATACCTTGGAATAACCACTCCTCGGTCTTTCTGGCTGAAGGCGAGCTAAAACAGGCAGTGGTTGAATAGTTCTACAAAAGAGTACAAGCAAATTAAGGCTTACAAGTATACATGTTAATTGATTACCTGGTTTAAAGAAGGTCAAGAGCTTGCCTCTAATTATTTCCTGCTATTTTAGCCTGCCATCATGCGCTCCTACAATACTTTTATTGTTGTCTTTATCACCTTACCCCTCCCCCTACCCCGAAAATAAGTTCTTGAAAACTATTTAGACCTGGATAAAGACCTTGACTTTCATCAAGTTTGGTTCTTTCTGTTTGACTGTAAAGCAAACATAAATGGTTAACTGGGAGAAACAGCCCACTCAAAGTGCTTGATGACTGCAAAACAGTGGCTTTTTCTTTGTAATCCTTCTGTTATAGGAGGCATAACATATAATCAAAGGTGCAAACATCATAGAGATGGGAGGGGCAAGCACTTCTATGTGTTGCTGAGTGCCATCTCTGTTGGGTTCATACTAGTTATCTGTACAGCTGTTCTTTGTGTCATCAAGAACAGGTGTACCCTACCAGGTACATCGTACAGATAGTGACAGAGAAAAATGCCGTTTACATGTTGAATTTTCTGGTCACAAAAAATCTTTGCACCTCACCCAAACCCTTATGATATGAAAACACAAATGAAGTCATCTGCTGATAAATTCAGCATACAAAAAAGTGAATTAGAAGAACTGTTGAAGATTGTTGGTGGATAAGAAGTAGGAGCCATGTTCCACTGTTCAGTTTTTTGTGCAGAATTGTTGTGCACGAAATTTTTACAGAAAAGCCCTTTGGATATACAGCAAAACCAGTCCAAAAGACCAACCCATTAAAAAAATATCATGCCTAAATGAAGGAAATGCATTGACTGTATTCAAAGGACTACATTGTTGCAGGGAAAATTATTCTATCTGTGACATGCACATTTTTTTCAAAATCGTTAAAGGTAGGGGGTGTTCACAGACCCCTCGGTAACTCCCTTAGTTACTGGTGCCTCAGATATTTTGATCATCTGGTGTGTGCACCTCCCTGAGAAAAGTCTTGTCTAATGGGCAGGCAGCACAGAGTATCATTACTAGCCATAACCAACCTGCCATCAGTTACTCCTGTTATAAGGAACCCCAGAGCATCAAGAGCTTCAACAGTAAGGTATGCTTCATTGCCACAACCATTGTTTGCACTGGATTCTGAGCACACAAACAACCACAAAACAATTTAGAAGATGATTTAACATGTATTGTGTACATGGAGATTGCATGTATAATACTTCTCAAAAAATTAACCTGACATATTTTTCAGGGATAGAAAAAAGTACTGGTCCTGACAACAAACATAAGATAGTGCTATCTACAGCATACATCACTATCTACCAACCAATCGCATTATCCACTGGATAGATTTTTATCTGTTGAATACAGAAGCATTATCCAACATTTTAACAATCAGGGCCTGTTTGGATGTCTGGGACAGATTTTCTTGCTGAGTAAAACCTGTTTTAGCCCTTAAGCCCCAAGATCCACATACAAATTCTCCAGACTGACTTCCATATATTTCTTTTAAGAACAGTTGAGAGAATTTGGTTTAAGATCAAAGTGTTCTCCCTTTGGTAATCAATTTAGTAATTCTCATAACCTTTACTCTGGATGATCTGCTGATGTTCTTAGGAGAAAATTGATGTTGGTCACTCTTGGGACCTAAAGGGATTAAGCTTACTAGTCTAATGGGCAAGGGTAAAAGCAAGTTATTTTGTTGCAAAGTCATCAGCTAAGATAAGGAAGCAATACAAGCAGCTTTTTAGCCCTGTTTTTGTCTTGCAGGAAATAGGCATACTAAGCTCACAGAGGAATACAATTACCAGGTTCCATTAACAGTTCTAAGATATCGTTCAGATGATGTAACACAAACATCATGTGGTCATGTTCATCAAGACTCTGTTGATATGCAAAAACAAAAACTGTCAAAAAAATTATTTTATAATACAATATGTAGAGATGCTGCTGATCTGGACAGAGTTGTCAACAAAGGCTAAGGATTTTCCATGGCTTATAAGTGTGCAAAGAAACTATAGTGTCTGATAACCTAGGGCTAGTGGATTTCCTATCATGCAAGTGAATTGTGTTCTTAACTTGCCCAATGAGAAAGTGAACTTTTTGGGGAATTAAAATAACCAAAAAACTGAAGCAATCCTGCTCATCAAAATTTTTTGGTGCTAGCTAAAATAATTTTGGAATAGTACATGCTAGCTACAGCTTGTCCACATGGCAAGCTGTAAAACTGTCAAAACTTTCTTTGCACTCTGCTTGAACAAAATGCCATCCTGGCTTCCTTGCCACCTCAAAAACTCCGGCTGTTCTGAGGATACATGAAGCTAGTGTCATTGCATTGTATTGAGTTACATTCTGGTTGACAGGTGCTATTCATATGTGCTGTTAAATTGAGTTATTTTATTGTGGAGAAATGTCTGACGTACTAAAAATAAAGCTATCAGCAAACCTTAACAGCAACAGAGCCTTTGTTTTCCAGGTCTGGAGAACGTGAGCGTGTTGGCCATCTGTTAATTTGTTAAGGAAGCATTCGAGTAACTATAATACTATAAGTCATTTTAACATGCATGCATGGCATACCGATGTTTTAGAAATTAATACTAAAGAAGAAAATTTGCTATCTGTGACCAAAAGATGCACACTCCTTGATGTCAGTCATTTGTATGGTGTATCATGTCTATCTATTTCTTTGTGAGTTCTAAAATCTTTTTCATGATCTGACAAAGGTTTTTCCAAAAATAAACAAAGAAAAAACGAACAAACAAACAAATGCAAAAGATTTCCTCCCACAAAAATTAATTTCGTGGTTGACAAGATCATTAGTCAGTGCAATCAACTAAGTATACATTAAAGAACAGTGTTAAAATTAGTGACTAAGAGTGACACCAACATTATTATAAAATTAATATAATTTATTCTACATTCTGGAAGTTGTTTCCTCTACACTTACAGGGTTTAATCAGCATAACTTTTCTTTCAAGTCTAATATCATTTAAATAAATAATAATTATTATAATCAGGATACTCTTCTCCTCCTAGCACCAGAGATGCCTTGAATGAAATCTTGTGAATTTGTTGAATGTATAAAAACAATATGAACTGCAATGTGCTAACAGAACCTTGAGATCTAAGATGATCTGCGGAAAGAAATAATACCAGCCAGCTGGTAAGTTTACTTGACATGTTATAACAAAGAAACAAAAATATGGTAGTTGTTTAACCCATGGCCTGCCGCTGTAAATTTTGCAGAGAAATTCTATTTAAAGCTAGCTGAGCCATTTTCAGTTTGCTGTCTGGCCAAAAAGAGCCAAAACTGCCACAAACATTGATTACAAGCTGAGTACTATGCCAGCTTTGTTGCTCATGCCAACTTACAGCTCCTGAAAGTTGGAAATACATATAAGCTTTCATGAAGGCCCCAGGGATAAGAAATTATTTTGATGGAAGTACGGGTGGGTATTGTTAAGATTTTCCATGGAATTTCCTCATCCAAGGTACATGATATTATTACATTTTTCTTGTTCCTTTATCTCTTCTGCATTAAAGATGAATCTAATTTGACTTTTTGGCCATGACATTCTCAACAACAATGCACAATTCCATGAAAAGACCACTAGGCATCATAATCTTTGAGTAAAATTATCAACACATTGACGTCAGTTGTTCTGTGGATAAGGAAGTTCCTCTGTGGATAATATTAAAACTTCCTCTAACTTGAAAGTTTAAAGTAAACATTGCACACAGTTTTAGAATTGAAAATATCTTGTTTATCAAAGCCTCAGTAACTTGCACGTTGAAAAAAAAAAAGGTTATTTAGCCTACTTGCCTATCTCCTCCTGACTCTTACAGCGAGAAAAACTCTCATTCCAGTTTGAATGCTCCTTGAAACTTGAGCCACTCAGCATATCAAAAGTTTCAAAATATCTTCAAAACAAAATAAGAATAATATTAATTAACATTTTAATAAACCATTCTTAGTCAACATGATAATGCAGTCATCATACTTACAGCCATGCCAGGTCTTCAGAAATCTGTAATTTGTTGCATGCCACATTCTTCCACACAGAGTAACTGCAAGCAAGATATAAATAACAGTGTTTGTTTTCTTTCCTATATTCAACGTTAACTGGCAAAAAACCATTCAGTAACCTTTGAAAGAAAAATGAATACCGTAAATTTTGACCTAATAATTGCCCATGGAGTCTATTTATTGTAGGGGTCCAAACTGGTTTAAACGGGAAAAGGGGGTGGGGGGCAGCCTGTAATCAACATTGAAACAAATCAAACACATCTTCGTTGTGTAAATGACACGGGCCATGCCCTGTTTCTTTTGGCCTGTGTGCCGAAATTTAGGAATGCAGGACCCAAAATGAATGCTTTGTAAATGGGACTTTAACCTACCTAATTCAATGGGCTTATAACTGTCGGCCAATACAGTGAAGTGAGCCCACTCAACGAGTTTTATTTCTCTTAGGGCAAACTTAGCCTGTAAAATTTGTTTAAATAATAAAAAGTAGTATAAACATATACCGGAAAAATAACTTTACCTTAATTTTGGATAACCTGCCCTTCCCTTGTTCCTGGCATAAGTAGACAACTTGTACAAGTTCTAAAATAGGATAATGTTAACCACTTAATTTTACCAAGGAATTCAAGAAGTGTAATTTTGAGTAGATGATCATGGTGCATGGTTGGGTTGGAGTGGGTTGATTGTTCTTTTATGGTAAATAAATGTATTGGATTTACCATTTCAGATTTGCTTCATCTATAGCAATACACTGTATATCACTGAATATGTAAAAACCTTGTATTACCTTACCTGCTGTATATTGTTGCCTTTTTGCCTCAAAAGGGGGTATCTGGAATGATTTTGAGTTTGCCATTTACTGTTCCCCTTCATAGAAAGATATAGGCGGAATAAATTTTTTTTGAATGGCTTCAGTGCCGGAGCATTTTCCCCCCAGAAAATCACACTGTGCCGCTTTCGAACTTCTCATCAGAAAGGTTGAGTGATTTTCACTTCTTCTCAACCTCCCAATCAAAAATCCATCCAAACAGCCTGGGGCTAGCTCTCAAAGAAAATTACAATCCCACAGTTTTCGAACATTCAAAATGCGTAGCAGCATTTATACATGCCAGCCAGAAATCATCCTGCTAATTGCCTCTTTTTGATTGGATGTCATTATTAAACAATGGTTGAACAATAACCGATTAAAGCAGACTAAGTGTGTATTTTTAAACAGTTATTGTTTAACGACATCCAATCAAAAAGAGGCAACCAGTAGGACGATATCTGGCTGGCAAGTATAATTCTGGCTACACATTTTGACCGATCAAAAACTGTGGGATTTTAATTTCTTCGCAGGCTTGTTCCAGGCCATTTGAATGGATTTTCAATCGCGAGGTATGGGAAGAAGCGCGAATCTTTTGGCCTTTCTGCTGCAAAGTTTGAAAGCAGAGCAATGCGATTTTCTGGGGGACAATTGCTCTGTCGCTGGAGCCTTTCAAAAAATTGATTCCACCCTTGTCCTTCTATTAAAGAGGAACAGTAAACGGTGAACTCAAAAACTTTCCAAATCGCTCTAATTAATACCCCTTTTGAGGCAAAGATACGACAATATACCGCAGGTTAAAAATAATACTACGTTTAAATTTAATTTACATTATCCATGTACATATTTAGCGATACATCACTATAAATAAATAAATAAAGCAAATGGTAAATCCAATACATCAATCGGTTACACAAATAGATTGTGTGGGGCTCCGGCCTGTACATGTGAAATCATGTGCCTAAATAGCTACAGTACGTTGTATGAGACTTAATTATTGATGCTAAAATTCTAAATATAAAATGAATGAAATAAATTAAAAACATTGCCAAGCAAAATAAATATAGCTGTATAATGATTAAGAACTATATCTTTAGATTTTTTAACTAAAAGCTTTTGATTAGTTAGCGGAAATCAGAGCTGCTTATGCAGAAAATGCGTGTTGTTACCTGCAAAGTGAGTTTAGGCGGCAAAGGGGCGTGAATTGCACCGAAATCAAAGGCATCAGGCTTCACCCAAAGAGCGATGGAGGACATATCGTACACACTTGTCAATAAAAATAGGAGAAGGATATGAAATCCGCTCCATAAGGAAATCAGCAAGCACTACCCTTGACACCAAAACATTCTACCGCCATTTTACACAAGAGCGCTAAGGGTTCTGGGACATTTCAATGGACGAATGTTTCCCATGATACACTGTACTGCTTCAGTTATATCCATAGCAACGCCGCCATCTTGGTGAAAGAAGTTGAAGCAAAATAACACCGTTTTTTACGGCCAAAAAAGCGATCCAAAATGACTGTGAACTTGGAAGAATATTTTAGAACTACATTTGAGGATAAACTCCTTGTGTAAGTATCAAAGAGAACCTAATTGTGGTTAGATTTAGTGAAAATTTGACAATTTGAAGTTCTCGCGCGTCTTACATGAAAACTTTTACTTTTCTGTCGTTTCTAGCAAAATGCCCGAGCGCGAGGACGATCATCTTACACCAGCCACTCGGCTTCTAGAAAAGAGACGAGAAATGTCGGAAGTGGAACAATCATTAGGAGCTCAGAAAGAGGTTTTAATATTTGGTGGTTTATTTAAAACTTAACCTTAATACTGTACCTTATTTAAGCTTATCTATCAAAATATGTAGAAAGTAAGAAAAAATAATAAGTCTTAAATTATTAAATAAGTTAGTATTTGATATGCTTATATAGGACAAGGTTTATATTTTAAATTGTAATATTTGTCTTTCCCTACCAGCATTTGAAAATTTGGAAACTATTATTATTATTATTATTTCTAATATATAATCTATTATAATTATAATCTTCGCATTACTTATTCATTTTGCCTTGAGAATGGTGTCATGATTATACCGAAACGTCGACTTTTAACGTTAATATTCGCTTGATTATTATTATTATTATTATTATCATTTATTTTATAATCATTAAAAATAGCAATGTACTAATAGCAAAATGAAGAATCTGAAAGATGATCGAAGATTTATAGGCAAGTTAATTTCTCCAAGATTTTTGTCTGCCTGGTTTTTGATACCTGCAATTATTAAAGAAATGACTGTTGCAATTCAACTTTTTGAGCCTAGTATGGAGATGCCATATTTGTGTCTCATTGAGGGGCGCCAAAATGGCAGCCTGCAACTAACGGAAATAATAGCACCACCTTTTGAACAACCGGGACCAGTTTTTGCGGATTGTTGGGTTTCAACAGATACAATAATTTGATATTTCCATTTTTGTAGGAATTTCAAATGAAAATGGAAAGTCTTCAACAAAGAGGAGAAGAACTTGAGAGGAAGGAGTTTCAGCTGAAAGAATCATTGTTAAAATTTGATAAATTCTTAAAGGTACGTTGTTCAATCTTATTTGCTTCTGAATACGCAAATAAATATTATAAACTTCAAAATGATACAAAATTAAAGTTCATGATATTCATTTTTATTGGCTGTATAGGAAAACGACTCTAAGAGAGCAAGAGCTCTAAAAAAGGCAGCAGAAGAAAGGGAGATGAGAAGGGCAAAAGACAGAGAAATTGCAAGGTATTGATTCTTTAGAACAGTTTCTTAACGTTTTTTGTAAAATTTATCAATTGTATTTATAGGTTAGTGACAGAATTCAAAGCTAAGGAATATAGATTATTATACATTGTACTTTTCATTAATGGAGAACAAGAAAGCCTTGCCAGTCTTGTGCTGTTGGCCATTGGTCAGGGCCCAGTTGTTCGAAAGGTGGATAACGCTATCCACTGGATGAGTCTCCAGCCAGTGGATGCAATAATATTGATTTCCCTAATACTTGTCCTCTGGATATTGATTTATCTGGTGGATTGTGCTACCCAACATTTGAACAACCAGGCCCAGGTATTTAAAAGGCTAACTGTGTTCTCTTATGTAAAGTATAGCAATGCAAAAACACCATGATCAGGAATCTATTAACTTATTTAAGGGCCTGCCATCAGAGAGTCACCTTCAAAACTTGTGTCAAGTCCAGACTGGGTCAAGTCTTTGGAAATAAATCTGTAGGCTGTACTGCAACATCACTCCCTATGTAATGTTGTTTGTGTTATGTGCTAAAAGAAATAAAATTTGCTTTCCAGGTTGAAAGAGGAAACATCAACTTTAATAAAAGAGCGTGATCATATTCAGTATAAGTTAGAAAAGAATGTCATTTTTCAACAGTACCTTGAAAAAGTTCTGGAGGCTGCTGAAGAGGTACCAGACTACTATCCTAGCTACTATGTACACTAGCTGTTTTTTAAAGAGGAGAATTCCATGATGTTATTGTGGAAATAAAGTTACGCAGACTGAAATAAATAAATAAATTTAAAGTACCGGGTTGCTAATTTGGAAACAAGAAAGTTGTGTGTCTTGGAAACCTTTCATATTGTCTCAGAATCTTGTTGTTGTGTTGTTTGTTATAAGTCTCACCAAAAAAATGACCACTCAATTAAAAGTACCATAATGTATAGGTAGTAGTATTGAATTTTATTTTGGAGAGAGCTTTTGTGACATAGGGAAACCAAACAGTGCAAAAAGTACCCTGATCATATTGGTCTAACCTTAGCACGGTAATGCTATTCTCGCACTGAGAGACTGCTGTTTTTCTCTTCAAGTTTCAGGAAATCCGTGAAGTGATAGCTAGATATGATACACTCACAGCAACCCATCAGGTACTGGCCAGGGTATATTTCATACAAAATCGATAATGCTGACTTGACGATAATTATTAGTTTTATTTATAAACATTTGTTTCTGACTGCAATAATGTTTTGACTATGAGAATCATTAAATGTGCCTATCAAATGAGAATAATTATTTTCACCTTTTTTATTATTGAAATTAATTGATAAAAAAGAACTATTTTGATGGTAAAATCAGGTTTTAAAATGTTGCACCACAACATGTTTTCTTAAAATAGTGCTAAATGCTGGTTGAGCAGTCTTATGACAAAGGGAAACATAGGAGAAAAGTAAAAATGCTTGTGTTACCTGATTCAGTTTGTTGGCAACATAAAAAATGATACAAGTTGTCTTAAAACCAGATGTTTTTCTTAATCAGGATCTATTAGAAAGGGAAACAAAGAATCAAGAAAAATATGAGAAAGAAAAGGGAAGATTGGTGAAATTCACAGAGGTATGTTTCTTTGTGTCTTGTACTTAATATAATTTTATGTAAATTTTGTTGGAAATAAATGCAAAACAACTTGCGAAAAATATTTATTAAGACGCTGCAAACTTAGAATGTAAACAACAATTAATTAATTGAGACTGCTTATTTTGTTTAACTAAGTCAGCAAATAATGTGAGTCAAATCATCAGAGGCGGTTGACTTTTAAAATTCCTTCTTGCAAATGAACAGATTTAAGCGACATAAAGATTGCCGATGCCCTAGCAGAAGCCTCGGGATGGACCCTAGCATCTTTCTTTTGCTTTTGGGTACCTAGAAAGTGTTAGTTTTTGTATTAAACTCTAAATTTCCAAGACTTGTCGTGTCTTTGGCTCCTTATAGGTTAGCAACTAAAACGGTTTTTACATTTGTATTTTTTCTTATTGTTTTACAAACTATAAATATAGTTTTGGTCTGCAGATGACAATATATTCTGTACATATTTTTGTTTTCATTTTCAGGAAAAGAACAACGAAATACTAAACTACAACAACCAGGTAAAAAAATTTACATGAGGACTTAAGTTGAACTTCTTCACTACAAGCGCTGCAAGTAACTTTTAAAACAATGAAGATGAGACCACGGTCTTCTGTTTCACTTTGCGTTCTCACTGTGGACTTCATGTAGAAGCTATCCTTGTGTGACAAAACCGAGAATTCAGAGCTAGAGAAATAAAAAGACCAATGAAAATTTACCCTGGGTTTTCAGTTAACCCTTTAAGTTCCAATAGTGACCAACAGCAATTTTCTCAAAACGACCTGGAACCATCGTGAACTGAATCTTCTTCTTTCTTAATTTGCGTCACCTAAGAGCCAATACTATCCTCTTTTATCAAACAGCTTAACTAATTCATCTTAAAGAGATTGTTGTCCAAACGCAAGGAATATTGGGGCACAAGGAACGCCTTCTTTCTTTCTTGTCCATTCAAAGACCTGGAGCCAGTCAACTGAATCTTCTTCTTTTTCTTTTGCGTCAGCGGCCATGTATCCTCTGTGCAGACAGTCCTGAGGCATGACTATACTTATGTTCTCCAATAACCTGAGGTCAGGCCCAATTTGAACGCCTTTTTCTTTGTCATTCTTCTCTCTCGGCTTTATTCTACCCGCCGGAATGTAATTTTTGAAGCGTTTTTGAAACGAAAAGTCCTGAGGCCTGATCTCAGGTTACAAATCGAATCACGGGTCAATATTCTTAAATCTGTTTCTTTGATAAAGGGTATAAATTCTGGAAGACCCCAGAATACATCTTATCATGAGTACAGAATAAGGACAATCAAACATAACCCCATAGGTCTGTAGTAGCCACAAGCAGGGCTCCTGCCACAAGTCAATGAAAAATGTTTACATATAGCGGACCATGGAAGTAGGTTTTCTTGCGATATGTTTTTAGACGAACATTTGAGTGAGGGACGAAGCAAGTGAAGTGATTCCTCATCATCAGTTACAGTAAGCTCTATCTGTCATCAAGTTTGTTGTTTTCTGTTTTAACAGTTAGCGCATTTACAGACCAAACTGGAGCGAGCTCAGAGTGTAGCAGTCAAATGGGAATCGCAATGGACTCACATACAAAACACCGCCGCCAAGAAAACTCTGCTTTTAGGGAGAATAAAAATGTAAGTAAGAAAAAGTGCATGCCATATTATATTTGTAGGCTGCAGTAAAAAAATAAAAACATGCATAATAGAAAAAGTTCCATATTTGAATTCAATAAAGCGCTTATCGTTTACAAATTTGTCACTTTCGATCTCAGCGCCTTTCTCAAGTAATATTAAATGTTTTGTCGTGTTACTTTATTTACACTCACATGACAAAATATCCTGCGGTACAGTTAAGGTGGATTTCCACCATCGCGCGCTCAACTTTCACGTTTGCGCGTGGCCTTTCATACATTGTCTCCTTTTCATTTACACGCGTAAATTTTACGTGTGTTCGCACGGAAAAATTACGCGACAGTGGAAATCAACCCTTACGCTCGATTGCCAGCTACTGCTCGGAAAAATGAGTCTGCTCTCATCCCCTCGTCTCTCTTTGGGGAGGATCAAAGTCCGCACTTAGGAGACAGCGGAAATCGAGTCTAGGTACGGTTCGCAACTGAGTTCTTTGTTGAGGGTAAGGCCTGACACCATCGCGCGCTCAACTTTCACGTTTGCGCGTGGCCTTTCATACATTGTCTCCTTTTCATTTACACGCGTAAATTTTACGTGTGTTCGCACGGAAAAATTACGCGACAGTGGAAATCAACCTTTACGCTCGATTGCCAGCTACTGCTCGGAAAAATGAGCCTGCTCTCATCCCCTCGTCTCTCTTTGGGGAGGATCAAAGTCCGCACTTAGGAGACAGCGGAAATCGAGCCTAGGTACGGTTCGCAACTGAGTTCTTTGTTGAGGGTAAGGGCCTGACACTAACAACACTTTATGACTTGATATTTTTTTTGTGTTTGATCATAGGGCAACACATAATCTGTTTATGCTGGTCAACAGACATCTAAAGCAAAACACCGTAATAGAAGTCACAGAGAAACAGCTGGAAAAGGTGAAGTTCGTGACGACGTGGTTTACTACATTTCCTGTTAACATTACGGCGGCTTCAGTTTATTCCAAAATAAAGATTTGAACAGAAATGTTCAAGCGAAATGTTCACTTAGCTGAAATCATTTCTAAACCCACAGTCAAACAATCATCTCGCAAAATAACGCTTTAAACAGCTCGGGACGGCGAAAAAACATGACAGAACTAAGTCAACTTTTCGCTTTACTTCGTCGTTCGCTTGAATATATATTTTCGGTTGCAATCTGTATTTCGGAGTAAACTGTAGCCGCCGTAATGTTCGTCTGTATTTCTTCTTTTGAGTACAAAAGACCGATGCTCTGATATTTGCTCAGATTTCTGCCACACGAGCAGAGGGTGGTCTGCCTGTGGTATGGTCATGGTCGAGCCCTTGACATCTGCGATACCGGCGCAGCGCTCTGTACCACTTGAGCCAAAGGCTTACCACCCTAATGAATGTTCATCTGTATTTCTCCTGTTGAGTTCAAAAGACTAATGCTCAGATTTCAATAATAAGAACGGCCGCAATGCCTGTGCTTGAGCTGACAAAAATTATCTCTAGAAAATTTCTCCTCTTCCCCCTCCGCTCCCTTATCCCCGCTCCCCCAAATGCTTTTCTATTAAGAGATATCGGAGAGTTGCGTGTTACGAGTGAATTTTCTTTGTTCGTGTTTTTGTTTTCAGATTCAAGTATTTATCCAGGATCTGACACAAATCACTAATGAAATCAAAAGAGCGGAAACAGCGGCCACTAATGCCCCATCAACAATGAGCTGAGTAGCAAAGCACTGACCGGCAAACTAGAATGAATGTACAAAGATGTAAATAATGTATCAAGAGTTTTTATTTCATATAATACCTTGCTTATAAAGTTCAAATAATTGAAATAAATTGTTGTATAAATGACCAAAAAATTTGTGTATTCAAATGATGGGACTTTTGATTACTTTTCACTTAGAAGCCGACAATGATCTAATTTAGGGAACTTGAGCAACCACGACGGCGGCGACGCCATTTCAAACACCATCGCTCTTATTCTGATCTTGCTCAATGTTTGAAATTTTGGCGAATTTTTTTTGGAATTGAATTCTAAAGAACCGTATCTAAGTTCAGAAAACGAAAAGAAACTTATTGTCTTGAGTTTATGTCCTCCATAAAACGCGAAATTAGTCATTTTCGTGTCGAAGTTAGTCGTCAGTGTCAACGACGGCAAAGACGCTTGAACGTATCAGAGATTACAGTGGAACCTATATTGAGCCAATGAGGGGACACCCTCAGGACCAAGGAAAGTGTCCCCTGAATAGAGGTGTAACTCTAAATGGAGGTGGGGCTGGGGTTTGTTAATAATTAACCAACAAATAAAATATTTTTCTTTTATTTTGTCTCGGGATCTGCTGCAATTATTATTTCAAGCAGATAGATGATGTGTAAAAAATCAAGATTAACTTTATCTCTGGCTGCGTTATTGTGTGTTGCATTTCCACAGGTGAAGTACATCAATTTAAGTGAGATAGTCCGTCTTGTGAAAGCTGTCGTCCTTCTGAGAAGTGTAAACTTAAAATTATCAACGCTTTTTGTAGTCAGTCGTTTTTTGAGTGTGTCCCCTGAGGGGAGGTTAAACCCTGTTTTCGGACCCAGAAAAAAAGTGTCCCTTCAATCGGAGATGACAGGTACAAAGATTATCTGAACATTTTTCCGGGACAAATTTTCTATCCCCTGAATGGAGTTGTCCCTTGAATAAAGGTGTTCCAAATATAAGGAGAGGTTCCACATGGTTCCACTTTAAAAGAAATATTTCTACTAAACATATGTTGGCTAATTTGTCCGTCCCATAACGCTACAAAGAAATGATCTCGATATTAAATACAAAAAGCAGACATAGGAGAGGGTCCTTTAAGTGCCAGTGCGATCAAGTGTTTCCTCGAGCTATTTATACTTTCTTTTTTCAGTTTTTAACTTCCTTTTTTTTGAAAGAAGAAATGGTATGCCTACCTGATAAAAAGTTAAGTTTTTAATTCAAAGAGCGGTGGAAATCCTTTTACCAGCTGTAATATTCTCACTCTTATACGACCCTGATTGATAGAATCGAATTGATCGATGTTTGGTAACGCCTAAGAGGGTTCCTAGCGTTCATGCTGTGCCGTGCTTTTTGATTGGTTTACTTTTCGAAACGCCTGAAAAGGTCAGAATCAGAAAGCGGGTACATTGCTCACATCAAATTTCGAAATGTTACCTGCATGATCAAAAACCACGTTTTAATTCAAAAGCGGCGAAAAACCTGATCATTTTACTAGCGGTAATATTCTCACTCTTATTACGACCTGTACCAGACATTTTGTGGGATGTAAATCGATAAAACATTCGTGTGGCACGAAGCGATTGATTAGGTAATGCCCAAAGGGGGGTCCTTGAAACATTCATGCCATGCTTTTCAATTGGTCTTTTTTCGAAACGCTTGAAAAAGTCAGAATTCAGAGCGCGGGTATATTGCTCATATCAGATTTCGAAATCGCGTTCAGCTTCTAATTTCGTCAAAGCAAGCTAAACCACAAGTCAATCGCATGAAGATAAAAAGGAATCAGATCTCGTATTTCCAAGACATAGCAGAATAATGGCTGCTTGTGGTCTTCTCCTGACTGTTTTGTTGTTAGTCGTGGCGAATGAGGTTTCATCCTCAAGTACACGCAAGTCAGGTATAACGCTAGATTTGTGTGGTTCTTTACAAGCAAGTAAAGAAATAATCATCAACATTGTTGCTCACAACGACGAAACCAGACAGGCCAAGATCACTGGAGATGGGAATACAAAACAATATAAGGTCCAAATAGACGGGGCTAGTTTACAACAGGATGATAAATATCAATTCCAGTCACAACAGAAATCGATCAAGCAAGTGACGGTCACTTCAACCGCCAGTCACATTTGTGTGAATGCTCTTGTCATAGACACAATAATCGTCGTGGACCAGCCAACGGATTTCAAGACCACTTGTCCGACTCCGTCCCCTGATGCCGTCTTAGAGCGTCCCTGCAAACAATTCGGGGTCTCAATTGATGTTTCAAGGCTTTTTGTTTGTCCCGAGAGGCTTAAGGACTTGCTTCTTAAGCAAAAAATAGTCACAGCTACCCCAGGATCACAAGCAACAGATGGAGAGCCTCCCACGTATGATATTACGAACGATATGCTCCAAGCATCATCTGCCATTGCTGCGGGCTTAACTGAAGGAACCGGTACTATTACCGAAGCACGACAAAAGTACAGAGAGGCTAGCAAAGCTAGCCCCCTGAAAAAACTGGGGACACTTGCAACAACGTTTGAAACAGCTTCGTCGTTTATCAGCGCTATAGCTCCCGTGTTTAGCATCTTCAGCGGAATAGCTTCCATTGCGACAACGTTCTTGACTCCAAATCCTTTTGATGAGCTGGCAAAGTACTTGGACCAAGAGTTCAAACAGATACACAATCGACTCACAGACATACAGGCCGACATAGCTGACCTGGGCCGCCTAATTGAGGCTAAAGGAGGAGTCTTAGCGATGACAGAGCAACTTAGCGCTATACGGTATACCATTAGAAACTATGGTGTCCTGGTAGATGCAATGTCAAAAAAACCGGTCTGTGGAGCAAGAGAACTATCGAAAATGCCAGAGGTGGAAAGATTCATCAAACAATATGAATACGGTGAGCACTTAACTAACTGCAACGATCAGTTGTATCTTGTTTTCAAGGACCTTCTGCTGAAAAGAAGGCTTGTTTACAGTTATCAATTTTGGGCTTCTAAGGAGGTATGGTTACTGACCACGCCCGCTTAGATGGGTTTCGCTCCGTTACAATATTGGAGGGTCTCAATGGGGTGGTGGCTCTTACGGTTATCGGCTAAAATTTTGGCTCTTTTACGGCTATCGGTTAATTTTTTTCGGTTACGGTTAACGAAAAGTTATAAATTAATTTCTTTTGTTTCAAAGAGTTAAAAAATTAATAACCCTTATTTTTTTAAAATAAATGTCTTAGGATCATCTTGGGATGAAATGTTGTTCTTTTGAAAATTTTTAACATTTCATAAATCATGCTTTTAAGGAATTCCACTTCTAATATCATTTTACGCATGTATGTATGTATGTATGTATGTAAATCTTTATTTAAACACGGGAAATCATCAGTTAAGCTTAAGTTAAAAACTAAAACTAATTACAACTGCTTTACATGATTGCCGTGTGGGAATCCGATATATCAGCTACCTTCTTGATATTTCGCTTAAAATGCTCAACGGATGCAGCATTTTTTAAGTTTTGGGGCAAGTTATTCTATAACATGGCCCCGCTGTAAGAGAAGCTTCGTTTCAAATAATTGGTGCTTGGTTTGGACAGGGTCAGCCTTCCCTTAGAGTTTCTTAAGTTGTAAGCAGAGTGACGATGAGAGAAAAGACTTTGTAAATATTCCGGAGCAAGGTCATTCATAGTTTTATACATCATTAAGGCTTTTTGTTTCTTTCGTCGAAGAGATAGCCTCTCCCAGCTGAGGGTGGAGAGAAGGTGGTTTGAGCTCGCATCAAAGGGTGATTTAGTAATAACTCTGGCTGCACGATTCGGTAATTTTTGGAGCTTATCACTCAAGTAACCACTCAAACAGTCCCAGACGGGGCTGCAGTAATCAAAAGGAGGCATAATTAAAGCGTTATAAATTTGAATTGCAGTTTCTTTGGATACAAAGGGCTGCACACGTTTTATGGCGCCTATAGCTGAAGAGACTTTCTTGCAAATCTCTTCAACGTGTTTACCCCAAGAGAGTTGAGCATCTATGGTAAGACCCAAGGATTTGGTATGATCGACTCTCTTGATAATTTGGTCATCAATTCTCATTTCTACATCGTCACATTGGGCAGATAGTCTTTGTCTTGATCCAATAATCATTAGCTCTGTTTTAGCAACATTTAGACTAGCTTCTTAGCTTTCAGTCAACAGCTAAGGTTATTTAATTCAGGGATTAGAGCTAGCTTAAGCTCTGTTAACGTCTTAGCAGATAACGTAAGGTTGGTGTCATCGGCAAACATTCTTGGTACGGCGCCCCGCAGGGAGTTGGGAAGATCATTAATGTAAATTAAAAATAGCAAAGGACCCAATATGCTACCCTGCGGCACGCCGCAACTGACGGTACCGGCAGATGATAGTTTGCCACTGACATTACATAGAAATGTTAACTTCGAAAAAGTTTGTCATCTTTTGCATCTTGGCGTGATTTCCTGTTCTTCAGGGGCTAGTGATTCGTTCTTGCCGCCGCTTTGTATTTGCTACCCTCTTCTCTTTTTACTACCACGATAGGGTCTTTACCCCACTGAAGAACAGATTGTACAACATGAACTAAAAAAGAACAACCATACAGACTGAGACTCGAACATTTCTGTGACCCTCACATTTACAAGTGTTGGGATATCAAGCCGAGAAGTACGCGGCTTTGAAGATCTTTGCCGCAGGAGAGTTTTCTCATTCTCTTAAAATGACATGAACTCTTTGTTTAAAATAGAAACAAAAGGTTAATATAAGCTATTGCCAGTCAACTAAAATTTATCAGCCACGCGAAAAGGACCATTCCTAATAAAAGACATATAACAGTTTATGAATAGAATCTTCAATGCAAAACTAGCAGAAGCGTGAACGTAAAGACTCAAAGTAGCCGTGAAATAAGAAACGCCGGCGTTCTAAGTGAGTTTAGCACCTTCCTCAAAACTATCAAACCTAAGGAGCAAAATGTTTTTTACGGTTAACTCTTTTTACCCTATTTATGGCTACCGGTTAAAATTTTTCAGTTGTTACGGCTATCGACTAAATTTTGGGACGTTTTACGCCTATGGGTTAAGCCCATTGAGACCCTCATATAGGGATGAATGGACACTGAACGATCTCGATCTGAGTAAGAAATAGGAAACAAAATTTGAGAATTATGCTTTTGTGCGTCACCCTCAAAACAGTAGCATTATGTCAAAAATTATGCTCGAAAAGTAGCACTATGCTCGGCTGATCTTGGTTTTAATTGATGCCCTTTTCCATTCCTGCAGTCAAAAAAATACCTCCGTACTAATTCAGAAATACAGCATCTTAGTGCATCATTTGCTGGCAGCCACGATGCCTAGGAAACTGGCAAGCCTTGACAGTCTTGCAGTCGATCGCGACATTTAATAGGTTCCTAATAGTTAAGTGAGAAACAGCTACAAAAAATACACAGCTGGTACCTGCCGACAATTAAACCTCTAACCTCGGAGAGGTTTAATAACCTTGAATTATCTTTTGTGTAATTACTGCTCTTTTCTTCTAGATTCCGTAGATAATGTTCTCTTGGATCTCTATGGGGTAGAGTTTGGTGAACTGCCAGAAGCAACCTCTCTTCTAAGACCATACATGCTGGCTTATTGCCACGGCAAGAAGCACCTCGTTGAGAAATTAGCTGACGAGTTAACCTACTATGGTTATGCAGGTCTGCAATGCCACTTCACGTACCACACTCTTGCTACTGCGACCAAGGGCTTAAAAAGCGATCTTACAATTGAAGCGGACGATGTTTGGATGACCAAGCTGTACAAATTTGCCAAGAAAGCGAACGCTTTTAGAGAGGCTTCGTTGTCGAAGCCAGGTCGGGCACTAAATTTTGATCTGGAAGACGAGCTTTTGATGAGAATATCACAAGATGAGACAAAGGTTTTGGATTGGTTAAAAAACAGAATCACCAACGCCAACGACTGGCCTTATCAGTGTTTTATGAAAGAGGCTAACGGAAGGGAGCAAAGAAACACTCTGTATTTACTTTATCAAAAAATAGACAGCGCTGAGGATTTTAGTTCGCAAACCGCCGAACAGTTTTTGAGCTCTGAACCATGGTCTGGTGGCCTGAATGATGTGGAGTTTGCCTCGAGGGAAGTGTACATTAGAACACCGACGGAGGTTACAGCCAAGGGACATCCTTATCGTGAAGGGCAGGGATGTACAAAACCAGCAACGGATATCGGGATATTCGTAAGCTACTGTCCTAACCCTGCTAGCTGTAATGTGAAGAAGAAGGTGTGGGTAGCTTGGAAAAAGTTCTCTATCTGCTTCTACCGAGAAGGAACTTGGTCGCCAGGTCGTTTCATGGGGCACGGGAAAAAAATGATATGGATCCCCGAGACAATGCTGAAAACAGCAGAACGTTTTTAATAGTAAAACATTATCCCTAGTTTCACCACAGGTAACCCAGGCTCTGTGATAGTGGCACAGTACGATTCCTCTAAAATTACAGTGTTTGTAAGGGGTAAGGTTGCAATCGTAAAATCCTTAACTCAAGTCAATTAAAACTTACTCTGCAGTTGGTTATTGTTGTTCTTTATGCTCACGCGACGTTTCGTGATATGCTCAAATTCCCCCAGCACACAATAAAATAGACAAGTTAGGTCGCAAGAGATGAAATCTCAGCCGTCACTGCTCCTTTTCCAATATCATTTTTTCCACGAAATTCGAACTTCGAATTCAGCAGTAAATAAACACGCTAGGAAAGAAATAGGACTGCTCCAGATATGGAAATCCCACGAAGCTTTCCCAGTTAGCGAAACAAATCTGGCACACTTAAGGCAGTTAAGTCTGGTTTTCACTAGCGACAGAGTCGGAGTCGTAAGAGCGCTTATGACCTAGTGAAAATCAAAAATCCGAGTCGTAAGCGGAGTCATAAGGACGACGGAATCGGAGTCAGAAAAATCAGAACGTTTCCATTTCTGCTTCCGACTCCGACAATCTGGTTTTCACTTGGTCATACGCGGAACGTAAGCGACAGAGTCAGAGCGGAATCGGAACGCTGTTTGCACTAAATCATAAACTCTACGCTTCTGATTACGACTCCGACTCCGTCGCTAGTGAAAACCAGCCTTAAACCTGCAGAGCAGGCGTTTTTTAACGGAAACTCAGAGGTACCTCTATTTTAAACCCACCAACCTCTACCTTGAAATCAGTTTTTAACTCCCCCCAACTGTCTGGTAGTTTCAACGTCTAAGATGGCGGGATAGCATTATTGCCGAAAAAAATCTTCTATTGCGCTGCAAAATACAGGTAAATATGCCTACTTTGCAGGCTAAGCAGAGAACCCAAATTTGGCCGATTCTATTTGCGCCGAAGTGATCGAGTCAGATAAACGCGTGGCCAAGCAAGTTAGGCTTTTACACTGTACAAAATCAAATCCACCCTGGGCTCCCTAATTGACATACTGGATGTCGACTGGCCTAAAGTACACTGAAAATTAAATTGATCTCTTTCAGCTCCAAAGTGCCAATTTAGCCCTGCAGATTAGAGCCTGCTTCAGCCTTCCTGGAGCCATTTTAGCACAATTTAAGCCAAAACAGCCCCATCAAAAGCCTATTACAGCCCACGCTAGGATTCAATTCAGCCCTTGGGTCTAAATCAGCTCTAGCTAATTAGACTGTATCGGTCCCACAGAAACGGCCCCATTTTTAGGGCTAAGACAGATTTTTCTGGTTTTCTCGAGGGCTATTGTTAGCATTAGCCAATCGCAAATCGCCAAAGCAAATTCCGTTCTTTCAAAACGAGGCTAAGTTCAAAAAATTAGTTTTATTTGCTTGAACTAAAAATCATTTTCACATCATTGCTTCGCACTAAGCTTCACTTTGAAACAGAGGCTTCAGGCTACTCTGATCTGGCCTATTAAAAAGAAAGAAACATAAGAGTAATCGCCAAACTTTCGCAAATTAAGCAACACGGCCGACTCTCAGTTTCGTCGCTGCGCTGTACTCGGTTTCTAGACAGCCAAGTCCAAGGAACAAGTACTCACCTTCCCCACCCATGACACTTACGACTAGTCAATCACTCCCCCAAGCACTGCTAGTAATGTTATGATTATGCGTCAGAGCATTGATTTGGCTGGGCTAGCCCACAGGAAAAATTCCTTGACTTTGCACTGCTTTCTGACTTGAAACTCTAATCAAAATGACAAAATCTCCCTCCCCCCCCCACGTCTGGCACAAAACAAGTCAGCCAGCCACCCACAGTTAGGTCTGCGCCTTGGATCTCTGCCGACACTTAGCAAGACGGCAAGCCGGTTTTGTTTCTTTTCTTTTGCGGCTACACTGGCTTGAATATGGGCGATTCCCGTGTTCAAGCGAAAACTTAAGGGGCACCTCGGAAAGTTAGCTAAGGTTTTCTACAGTTGCACAATTTTTGAGGCACGTTCATCGACTGTCACAACAAATCCACTTTACAGTCACGCATGAATATGAACGAGTCTCAAAAGTTGTGAAACTACAGAAAACCTTCCGACTGCCCTATGAATGGCCATTGCCTCAGGAAATCCATTGTATATCCAGCGACCGTAACAACAGAAGACAGCAAACCTGACGAGACTTAACGTTGTATTAACTGAACACAGTTTTAAGACCCGCTTCGCGAACCATCCGACTCGAAAGTTCAAAGAAGAAACTATACAGATCACAAGCGAATTTACTAGGTAATAAAACAGTGAAGAAAAAAACCGCCAGAAAAAATTCTTTCGCTTGAGTTGATCACTGATCGGTGAAATGTTCGGTATCGCTTCGGATTGTAACGGTAATGTTTTTGTTCTTCACGTTCTAAGCTAACGCCACATGGTCCTGTGCGGGATTTCCTATCAGTCCATCTTCATTCAGCTGAACGTTATTCGGCTCAACAAGTTATTCTGTCAAAGCAAGTAAAAACAAGAAAAACGGTTGGAGTTATTTTCTCATTAATTTTCTGTTCTGTTGGGTGGCAGAGGGCTATCTTCAGGATCCGGGATTCGGCCAAAAATTCAGGGAGGTCATTAATATTTCAAGTTGCCAGGTAAATACAACAAGTAGGCGGGGAATCAAACAGCTAGGGATTTCTTTTGGCTCTATTTTTCTTCTATTTTCCTATAAAAGTAGGCGGGGGAAATCTCCGGCCCCTGCCTCTTAATGACAGCCCTGCCGAAATACAGTGCGGGATTCGGGAAAACGCAAAAATTGTTGACGGGATACGAGATTTGACCACTATTCGGGACGCGGGATTCGGCAAAATCTTGGCACGGGATGCGGTATTGGACTCCTCTTCCAGGGGTCAATTCAATAAAACTTTGTCAAGTGTAATTTACAAGCCATTGTTTTAGAGTTCGAGAACAATAGTTACACTTGTAAATTACAGGAGTAAAAGGTTTATTAAATTGACCCCAGGAATGAATGTCCAAAGTCCAAAGTATACAAGTGGAGGGCTGAATGCAATACCTCGCAGGGTTGTTAGTAAGGGCCGGTAGCCGGCCAAAACCGCTTGCTAGTCAGCCATCCTTAGCCGGCTACTTTCATCTCCTTCTACCGCTACATTTATAACTGCCAACAAAAATTAAGCACCGTCGAACAAAATTGCAAAGAATTCGTTTCCCAGTTTCGAAAAAAATTTAACGCGTTTTTGAGCAGGTTTAGATCTGTGAAACGTTCGAACCGTGCGATGTCGTGGAACGCCTGGAACATTTCTCGTCTCATTTGCGTGTATTCTGAAGGACATCCGTTCTTAGTCTTGCAACAGGACGGCAGAGAGAAGAGGACGACAAAAAACGCTGTATTCTGACGAAACAACCTGACGTCCGCGGTTTAAAGAAAAATGAAGTTTCTTGAAAACAAAATTGTTGTCCCTTGTCAAAAGGTTTGCGCCATTTCACTTCCTGAATCTCTAAATTTAAAAATATCACTAGATGTCTCGGCCCTCAAGAACTTGTGTCTTTGGTGCGAGTTCCAAAGCCGCCTACTATTCATTATCAGCCTGCTACTTAAAACTTTTTGACAGTCCTGCATTTAGTACCTTTGATTCATCGCTGCTGCTCCATTGAGCAGAGATTTAACGAAACTGAAAAGACTGAACAAGTGAAGTGTAATACGTTCAAGCAGGGGCGTACCTGATTGTAAGCCAAGCACGGGATTAAAAAGGTTTTTTGGTAAATTTTATTCTCACAATTATTTTGACCGGATGCCAGTGTCGAAGGCAACTTCGGAACGATCATTTAGTTGTATTTGAAGGGTCAAGACGTACTTGCGCTCTACTATGCGAGCAGAGAAGCTCTCTGGGCTCGCGCTCATAGTTCTACATGCGCACATGGACAAGAGTATCGACACAGACAAGGTGATCTGGGAGTTCTGCGCCAGGAAACCCCGCAGATTGGCGTTTGAATTCTAAACAAATGTACACAAAACTTTCCTCGGCTTTACATTTTAGAATGCCACGCTAACACAGCTTTGTCTTTGCGTTCATTATATTGTATAGAAGTAGGGAAATACAACATTTATGTAAAGTAATTGTAACTTAAAGGTCCAACTAAAGTTACTTTACAACCTGTAAAATCCGCCCCTTGTACGGATGTAAATTAATAAGCGTATCCAGCAACATTTTGGTAGCGGGATTAAAGCTGGAAAATGCCCAGGAACGCCCCAGCGTTCATGTATATCCCGGAAAAAACTGGCACATTTCATTTCGTACCTTAAGGAATGTGGAGACCATCTTTTCAGTAAATCCATCTATCAGTTTCAACTCATGCACCTAAAAATTAGAAGAGTACAGAAGTGGTAAGAGCCGCGGAGCTAGGGTTAAGTTCCATAGAGACCTTCAGATCTGAGGACGAGATTTGACTGAGAGTTTTTTTCAAATTATTCTCAAAAAAATAGACACTCCGGAAAGCATCATTGTACTTTTTTCGCCCGTAAAAGTTAGAACTGTTTTCTTTATACGCTCTTCTCACTTATGGTAATATGCCCGTCTAACCTCGTTTACGGGTAAAAATTCTTTTGAAATTCAAATACGAAAACGTCGTCTGATTAGCATTTCAAAGGACTTTTTACTCAAAAACGAGGTTAGACGGGCATATTACCATAAGTGAGAAGAGCGTATTGAAGGAAGTTAAGCGATCTTCCGATCGTATAAAAATAATAATTTTTCTAACATCTGATAACTTGTTTCCGCCACTACGACATTCACGCTAAAACTCTTAGTAGAATGATGACGGCTAGCACGTTTTCCCGCCAAAATGACTCGGGTTCACGCGCGCGCACCAAATTCCTCGCGGTCACACTTTCGCTTGAAATCACTCTTGTGACGTCAGACAAGCAAACCTAAGTACGTGCTAGAGATTCGAGCAAGCGGGAACTGGTCACATTGAAAGAACAGCAGCTTACTTATTTATGTAACACACGTTTCGATATGGACAAATTCTAAATGCTTCTGTTTGAACCTTTTTTCGCACTTTACTCCCACGCAAGCAAAGAAGAAGACGGCGACAGGTGTTCCTTCAAAACACCAGGTTGGAACACTTGCTGCAGCTGAATCACCAGAAAGGTTTGGTATAAAACCATTCGCATATGGTCTTTAAAACGCAACATGAGGCACCAAAGGTGGTGGATAACTCGTTCCGGAAAATTTTGTAAACTGTCTCGGTACCTCGCTAAACGGAATGGGAGATGGAATTGACGAAGTCCTTGAGATTGAACTCTCAAACGGAGACGGAGTCCTCGAGCTTGACATATTTTGAAGAGAAAAAAAAACTCACGACACTCAACAGTCTGCATGCACTTGTTAATGCGCCAAAATAAAGGTTAGATGAAGCTGTCAAACAATGCCTGTCCTGATTGGTTAATTGTTTATCTACAATCCCGGCCAAAAGGTTTTGGGACACCTCCCCTTTTTCACGTGTATTTCTATGGAATTTACTTCTAACCTGCGATACACAATCATAAACACGAATGTCTTCTTAAACAAGTACTCTAGGGCACGGCATTCGTGGAAAGCAACTTTTTATTTATATTTTTTTTAATAATGTCGATAGTTCCGTCTGTCCGTCCGTCCGTCCGTCCGTCTGCCCGCCCGCTCACCCACCCACCCATCCCTCCATCCATCCAGATTTTTCCCCCAGCCCCCCTGAGCAAAGTTGAGGTCCTTAGCGTATGCAAAATATGTAAAAAGTGTTTGACTTGTAACAACCAACACTGTTCAGAGAGGGAAATACATTTTCCTCACCTGAACCACAAAGTGTCCCAAACGTTTTGACCAGGATTGTAGCTCAGCTCAAGAGCACTTTGCAGTGCTCTTGAGTTGAGCTGCGGTTCTTTTGAAGTTTAAGCAACTCCGCCTTCTTTACTAAGCAAACAAGCAATGCCAGGTTTGGTCGGTCACATTTGTAATAAGCTAGGAATTTGCTAGATAAACAAAAATTGACCAAACAAGCAAGCACGATTCTAGCCCGAGTGTGACCGAGGTGTTATTATTGAGAAAGTTCTTGTTGTCCCTCGTCTTAGAATCTAAAGGTCTTTAATCTCTCTAGGCAGCAAACTTCGTGAGATGAAAAAGGCAACATATTTAAGGAACAGCAAATATTTTCTAATTATCGTCTTTTATCAGCACATGGCTGTTTGATCAAACATCACCCTCCGATGATGAAGGCAAAAGCCGGGCAGGAGATTACGAACTGTACAAACTTTGAAGTTTGAGTTGACGAACCAAATGCCACAGATCGATCGAGTCCATAGTGGGTCTTTGAGCTCTTCAGTACCAACTTCAATAAATCTTGTGAACTAATTCTAAGTTAAAATCGGTGCATCACGAAACTCCCCGGATACCTTCTTTTTAAGCAATTGTTTATTCAGGCAATCTCTTTATCGAACCTTTGAAATTCACCATAATATGCAAAAGCAAGTGGCTCTCGCGTTGTGAAACGTAAACAGAATTACAGTAAGACCCGCAAGTAAGAACCTGCATATTTTTAAGTCAGCCTAAACAGGTTCTTACATAAACGGAGAAAAAAAAACATTTTAGAGCTCCAAGAGTATTTAGTGGTATTTAGTGGTATTCTTTATGTAAAATCTACACACCAAATTAGTATTTACAGGGCTTCTGATATTTCGCGCGGTCGCGGACCCGCGAAATTCAGGTATTTCCGCGAAATTCCCAAAAAAACGCGAAATACCGCGAAATCCGCCAGAAATATTTCCAAATACATATCGGCAAAACATATTTAATACTTATCTTGGCTATCAGACCGGTTTTATTCACCCCAAACGTCCAAATTTAGCTTGAAACTTCGTCACTGCAACGAGTAAACAACGTCCCAAAACTACCAGGCGTTTTTAGATGAACGTTGCGAAAAACTGGGCACTAACCATAATGTTAATTGCTTTAACATTTCGCTCATTTCTCGAGCGAACTGTTGTTGAAAGAGCAAATGATTATCCCTGCAACAAAAACGTTCACCGACGCTGGTCATATCGACGCAAAATTGATCGATTTTAGCCAAATTTGCCAAAAAAATCCCAGCGAAATCGGCTGTTTTTTACTGATTGTTTCTTGGCGAAGTTTCCCCCCGAAATTTCCCGTGAAATCGGCCGATTTTCCTAAGAACTTGCCCCTGAAAATCCTTCGAAAATTGACTTTTTTCCGCTAAAATCCCGCGAAATGGGCCGATTTTTCTCGAATTTTGACGTCTCTCCCTCGAAAATCGCCCGAAATCGGCCGATTGTGCCGCGAATTTTGACTTTTTTCCCGCGAATTTGCCCCTGAAAATCCCGCGAAATTTTGTTTTTTTTTCCGCGAAATATCAGAAGCCCTGTATTTACGTAAAAATAACTGTAGGAAGAACTGGACCACAAGAATTTTGAAATCCTCCTTCGGAACGTAACATACATGTATTGTAATGCCATAAAATAATTGGCCGAAGTGTACGGAATATTTCAATAGATTTCAGAAAACAACCCGTTTCAAATTTTAGGCTAAACAGGTTCTTGTATAGAGTGGGCTTAAGTGGTAAATTTTAGCCTAACAGGTTCTTACTCGCAGGTTTTCACTGTATTTGTTTACCTGTTGAAAAGGCCCATGAAGTGTTCTCCAGTCTACAATCAGTCGTGCACGTTTTTCGCCAACACCTTGGAGCTTCTTAAGTTCCTTAATTGTTCCGTTGTTTAATACCGACAACAACTCTTTCCCTATCAAAACAATTAGATTGCGTTGGTGTATAATCCTGGATTACAGATTCTTAGATTCGTTAGACAAAAGTAACCACATTAATACACAGAGGGCGTTATTTACCCCAGTGCGAGAGAGGAACAGTCGGGGGACAAAGAAAGAAGTATATAGCACCTATTCGACACCTATTGTACAGGCTACCGCGAAAGAAACGAAAAATTGCAAAAACGGATTCGTTAACCGCCGAGAACGTGGCGGAACTCAAATCTTAAGAAAAAAAAAAACTGTAACCATTTGCAGTTTTTTTGGATCCGTGCAGGTCAAGAAAAATTCAGACAGCTGACTTAGATTTCATTTAAGGAATTCCATCACTCCTAGCTGGTGAGACCGAATTTGGTTCCTCCTTAAGAAACAGCAATCTTTTGTAACATGTAATACATTAAAGAATGAAATTACGGGGACATCTGTAGGAAATTACTCGAATTTTTAAGTCGTAATCATCTTGGAATTTAAAGGGTCGCGATTTTACTTGTCAAGAAAATTATTAACCCAGGAGTTTACGCTAGCCTGCAAACGCAGACGAATTTCCGGTCGTCGCTTCTCTCCACCCGAAAAGTAAGACCGGAAATACGTCCGCGTTCGCAGGCTAGAGTTTACACAGGCTTGTTGTTTCTCTCAACAATTACTATAAACACTTTCCCATCCAGACTATCCCTGGGGGTCACTGCACCGGAAGGGGTAATCCCACGAAATGTCCCTAACACGCAGCACAACATATTTTGCACTAAACAAGCCCAGCAGGACAAGAACGGAACGTCATGACTAATAGTATGATCGGTAAAATTTAGGTTAATCTGTTTCTTACGATGTGTTTCCTGAAGATGAAGGTTTATCTTGACGTTAAAATTTTCTATTAGAGTGGCTTTCTGTAGAAAGACAGAAAAAAGTGCAAAAACGTTATCACTGACGGTAAGAAACAGGATACTTATACTAGAGGCAGGTCTCAAACTTAAATCACCAGGTCTGTTCTTACAGGACCGCCTGTGAACGACCCTTCTATCAGCTGCTTTCCGTGAAAGAACTGCGGAACCAAGAGCCTTCTTTTCAGTTGCACAACGTAAAACAGCAATTATCGATGATTAAAAATGTAACAAAACTTCAGATTCTGTCAAACTTGGCTTTCGTGTCAAAATTACTAAAAATTGCAGCGTTTTTATAATCGGTTCATTAGGGTTTAATTAAGAAAATAACATCTCTACTCGCTGCACGACTGGGACTTCAAATCGCCTCGTTTTTGCGTTTTATTAGACTGTTCCGGCATAAACCCCTATTTTTCCATAAGATCGCCGAGATCGAGCGCTTAGCATTACAGGCGGCCATTTTGATTTCAAATGTACCGAAGTGTGAGTGAGGCGTCGGGACTTTATCCAGGTGGGGGAGGGAGGAATGGCCTCTCGTAACGGTAAGCGCTTGATTTCGAACATTTTACGGAAAAATATGGGACTGTGAACAACCCAGCGTTTATGGAGAAGGTTAACAAATGACGACCAATTTCCCTTTCTATTTCTGAACCTGGATATGACTCTTTGAAATTTAATTTCGTGAGAGTTCGCCTTCAATTGAAAAAGAGAGTGAACGGTTAACAGTTGAGTTAAAAAAGATGATGAATTTAGGAATTTCGTACATTTGAACCGCGGGATGAAGAAAATAATGTAGAGAAGATCAACGCAAATAAATAAGCAATTTATGCAGTTGCCAAAAGAGAGCCTAAAAAAATTCAGGCTTGCCGGGATACGAGCCCTTGACCTCTGCGATTCTAACCAATTGAGTTAGCAAGCATTTTCCAGTTCTCAGGCCCCGTCCGTTTTTGTTTGAGAACGGAGATCTGTTTCTCTCGTTTGCCCTACCGTCCACACGTAGCCGGTGAAAACCGTCACCGAAAATGTGTCTTTTCAAAAAGATTACGTCAAGGTGTTGGATACAAGTAAGCGCGCATGCTCTCATCAAAGATGGTACCGTTTTCAATGACTTTCGCGTTTTTGTGCAGACAGGCAAAAACAATTCAAAAAGTTTTTGGGACCTCAGTCAAGCTCAACCTAATTTCTAGCTTAACAACCCACCTGCTTTCTTGCTGGTGGTGAGATGATTATACAATCAGGCGAGTCACATACATCTGATCTATTAACTTCTTTAAAAGGAAAACGACCTGCCGTTTGTTGGCCAGAATTTTGTTTTGAAGGTGTAGTCGGCCGTGCGGTACTAGTCTCTGTTGATAAAGATCAACGAATATTATTAATTTAAATAGATTTGTTCACACTGGAAAGTAACATTGCCGGCTTTTTCGTGATGTTGCGCAAACTATTGTTGGTTCGTTTTTTCTTGTGGTGTTGGTATTGCTCAGGGTCTTTTTAATCTTTTGAGTGACTTCATTTGGTGATGGTACCTGTCCGCAACCATGCAATGCTCACCCTCTAGCCATGTAACGGGGCGACGATGCAATCACCAAAGGATTAGAAGCCCCGTGTAGTTGAAAGCCATTTATTTGGAAGCAAATCCGCACCCACACTATGAACTAAAGACAATAACGCTAGGAAAGTTCGTACATTTCCTTGTTCACTATAATCTCAAAGCATTTCGCTGTTACATTTCTCGTTATTCTTATTGCGGTAGTGCGCTCTGCAGCTAGAAGATTCTAAATAAAAATTTTACAATTATATCATTTAAATATGCTCACCTTTAGGTAAGTCGCCCTTAGTACTCCGGGATTTTTTTTGTGAATCAGCATGCTCAAGGGCGAGTCTTTCCAAGACAGCCAAGCGCTCCTGTAACTTCTGCTGCTCTGCCCTAAGAGGGCTGAGAAAAAACCAACTTGGCTTTACGTTTAGGAGAGAGTTGATGTCAAACATTAATTACCTTAAAAGGGGATCGCCCCTGCCTCGAAAATTTTACGACTGCAAGAACTAAATACACTCTGATCACCCAGAGCGAACAACCAGAAATTAATTGACTTGAACTCCGATCTACATTTGATTTAGGCTGTGTTCACCCTATATAGGATTGCTTTTGCGCCGAATCGAAAACCATACGGGATAGGGCTTCTATTCACACATACGAAGCGTGATTTCAGTGTGATTTCTGTAACGGAACGAAGCTGCGCCCGCGCTGATCTCCAAAGTGCCGCGTCATATATCGGATAGGTGTTCACTGGACACCTTATGATACCCACACAAACTAATTTCTTGTATGAAAGTCAGCACAAACTACAGTGATTAGGATTAAGCACTTGTTGTAGTGATTCTGGTGAAGCTCTGAAAATATAGAGGTTAGGATTAAGCTATGACTATATGATTAAGGTTAAGCTCTGAGAATAGTGATTAGGGTAAAACACTAACTCGAAACGGTTAAATGTTGCCATATAGCTGCAAATCAAATCATACCTCAGCAGCAATTCCGCAATGGCGAAGTGGTGCTCAGGCTGGTGATGGATCGCAAGCCTTACGCCGCTCCGGAAGAGATATCCACTAATGCTACTCAAATGTGTTTTTCTCTTCACGTTTTTACCTACAGTACCATGTTTTCGGGGTGTTCCGGATTTTAGAACTGAACAAGTCACAGGTGGGTTCACTTTCTTGTTAGTTCTCTTTCTGGTAGCCTGCGAAAGCATCCGGTTTTTTCGGCTCAAGTTTCTACGGGTGAAACTAGAAACTTGAGCAGAAAAAACCGGATACTCTCGCAGGCTATCTTTCCGGCTCCCCGACAGATTTCCTTCGGTTAATTACGCCACCCCCGTCCCCCCTCCCCCTGCCTAGCGCCCCACTCCTTAAAAAAATAGCACTTCTAAAATTCCAATTCGATCTCGTGGGAGAAGAAGAGACCGGCACTTTGTTTTGTGATCATGGTACCATTATAATCAACTGAGTATTTATATATGATTCAGTTATTTATTTTCAGAGTAGCTCAAAGCAAATAATGAAACAAAGTCGCAGGTGACTCACCTCAGAATTCCCGCTGGTAAATTGACTTGCTGAGGGACACTAACTGCTGTTATGACGGCACGGAGAGGCTACAAATTGGGAACAACAGTACCAATATTAAAGTTAATTTGCTGTCTGAAATTTCAGTGAACAGCTGCTAAAAATATGAAATCAAATCGTCCGATATTTTTTGAATGTCCTATAAACGGAAAATGTGGCAACAATTGGCCAAAGCGGAAAATACCATACTATTCTTTAAATTTCCGTTTTAGTGGTGCTCCATGTAGAGCCGACTATTGCAATATCTTGTTCTTAGCACGATTTATACGAGTAGTATCAACTCCTCCTTTATTTGCATACACTGCACGGGCAGTTCAATAATATAGCATTTTCCGCTTTGGCCAATAGCTGATACAGATGCAAACATCATTTGTATTAACATCTTCTATAACCTGCAAACAAGCTCTCCGGAACGCGCGAGGCAGATCCAAAACTGCGAGGGGGGGAGGGAGGAGGGGCGACTTCTCTCACGCGTCATCTTTCGCGTGACATCTCACGATAATCCTCCAAATGGAAAACCTGCTCGAAAGCTATTAATCAAGTCCTGACAGGGTTACTATTGATCAGAATCAACCAATTTAATGATTATTCCACGACTTTTGACGATTTTCACAGACCAATTTTATTTCAGCATCTTTCATTTGAAGGTCCTGTTTATATGAGGAAAACTTGTCCCGGGTGGAAGGGTCCTTCGCCTACCCGAGTTACCCTGGGTGAACCACTTTTCATACATCTCGGCTAGAAGGTTGACCCTCATGGCCTTTCACGGTAGTAACAACTTTTATCCCACAGCCGGGCGGGATTCAGTCAAGGCAAGACAACCATAGCATGCCATAGCATGCTCTATGTACTTTACGCCACGGGATCTAGATTTTGGGACGGGGATTGAAGAAATGAAGGCGATCAACAACTGAATGATGTTCGGTGTGAAATATCTGAATATAATCTCCACAAAACCCAGAGAACAAAATTTTGTTGGCTTTTCACTGGGTTTTCTCTACCTTAATTTCTAGCGAGCAAGGCGGGAAAATCCTTGGAGAGAGGGTACTTCAGGGAATTCTGCTGGGCTATGCATCCTAAGGAAAGAAAATAACTTTTTCGACAGAACGCACCTTTGAAAGGTCTTGTGATGCTTTACTATCATCTGATTTTAGACGCTTAGCCTACAAGAAAAATTAATAGATGATGAATACAGGTGTTAAGCCACTGTGTTACATAGTTTTTTCCAACAAGCTTCAACGTTTTCCTTTGTAAAATATCTCTTCCGTGCAAACATCCGTTTTATAAAACGTTTTTTAAAACGAGATTACCTGTCTCTGCGCCATGGACTCTGAGGCGGGTCTTTTAAACGCCATGGACTTGTCTAAAAAATGAAGCAAAACATTAGCATCATACAGTAAAATGTAAACCCTGTGGTCTCATTTTAGATCTTCCCCTGGGCGCTTCTAAAAGCGACGCACGCTTGAAGCCTTTACAGTGCCGAAGGGTTGGTTGTATGTTAATGGTCTTTTCATGCACTTGTGTCCCATTTAGCTCAATAGCAGTTTTTATTTTCAGTACCAGATGTATAAGGGTTATGTCGAAGCTATCTTCAAGTCCGAACATTGTAATTTTAACAATGCTCTCCTCATTTTATATTAGCTGGATAACTTAATCTTTATAAAAAAATTTTAGAGAGCAAATAATTTAATCTATACAAATTCAATAAATGAAGGAGGAGATCATTAAGATGGAACAGGAGGACATTAGGAATCTTAAGCAAAGACGTTTTTGAGCAACGCACGTCAACCGGAAGTAAGGCCTTCTCCCTTTTAATATGCCTTGAAGTTAAAAAAATTTGTATTTCTAAGTTTCTTTTCTCTTATAAAGACGATTTACCCGAGAGTTTGAACCAAACCACTGCCTAATGATGCAAAAAGTCCACTTCCGGTTGACGTCCGTCGCTCAAAAACGCTGTTGCTTAAGGTCCCTATTATTACGAATAACAACTTACTGTTCTACTTCAGTGGACACAATAATGACTTACTAGTTCCAAAAACAATGGAAAGTTGCATTTTAAAAACAAAACAAACCAAAACAAAAAAAAAACAAACCCAAGCAAAACAGAACAAAAACCAAAACAAAAAACGAATAAAGACGTTGCTCCTTAGCCTTCCATGCAGACGTTCTTCGCGTGACGAAGCCGTAAAAACGTTTGCATTGCAAGGTTCTCGCTCCTCGGCCTTCTAAACGAATGCGAGGTCGCGCTGCTCGCGCTCTCGATGTTCTCAAGAAGGCCAAGGAGCGAGGGCATTACCTTCGCAAGCAACAACTCGCAGTGAGCGGATAGTTTTCCGGTCAATAGAAATTAAGGTGTGCCAACGATAACCAATCAGTGTGTGGATTAATCCTACAACCGCGTTATCGGTCGACATATCACTCGAGTGTCGGTTGATAGCACATCGCTGTGATTAAGACTTTGTTAAAGATACAGGAATTAGAGTGAACTGGAGCTGACTGCAGAAAACCAAAAGGTTAGACCTTAGCAGTTATACCGAACAGTCTCCATGAGTGGGCATCTCCACTAAAGCCAGGGAATAAAGCCAGACCAAGCCATGTTCCTCTTCTTTCCCAAACATTACACAGTGCCGTGCTTACACTTTAGACTGGCTGGACTTATACTAGGACGGTGTTATTTTTCAGTAACAGAATACGAATTTTCTAAACCCTCTTGCTTATAAGGCCTGGCCTTAAAGATCTTCGTAAGGGCTTTCAGGAAGGCTTGCATCCGAGCGGAATGGAAAATCGCTTCGAAAAAGGCTATTTACAGCTATGCTAATCAAAATACACGGGCTTTAATCAAGGCTTCAAAACGTCATAAAAAATCGAATTTATCACAATGATAGCTTATATCCTGAGGGGTCATATTCGGATGTATTGTTTTTATTTCGTTTTTACAGGTGGATGTGGGCCTATAAATGGGGGGCTTGTTAGTTGGGGGACTTATAAGCAGCAGTATACGGCATCATCCTCTTGGTGTTGTATTCCGCCTTTTTTAAAAAGTAGTACAAAATGTGAAATTTTACAGAGACAAATGGCTTACCCCGGCAGGCCATGCATGGCAAATACCACACCATGGGAAGATGCGTTATTAGCAAAATCAAGATAAAAATGCAAAGATTGTGCACTTGATTGCAAGGCCTCCGGAAAAAATATATATGGAGACAACAAAACTTTGCTCTCCCTTTTTTCTTTAATTTCAAGACTATCATAAGGAAGAAGATCATGGAATCTACTAAAGAACTTGAAGAATCCCAAGATATAGAATATGAAATGAGAAAACAAGCCAAAGATAACAACCACAAGTTCATCACTCTTCAAAGGGAATTTATGGTATATCCCGAAGTGTTTTACCCACCCGAAGACGGTCATGCCCACTTCGTCAATTCGACAATATACAGGATGGCAACCGAAGAAATAGCGAAGAAAACCCGACAAGAATCCATTGAATTCCTTGAGGTAGGCTGTGGCGCGGGCTTTATTGGTATATCAGTGGCTTTGTCATCTGAGAAATGCCACGTGTGGGCAACTGACATCATCGATGAGGCGGTGAAAAACGCTAAAGCAAATGCAAAACTTCATGGCGTAGAAAGCCGTTTCCACGCTGTTAAGGCGAACGTCTTCGATCATGAAGAAATCACTGGAAGGAAGTTTGACATGATATACTGGAATCATCCGTGGGGCGGCTATGGCACGGCACCAGGGACAAAGGTCGAGCCATTAATGAGGAGCCTTCTGGATCCTGGTTACCAGGACCTTCAAAGCTATCTTTCCAAAGCAAAGGAATACCTTAAGGAATCTGGTCGACTTATTGTCACCTTCTCTTACTTTTATGGCTCAGAGGAAATGTTTACCGAAATTGCAAGTGAAAACGGATGGAATATCAAGGTCGTTGACGAAAAGAAGTGTGTCCAGGAAATCGAAGGAAAACGAATTGAACATTTCACCGCGATGGTCATAGAACTTACTGAAGATGTAAAGTAACACTAAACATGTGGCGAACTCAATATATATAGAATTACCGGCTAACATGTTAGAACAACAACAACAAAAAATAACTATAATTAGGGGAAAATAAACAGAATAAAACGACAGATTTGGTGTGCATCATTTGTCAGCAAAAATATGGACCTGAAGAAACAACGATGGCGATGGCTTCGAAAACTTCACTTGAAAAGTGAAGCCGCGCTGCTTCAAACTTTATCGCGCTTATTCCATCTCGTTCCATTCGCTCAAATGTTGGCTTCTGGGGATGAATTCTAAAAGACCGTATATCGAAGTTCAGGAAAAGAAAAAGAAAGTCGTTGTTTTACTTATTCTTTACTCACCATGCACAAAGTTGCTTTTTAAAAGCAGTCGAAAATGTAGACTGCAAGATGTCTCTGTTTTTTTTTTCTCTGTAAAGTTACTGCACTGGTAATCCATGTACGAGAGCCGCGATAAATGAGGGCGTGAACCCGAGTCCTAAATCCTTATTGTTGCTTGCAATTGATGCGCTGGCTGGGATTTTAAAAGAAAAAAGTGGACTATCGAAAATGTAGCCTGTGTGGGAGACGTTAAAATGGGAAGACGAGGGGGAATGGAGGTCGAGGAGGGGGAGGAATGCTAGCAAAGAGCGTTCCTTTTTCCTCCTCCTCCTCGCGCGCTCGAATTCTCCCTCACCTTTCCACGCAGGCTACCGAAAATATAGAATTCAACAAAAATATATGGACCATCCAATAGTAAGTCAAATGCCAAAAAATGGGAACTCGAGGAAATCAAGACTTTTTTTAGATTTTAGCCTTTTTAAAATTTGTAAATTAGTTTTATATATTTTACGGGACCCGCTTTATAGTGTTCTTAACTGTAATATGTCACCCTCATAAATAAACATTTTTTTACATGTCCGGAAATGACAAAGGGTTTTTCTTCGGGTTGACCGGTTACAATATTCAAACGAAAATGCGTGTAAAAAAATGAATAAGGAAATTCGAACCTCAAACCTGAAAAAAACTGGCGGGAATATAGTCAAGTGACTTAAAAACACACAGGAAAAAGCTTTTTCACGCTGTGCTGTAAACGTGCGTGTAAGATTGAATAAGATTTGACCAAAACGAAAAAAAATGGTTCACTTATAAAGCACTTGTAGTAGCTTGGAAAGAAAAATGCATGTCAAGACTTTTCACTATTTTCCAGACTATTTCCATTTCTGGAAAATTTCTGGGCAAATTTCAAGACTTTTTCATGAATTCAAGACTGTACGAACCCTGAATCTTGTATCCGACCCTAAGAGAGCGCTCACAACAGGTTTATCTTTGAAGAAACAGAGCACAAGTATCTGTACCACGCTATAGGAAAAAAGATATATAAATACCACTTACCGACTGTTCGCCTCACAAAAGGCTCATTGACAATTGTTCTGGACTTAGTAGCAAAGTTCAAAGTGTTGACTGTATCCGAGTAAAACCTTCTTTCGGGTGCAATGTTTGCAATTACACACGCATGCGCTGATCCACCCAAGGAATCCTAGAAAAAAGGTGCACCATAATCATGAAATTTACTATTGACACACACGCACTCTGTCGATTCCTATAACTAATAAGCTTCAGTGATACAAGTGTATCATGATCTCAGCTCAGATAAAGAGACATTGTTACGTCCTGCCAGAAACGTGACATTACAGCAAATACTTGAAGAGGAATGAACGTTTACGAGTTGTTTCTAACGATGGAACTCCGTGAAAGCGATGTCATCATTTCGCTTCGAACTCATTCTAGTAAATTCGTTGACACTGAATGTGTTTAGCCTGTGCCACAGACGAAACTAAACGTCTGGTGTAAGTCTGTCTGCGAGCCAGCGCCGCAGCCATTCACTGCGATTTGACTTCGCGCGATGGCTGGCCTGTTAAAAAAGCCATTGTTGATTTGCCGATCAGTCTGAAGGGAAATCATAAACATACTTCCGTTAATTCGTTGAGTCCGCTGAGGTCCAAGAACAAGGATTGCGGCACTGCTTCGCAGACCTCTTGCCGCCGTTAGATTACGTCTACGAGGCAGGCTAAAAGTGATGCTCACCGGTGGTGAAACAAGATGGCCGCGATTTTTCTTCGTGCTACATTCTAACCTAATTTTCAATGTTTTACTAACTGTTTGGTCGTTTAAGTCTGTCTAATTGTCATTTCTGCGTTAATATGTCCTAATTTTCAATATTTTACTTATTTTGTTGGTCGTGTAAGTCTGTCTAATTGTCATTTCTGCGTTAATATGTCCTAATTTTCAATATTTTACTTATTTTGTTGGTCGTGTAAGTCTGTCTAATTGTCATTTCTGCGTTAATATGTCCTAATTTTCAATATTTTACTTATTGTTTGGTCGTTTAAGTCTGTCTAATTGTCATTTCTGTGTTAATATGTCTGCAAATCATATAAGTGTGGAAGAACTACGAGCGACTTTCGACGAAAAGCTTGCTCCTTTGAAAGTACTAATTTTGGCAATTATCTTGTTCTTTGTAACTTCCATCCTACTCTTTCGCTCTTCTAACAGTAATACGTTCTAGTGTATATGTGTATATCTGTGTGTTTGTGTGTATACAGTCTGATATTTTGCCATATTGTACCCCGCACAATAAACTTATTTAAATTATCTTACTGAATCTGGCGTCTTGGCATTTTAAACCTATTAGTTATTTCAGGAAGTCAGTAACCCTTTTTTGTTAATTGATTAATTTAACAACTTGTAAATAACTATAATATTCTGCTTTGGGTACAATAAATAAATTTGTTGCTGTTTGTTGTTGTTGTTGCTGATGCGCTTTTATAAAAGCCACCTTTCATATACGCCCGGACAGGCTACAATTATAACGTAAGGATATACATGTACGTTTGCGGCATTGCCATAACGATATAAGAAGTTAAACTGCTTATACAGTTTTCTACGTACCTGAAGAAGGCGAGTCAGTTTGCTGTTCCTATACGGTATTCTTGACTTATAAAAAGAAATCAGAAACAGATCGAATCAAATCAGATGACTAGTCGGACGGTTAAGTTAAAATAGCTTTTACGTGAAGTCTCCTATGCAGCCGATCTTTATGGTGTAGTGCACCAGCTTTTATAGCGACAAGATAAGTTCAAAACCAGTCGAGCAGAACTGCTGTTCCTCTAAACGCAATTCTGAACAGGACCAATCACCATTTTAATATACACATGTAGACCATGATCATACACATGTAGACCATGATACTAGTTTGAGATGTCATCCGTTTCTTCGTCATACCCCCGCAACGGGACAGACTTAAGCTTACTACATATTTGCCACAAGTAAATAGTATTCTTTCTTTCAAACAAGCAGAATTTAAGCTAACTTGTCGATAGACTTTACATTACTAACAGTGCTGAAAATGTTAAGAGGCGATACAGTGTAGTATAGTCTTACCAGACCCTGGTTAAGAGAATCTACAACTTGACTAAGAGCAAACAAAGAACCATTGATCGCTCCACTTTCTTTTAACCTGGAAAAGAAATAATCAGTTCTGTACGTAAGATCTGCTGGCACTTTACAACGAGCACTGGCATCTTTTAGAGCAATTAACAGACATGTAGTAGACAGTGGAAACTGAAGGCGCCTTGAGGAACCTTACATAAGCAAGGACGACGGCAACGGCAGTGAAAACGTATCGACATAAACTGATAATTCAAAAGGGGTGCGTTCGATTGGGAACCTTTTACGCGTGAGCGGACAGCCTTGCGATGAGAGAAAGTGTTTCATTAGGAGCGGTGTCCATTAACCGATAGCAGAGGTTCAACTGTAGATATACACTAACAATAATTGTTAGAATAAATTGTTCCTGTAGAGGGTAAAATAGAACTTTTGTTTCCGCAGTTCACATCATCTTCCTTCCAAGTAAAGTATTTTTTGGAAGCTTGTGCAACCATAACGACGATGGTAACAAGAACGTAAAAAAAAAAAAAAAAAACAATTCATGTTCGGTGCAGATTTTTGGATACAAAGACTTTTTTCAAAACAATTTATTTTCCACACTCAAAATTATCAAATAGGTGATCAATAGAGACCTTAAAGAAACAAAGCTTATTTCATGATGTGCTGCAAACAAACTGAACAGGCGAGATTGAATTATAAGATTGTACCAAAACGAAAAAAAAAATTCATTTCTAAAGCACTTCTTGTAGCTTTGAAAAAAGACTTAAGACTTTCCAGACTTTATTCAGATCTGGAAATTTGTTGGGCAAATTTCAAGACTTTGTCAAGAATTCAAGTCGCTGCACGAGCCCTGAAAATTGGTTTTATGAGGAAGACAACAGTTCCATACGTGCATCACTTTTTTGGTACATTTCCTTGACATTCACTGCGCGCCTTTTCTCCGTGCAAAGATATCTGTGTTAATTTGACCAGCAATTGAGCCAATGGCTCAACGTATCCACCCAAGGATGCTTTGCGAAAGAATACCTGAGAGTTTTTCACAGCCATCGTGAGTCATCCCCAAAGAACCAAGGGCAGTTGGCCGGAGGAACTAGAAACTACCCTTTGGTCTTCGAGGATTAGTACTTCTTTTAAGTGAATTAGTAATTAAGACCAGGGATTCTCCGATTCTATTTGTGCGGTAATGCACTGTGACCAATTCCTCAGAACTGTTCCTCAGATCCTACCCTTGTCCCAGAAGTTTTTATTGAAAATTTTCTCCGCGTGAGAGAGAGCGAGCGTGCCGCGGAGCGGCGAGGGAAGAGATTTGCACCTCTTTCTGGCCGCTTCGCGGCTCGCTCTCTCTCACGCGGAAAAAACGCCAAGGAAAAGCTCTGGGACCAGGGTACTCAGATCCAGTAACTTTGCTGCATACCTTAATCCCTCGTTTCCAGTTCTCCTATTATCCTCGGAACCAGCTAAATCGATCAAGTAAAACTTCCCGCTAAGCTTAGTGAATGGAGCTACTTGCTGGCTCTTTTCTACCTGAAATTTAAGGCAAAATTTAGTGCTATTCCCGGACAAACGATTTAAAAAAGAAGAACAAAAAAAATAAAACCAGGCACCCTATAAAGGACTGACTGAAATAACATCAGTTTTAGTAAAGCTCCAACAACCACTGACTACCCCTTAGATTCTTTCCACACGTTTGCGATGGAAGAAAAATTCGAGACGTCCACGGAATGAGTGTGGGCCACGTGTAACTGTTCCCCCGCCCCCGAAGAAAAGTAAATGACTTGAAAGATGCCAAACTTTGTGCAAAATGAAAAAACCTTCAAATCCAATGAAGTTGTGAAATTCACAAGCTGTTGTAGCTCTATACTCTATTTTTCCTTGTTCTCCAAACCAACAGCTTTATATTTACAACAGCCTGGGAAAAATCGAAGAATCAATAGCCGGATTACAACCCTGAATTACGTTTTTCAATGACCACACCCACGAGGTTGATAAATCTGTAGTCTGATGTCGAGAACCTCAATTAAGATTTCTTGACAGAATACCTTCATTAAGACTATAGAGTGGCTTCTACTTGAGTGTGGATTCAGCTTGGTTGCAGCTGTTTTTCTAAAAACAACAATTATCACATGTTCATACACAGGCAACCAGAGCTCAGTATGTGAGCGCTGAGTGTTAAAAACGTCTACGTGTTGTAAAAATTGTGCAAGGCAATGATTTGCCTCAACTTAAGCTTAAGGTGAAGTATGCGTACGGCCTACACTGTACATGTCAAGAGGCCATCAGGTCAACAGAGTATCCATGTTTTAATTCCTCTTATAGTTATTTCTTGCAGTGAAATACAAAGTTTTTATTTTTTTATGTAATAGCTTTCTTCTTTTTTTATACTGTGACATCCAGACAAATGACAGGCACTATGGGATTATGAGTAAGACTGATCAATATAATAATCTTTTTCAACACATCTGAGTCCTCATTTACTACTACAGTACCTCCCTAGTCTCAAGATGTGTTTACAATGTACAACACTTACAAAAAAAAGAAACATACCAACCTTTGTTGACTGGCCTTTTCAAATAAGACCATATATTCCCTTAGTGAGGGTACAAGTTTCTGCAAAAGAAATAAAACAGTTAAATTTCATTTTAAAAATTTATCACATTTACTGTACTTAAGCAGATTAACAGTACATGTACACTCAAACTAAAACTGTGTTGAAATCTTTGAAACTCTTACCTCTGTAAGGTTAGGGATTATTATATTTTCGCGACGATCTTGTCTTATTGGTAAGTCAGTCTTCTTGGGGTCCAACAGATCATTAATCTACATGAGCATTTTTGACAATAATATTGAATCTGTAAATGGTGTCAGCTACATTTAGTGCTACTAAATAGATCTTTTTTAAAACAGGTCTGGCATTATAATTTTTTTTCAATATTGGCTATGAAATATATTTTTGTGGGCAGCAAGAGAAGCCAGCAATCCTAATCTCCAGGTTGTTCAGGAAATGAGCCCACGCTCCTCCTCCAAACCGTTGGCTGGATGCATGAGTTTACTATTGTCAATAACAGCCAATCAGATCATTGCCTGCTCACATGGAGCAGGCAGCATAATTTTATTTTCCTAGAGCAGATTTCAAGTAACAGTGGATGCAAAGGTGTTGTTTGATGTGGTGTGGGTCATGTTTCAAAGTGTTTTAAGCTTAAAACCTAAAATATAATTTATATAAACAAAGAAAAGTATTTTCTTAGAGAAGCTGGCAAATAGTAGGTTCAACCAACTGGAACTATGGTTGTTGACAGCTTATGTGAAAGAGACGACTGTCAAGTCCATCGGTATGTGTTTCTGCTGATCTTCCTGGGTAAACATCAAAGTGACAATGAGGCAAAGTACAACCTGTGTTCTGTATTTAATGACATTTCCCATTTCTGATATTTGGTAAAAACGCATAAATTAAAGTTTGAATTTACGTCACAGACAATAGGCAACTTAAGCATCCAGCTGTCTCTTTTCAGAGAGAGCGGCAGAAATCAAGCCTAGGCAAAAATTTGTTGGCCATTTATGGCAAGTGGACACTTTCAGCTACTGTACAGGCACTTAAAAGTCATGTAATTACAGCGCTTTGAATCCAGGTGGTGAAAAAAATGATAACATTTTGGTTTTAGGCAAAGTACATCAAACGTCTACGCTTGACCACCTTAGGTGGTCATTCAGGGGTTTTGTTTCAGGCTGGATGCCAGATACAATATCTGATTCTTTGACATATGTCAGGTAGTTTACACACAAAATAATATTTTCTTTTAAGAATGACAAAACAAACAACTGCAAACCAATAATTATAATAATTGCAAAAGGAGTAATTTGTCACCTACGGGGGAAAGTATGTGTATATATTCTTTTCACTGATGTCAGTACTGTTAATAGCCAATAAAAATGTTATCACCTTTTCTTGATATATCTCAAGGTAGGAAAATAAAATCTTGTATTTCCAGTCTGTTGTTGCTGCATGCTGTGAATCTATCACTTTAAAAAGTTCAGCTGCACATTTTGGAATCAATCCTGGGTTGTCTGGTGTGCCAACCATCGTGTGTGTTTTACCTAAATTGCAATAATCCAATCAACAAAAGGTAATCATAGAAATAAGAGGTTACCAAGCGTTCCATTGCTGGCTGAAATATTATGTAATCATCATAGTGTATGTTCTTGCTCCTGTATAATGATCTAAGGGTTTGTCGTAATGATAGCCTGTTCCAGGATCCCAGACAGTGGAGAAAGCAGATACGAGAAAAGTTGCACAAAAACTGCATGGGGGGGTCGGGGGGGGGACGGTTGGGGTGCAGAGTCTAGAGTCTAGAACAGAGATGTTAAACGTGTGAAACCCTCCTTCATCGCGCCTTTTGACGTTTTGACATTTTTGACACAATAAACGGTTTTCAGGAAATGGGGGGAGGCGGTAGTGGGTGGACTGAGGTATTGAAAAAATTCTAACAGGCTCTCCCCTTGTGTCTCTCCACCACTTTTCCCTTATATACTATTTCACTGCTCGCTCACTTTTTTCACTTGTCTGCACTGACTGAGGACCACTGGCATAGGCTAGGCACAAGAAGAAATACACTTACACAGGGTTGTCATTAAGAGCCGGGGGCCGGGGATTTTCCCCGGCTACTAAGAGAGTGGCCCCCGGCTACTTCTATTGGAAAATAGAACAAAAACAGAACCAAAAGAAATCCCTAGCCGTTTGATTCCCCTCCCACTTGTCGTATTTACCCGGCAACTTGAAATCTTAGTGACAACCCTGGTTACATGATTCTACTATGATTAGCTATGGAAATACACATTGCAATAATACATGTTGCTCCAACCTGCTCCTGTAGGGCCATATGCAAACACACTAGCATTTTGACCTTGTAGCACATATGGAATGAGAGGACAGACTGAGTTGTGGTATAGTGTCTCTTGGGTGCTTTCTTCACCAAAAAAACCATTGAACCTGGAAAAAAATGCAGACATGGCAAATGAATAATAGTAACCAATTTTTCTTTGTAATTTATAGTTGTTGTATTGAATAAAACGATTTTAGCATTATTTGCTTTCCCATGAATGAACGCACACAAGTAATGTTTTTTTCATAGCAGAATCAGATTACAAGGCTTTACAAACATCTGAGCTTCCTTTACTACATGTATTGAAAAAATCTGAGATTTTAACAAAAAAAATTGTTTCAAACGTATTGCTTAAATCAAAAGACGAAAGCAGAATTGAAAAGTTGAACATGTATTTTGCCAAAGCAGATACCTTAATTATTTTCACCATGAGTGAACTAGAATAAAAGCAGTCATGTCGCAAAGCAATGAGACACATCGATCAAAATCGTTTCTCATCACAAGAGTAGAAGATGCACTTCTCAAACAACCTAGCCTGTTCCAGGCATTCAGATAGTGGGAAGCAAGTTAAATCGTACGCGGCGAGCGCCAAAAGAAATACGAGGGGAAAAATTGAGGGGAGTCCCCTCATCAATTTTTTGCCCGTACCCAACTAATTTTTTCCCCGCTCCCCACCATCTGAATACCTGGAACAGGCTACAAACAACCTGAAAATATTATTATCAAACATCGACTGAAATAACGACTCAACGTCGCCAGTTCCGGTCCATTTGGAATGATTACTTACGTCTTTAACAATCTGTTCGAACTGATTTTTGCTGAATAATAAAATTCATCATAGTGAACTCAACTAAAAGCTATCATGTCGCCTACTGATGAGACAGAAATCAAAGTACTATTTTATTTTTCGATCATGGGAATTTTCATAATAACTTCAACTAAAAGAATGGATAAACGTTCTCTTCAGAACGATTATTTTGCAGCCAGTTTATCAGTGTCTTTAACAAATCCATTCAAAAATATTTTATCAATCCCTTTGGGCGGTTTTCCCATACGTTTGAAATCTTATTCATCCATTCGGCAATTTTATTCACCCGTTGAAACAGATGATCTTGATCTTTTGAATGGTTTGCAAATCTGTTCAAAATCTGCTCGACAAACAGTTAGTCAAACCATTCGAACTCTTTCTAGACCGTTTGTTATCCACGCTTTTTTCCCATTCGAACAGTTTTCTGTTGCTAATTGGCCATGAAGATATTTTATTTTACAGAGACATCAATGCAGTTTGGATGATTAGCTTCAAAATAAGAGCGAAAATTGATATACATGTAAAAGAACATTTGTCAGTTTGCTTCTGTCGGCTATGTGTGTTGGAGGAGCATTTCAGTACAGCTTCATACCTTCAAAACTTTGCTTTCATTTCCTTGAAATCTACCATTGAAGAGACCAAATTAATTGTCGGCTTCTTTGAAGAAAAATTCCGAACCCCCCTATTCGAAAATCCGTCATCCTTAGAGGGGTGCGGATAAAAAATGGAACGTCCTATGGCCAATCCTACTGATAAGGGGAGGGGGGGGCGGTGGAGGCGGGAAAAACCTGTCGTTTTTCAGGGTGCAAAGAAAGTCAGTTTTACAGCCTGCCATTCGGGCAAACTGTAGCTAGTATGTACTAGCCCACAAGTCATTTCAACTAGCCCCAAACCTTTTTTGATTTAATAGCAGGATTGATTACAATCCTTCTGTAACTTGAATTTCCCCAAAAAACAGCACTTGCCCGTCGGGCAAGTTAAGAACAAAAATCACTAGCCCGATACAGCAAAATCCACTAGTCCCAGGCTATCGGACACGAATTTCTTTGCACGCTGTTTTGATACACAAAATGCACAAAAATGTTGATAAGAGCGTGAACAAGAAAAACATATCATGGCCTGAAAATTTCCCGTACTATAAGGAAACTACGCCACTAAGCATTAACTATTTACACCTTTCAATTCTTTGCAGAACGACTTGTAATGAAAACAAACTTGTACTGAAATGAAGAATTACAGTTCAGGCTATCCCAGGCCATAAGCTCATCCGAGGTAGCAAAATAAAGCCAGAAAGTCTTTCTTTCCCACCTGTAGCGAATCGATTCTTCAGAATTTCTACAGTTCCACAGCTCGAGTGTCGAGGAATCGACAGCTCGAACACATCGATCAGGCATTTCACTGTGACTGTCCTTTTCATTTGCCTTGAATTCAGAACGTTCCGGTCGCAAACGAACCAAAACCCGGACCTTGCTTCCTTTCTTAAATGGAGCCATAACCGATCGAACGATGGAACACAGATGTCATGGATTCAACGTTGGAAAGACATCATGGCCACTTGTTTCAAATCAGGAGCCAAAGATGCGACTGGAACCTAAGTGACCAATCAGATACTCTCCTCAATTCCTCACGGTTTAGGTAACACAGGCAGCCCAGAGAAAAATGCTGGTCGGTCGACGATAACTGAAAAATGGGCTCATATTTTTCAAAGGCCCTTTTTGAGTACCCTCCCACGCAGGCGTTTTTAGGGGAGCTCGTTTTTCATCCCTCCCCACACATTTGTGGGGAGGGATGAAAAACGAACTCCCCTAAAAACGCCTGCGTGGGAGGCTACTTTTTGAAGGGTTTATTTTTGGAGGGGCTTATCTACGGAGTGAAATTTGCGTTTCAAAATCGATTGAGCTGGCCTTATAGTTGGAGGGAAATTTACCGTTTTTGCTTTGTTTTACTTTGTATTTGAGGGCAATTTTCAAGTACAAGCCCCCGGAAAGGAGCTGTGTCACGAAATTCAGCCAAATTAGGAAATTACAAAATGCCCGTTAAATTAAAAGAAATATAGAAATAACCGCTTAAAACTTTAAAGGAAGGTTAAAACAACATAACAGAAACAACAGATACTACGGATGGGTAAAACTGAAGAAGATTGAAACGGATTGAAATTAGGGTTTTTGAAAACTGCTCAGCCTAACACCAGGGGCACCCAACGAGAATATAGTTCAAAACCACTTAAACATAGCATTGTTAAACGTGTTTTAGTATTTAAACAGTGGATATGGGCATATGTTTATTCCTAATAAATTTTTCATCTGTTCGGATTTCCTAGCTGAAAGTCTAGTGATCCGAAAATTATAGGGATCAAAACATACGTTTTCGAAAATTTCAGCCAGAAAAAAGGCTCCCGAAAATTTTAGGTGACCTTTTTAGGGTAAAAATCCGTTGAAAATGGGCAATTTTACCATTTTTTAGATGTTCGAAAATCCTAGGAGAGGCAGGCAAGCAAGAAATTTTACAACAAATGTTCCGAAAATTCTAGATCTCAAAGTGTCTTCCGAACAGATATTTTGCCGAAAATTGTCGTTGGGTGCCCCTGTAACACTAGTTTTCAAAGTTGGTCCCTGCTGCTTGCAACTTCAAAAATAATGTTCAGGAGACATATTTGTTTGTCTCGGATCTCTGATTTTGTCATTTACATGTAATTTCTTTGCTTACTTTAAGTTCCATAGCGATTGAGGGCGAATAATTGGCAAAATGCAACAAAATGAACTGGACTGCCGTGACACAGCCCCGGACGGTTTTTTGCGTTGCGAGTTTGGAAGGGTTATCGGCCTGAAGCGAGGGACTTATACTGTGGAGGGGCTTATAATTATTTGCGGAATTTTAAGGTATTTCAAATAAATATATCTTAACCTTCATTATGTATTTGTCTATTTTTTAAATCGGACTAAAGATAGCCGAGAAGTTAAAATGTTACAACAACATAACCTTTTTTATTACGGTGTTTTGACCTCGGTCACGCGGTTGACGAGTAGGTAACCGCCTGCGGAATTTCAGTGTTTGTATGAGAATCTAATGTCGGACAGTTTCCGTAAAACGGCTGTTCTGAAAAAAATTCTGTTTTCTCTCACTTGATTGAGATTTCAAAGAAAACTTCAATCCAAAGCAAACATTTTATCAGTAAATTTATTTTTCGATTTTCCTTGGAACTTGGTTTACTTGGTTTTCACGTCAATGTGAAGAATTTTAATCGGAATTATTAGTGACGCGTGAGTCTCAATACTCAAGTGAAAACAGTTTCTAACGAAATATAGCTAGTGGGCTCTCAAAAAGTGGTTTCATCTTTTTGGTTAATTTCTCACCTCCAAACCGTTTTTTTATCTGCCGAAAACGGAAGCTGCAATCTCTAACCCTTGAAACCTTGCAGCCAATTCCCTCAGGCTTTATGATCATTACCAATCATCCGTCAATCATGAAGGACTGGAAAAACTTCTAAAACTGCGTATCAAAACGAAACTTGACCGAGCTTGTATAGGAATATAGGTATACTGGGATTGATCAACGTACCTAGTCTTTGGTTACTGAATCAAACTTCTGAGCATGATCACAAAATGTAGTTGTGATGATTCTAATACGTTATTACGATCTATTGTAAAATTCTCCACACCGCATGCTTATGGGATTTTTCCTTTCTTTCACATAACAGGAACAAAATGAGAATCGTGCATTTATTGTGATATCATGTCTGTGAGTCTTTAATAACATAGGATGGTATTATTACAGACAATTAAAAGACGATAAGGTGAACTTACAGAAACGAAGTTTTGAAAAGTTCGTGGAGCAAAAAGAGCTGGTAATACGGGAACCAAAAACATATACCGGCAGTACATGGAGTTGAAATAATAAAAATCTAACTCTAACTTTAAGAGAACGATATTTAGCAAATTACAAACAATGTTACTTACTTAAAAGCCTGAGTGTCTTCTGGCATGACTCATATTGGGTTGTTTGAGCCCAGAAGAAGAGAGAGAAATGACTTTCCTCGCCCGTACCCCTCTCCTTTTCTTTTCTTTCGCTTTTTCTTTCCTCCGCTTTCCATTTCGAACCGCTCCCCACTAACTGAACGCCTGGAAAACTGGCTACCATAATAACAGGGCTCAATTTAACAGCAACTACTTTTTCGAAAGACCTGGCTCCCTTTTAGTTGGATCGTTTTTGGTCTTTAATATGCTAAAACTCAACCAGGAGGTCCAACCAACCCCTACCCCCCCCCCCCCCTTCTCGCGGCGAGCAAAACGGCAAGAAATTAAATTCATCCCAAAGCTTTCTGAAACATAATACTATATGCCTAGTTTAAGTGTATACGATTAAAGTACAAGGGTAACCGAGTATATCAGTGATGTCAGCGGTTCAAACAGTTGGGTCATTTTCGACTATCTCCACTTGCTGCTTATGCCGATGGCACGATAATTGGATTCCCGACGCACATAAACTTTCCCAAAGTATGATAGCCCTTCTCCCTTTGTCCTCCTGTATCGCCAAACCTCATTTCGCTGATGGGTAGGGTACTTTTATCGGACAGAAAGCCGCTGTCTTCGAGCCATTGAGATTTTTCTGAGTCACAGTTACAGTCGTATTTCGGATCCACACAGGAGAGATCCACTCCACATGCGCACTTTCCACTGTCGGGGTCAGCACCTCCCCAGTAATTCATTTTCTTTCCATCTCGTGACACCCACCAGGCCATGTCTCTACCAAACAATTCTACCTCGTAGCACTCGAACTTGATAAACTGAAAGCATTTCCTTGAAATGCCAACAAGGGTTGCAATTTGTGTAGGGTTTACCCCAGTGTAAGTCACGATTCGACTGTAAGAACCTCTTGTTTCATAACCATTCACGAGTGTCGCATTTTCACTGTCATGACTTATGACCGTTACGCCGTTGTCGTTATACATAGTCATGTTACAAAACACCTTAAAGGGCTCGTCTCCTGTGCCTCCGCCATCTGGATCTATGAAGTAATACCCACTTGTATCTATCGGGAAACTTTTAGATGCAAGAAGGTGTCGATTCTTGATGTCGCGACAGGAGGGAAGGGCATAAACGTATAGAGTAACATTCTTTTCCAGTGCACGAAAACTGTTGTTTGCTGTGCAAACGTATAATCCCTCATGAGACACCTCAGCGAATGCAATGAACAGCGTATTGTTCGGAAAAATCTCAACCCCTTGACTGTACTGCATGTGCCATCCCATTGTTGGTACCAGGTCACTATCTGCCGTACATGGCAGAGTTAGCGATTCGCCAGCATAGATGAAGATCGGACCCAGAGGAGGAAGTGTTGTAAACATGAGTGTTAAATGCACTACTAATTCCACTGCAGGCGACGTAATTTCTCCAGCTAAATTGGAAGCTGTGCAGGAGTAGTTTCCAGAATCTTCAGGCAAAACCTCCAGTAGAAGAAGGCTCCCTTGCTCTGTAGTAACTGCTTCAACTGGCAGACTTTCCCCAACTTTAGACCAAGTGATATTTGGTAACGGGAGACCACGAGCTAAGCACGTGAAAGTCACGTTCTGGTTCTCTTCCACAGCAATTGAAGTTGGAAGGGAGACGAACATCGGAGGCACTGGATATGAATCTGAAATAAATCACCGTTAGTGTTTTTAATGAAATTTTCATATTATACAAGAATTTCTTCAGCTTTATCTTTTTAGCTTTGCCTTTGTCAGCTTATACATCATAACCGGTGGCCTGAGAAAACAGCCGACATTTGACGCCGCTACTTGTTTCCCCGTGCGAAATGACGTCTGAGGAACAAGTACAGAAATTCCACATTGATGACACGTCACTACTCAGATCTAAATAGAACTTCTGACTGGCTGAGAATTTATTTGCTTCAATAAATCAGAAGCACTACCCGTCTACCCATATCTGAGTGGTGACGTGTCATCACGACGTATGATTGTCAGCGCTCGTTTCGCAGAGAAACCAGTTGGGGCGTCACGAAATGACGGCTGTTTTCTCAGGCTACATAACCGGAGATGGGAAAAGAGTACGCTAATAAGATCAACACACATTATTCTAATTTGTGTACCTTGACAAGTAAATCCATCTCCATGATAAGGCGAAGTGCATGAACACGTATATGAGCCAGGTGTGTTTTTGCACACAGCTTTTAAGTCGCATCTATGCTCCCCTGTTGCACACTCATCAATATCTGTAATGATATGGGGAAAATAACGACAGCCGGCGGCTTAAACAGTTTACAGCTGTTTGCGTTTGCTGATACCAGCTTTTCCCGATAAACTTTATGCCCTGAAAAACCTTAATATACTTTAAATTCTTTCTCTCCTTTGTGTATAGACAAACATGAAAACAATAAAAAAAGAAATCATTCCCTTCGCATAAAGCGGACTGGCCTCCCGCCAAGATTACCACTAGCTCTGTTCAGGACCATCAATTTTTGTTTTGTAGAAGGAAAATTAAAGATTATATGCGACTTTAACGTTGCGCATCATGCAATTTGCTCTCCCCACAAAATTTTGCATAAGTTTTTTTTTTCAATTTCTCAAGTGACGATTGTTAGTCCTAAAGGAAACTGGAAAAAATGCTTAGGCAACATTTTGTGGGGAAAACAAATAGGCTACTTCCTAGTTCCGAAAACCCTCACTTTCAAAATGAGGCCAAGTGCACAACCTTTCTTGTGAAAATGAGTTTTATTTGCATGAGAATGAAAAATCATTTCCATATCAAAGGCTGAACACTTAACCTCGCTTTGATACAGAGGCCCAGGGGAACCTCGGAAATGGCTAATTGCATCATGAGGAACGTGTGAAAGTCGCAAATTGTCGTTTTGATGTTATTGTAACCGTTTCTAAACACACAAACAAGTCTGAGCGTACAACATACGCTTTAGGATCGATGAAGAAAGAGTTTGTTGACTTAGCTGCGGAAGAGAGAGACACTGGTGGGTAAAAGAAGCTATTCACAAAAGACTTGACTCTAATAGAGACTCTGAAACTAATTCAATTAGTTCGAGTTTCTAAGGGCCAGTTATTTAAACGAAGCCTTAGATCGCGGTCTACGAAGTCTTTGCACCACCGGATCTCTTCCTGGGTGGATTATTTTAAGGAAAAATGCTTTCTAGTCTAGCTTGTGTACAGACCCCCCTCCTATCGGGAAAAATCGGAGAAGGAGTGGGGAGGGGGGTCTGTACACAGGCTATTCTAGTCTACATGACAAAAATTCTTTTCCGGGTGTACGCCATGCATATGCTTTTACGAAACCGTTCACACGACTAATGGTGTTTACATAAAACCGTCCAGCAAACTGAAATGGCTTAAACTCTGGCTAAACTCCGTTTCATAACGTAACTGGACCTAAAAGTCTACAGAAACGTGGCTGCCTGCGACAGAGGATTAGTCCCACAGGGGAACGTACTCCTAAGGGAACTGCAGTTTCTGACACTAATGAATGCCTAGAGGGGTAATTGTAATGCATTAATCACAAGCAACCACGGTGTTAATGCACTCGCTTCAGTGTTATTGAGACTCCACATATTCTTTCTCGTTTCCTAAAAACTTCATCATCATCCTTTTACGGGTTTATAACGAAACAATTCATCTACCTGCTCCCAGTTGGCTTGTTAGCTTAATTAGTAGAGCGATGCACGGTATCGCAGTGCAAGGGTTAAAATCCCGTACAAGCCTGAATTTTTTTCAGGCTTTCTTTTCGCAACTACAAAAGTTGTGTTTTTTACTGCGATGATCATCCTTCATTTAATTCTTCACTTCGGAGTTCACATATATGATTTTCGTAAATTCAAAACTTTATGTCCGCGCTATATATTTTTATCCCAGAAAATAAATAGTTTGTTTTAAAAGTTACCTTGACAACCATACATCTCCACCTTCATTGATATGTGTTCATTCCACTCAACTGGTCGAAAACGTACGTATCGTGCCCTTATTGGTGGGTTTAAGTGGTGAAAAACTGGAGTGTTATGGTCAGTGTTTCCGGAAAATTCCTACAATGAAAATAGTTCAGTTAATTTGTCATGTTGTTGTTGGTTTATCGGTTGTTCATGATAGCGCAAAGCACTGGATAAATCGCAATCCAGTTGACAATCGCTTTCTTGAAGGCCAAGAGAAAATGTAAAGTCATACTTAGTGTACAGATTTATCCTGTGACTTTTGAACGACCAGGGCCAGAAGTTTTAGTGCAGTGGGAGGAGTTCATATATTTTTGACATTTTCTGGCATAGTTTTTCTAGTGTAGTGTAGTTCTCCTTGCTTTAGGAAGGACTCGATAGTGACAGCTCGAATATACAACATTTTCCCGTCACGAATCCCCGAGTTCAACCTTTACCATCTTTTTTGGGCAGAAAAGATGAAACTTGCCTATTTTGTAAATCTATATTTGGAACAGTATGAAAGAAGCGAATCTACCAGACATATAGTATAGCCGTGATTTCAACATAAGTCTTGCCTAAACTCAGGTGGTGGATCTTCAAATGCGGTCCTTCTGGGTTCGAATCCTGATTTTTTTTTTGTCCTACACTGGACGAAAAAACGGATTTGCCTAAGTTTGCTAGTTGAGCAAATCTATTGTAAATTTAGGGTACTAATGTTGCTACTTATTTGTTCTTGGTGCAAATTTTGTTCGAAAGTGAAAGTTTACTTTTCTGCAAGGGTGGCGTAAATGTGGAGTAAATATCAAGTTTACGGATATTTTGTTTCACTTTTACTCCCTATAGTAAATTTGGTGTTTAGATTCAAATTTGCCACCATTTTGTTCTCTGTGTAAAAATCGAACGTCAAAAATGAATGTTTGCTTGATATTTTCTGGCATAGCAAAGTTACTGTGTAAATTTATGGTTACTAGAGGCGTAAATTTAAGCAAAATATGATCAAAGAACTATCTTTACGACCACTTTAACCAACGTTTGCACATTTACCAAACTTCACAGTGTTATTTCACGCAAGTTTTGATTTTCCATTGCATTTTCCGTTTCAATCACCATCACATTCTTCTCAAAGTTTATTATATTACTTGCTGCAGCTGGTTATTTCGGGTAAGGCCATCCCCCCTTTTTTTTCGTTTAGCGTCGAATGCGTTTCCTGATATTGGGTCGGTGGTTCGGAAAAAAAAAATATCACAAGAAGTCTCGGAATGGGAGGCCCTGACGTAAAACGTTATCATTTACAATTTGGGTGAACAAAATGCACAATATGTGAAAGGTTTGAACCCAGGAGTCATTTCAATAGTAGATTGCAGAGTTTCATCGTCCGGGTGAATGTAGTCCTGAATGCACTCCGTCGCAAGATCAGCCGCCATGTTTGTTGTCCAGGCTTCCACGTGACTTTGGCACATGCACGATTTGATTTACATTGTCACGTGCGGCTTTTGAACCAATAGAATAGTGTAAAATAAACTTTCGTTGAACAGTTCAAATTCACGCGGACTTCACAAGCGATACAGCGTTGCAAAACGAGTAGTTTTGTTATTTTCGGATAATAGAAAGCCTGTCTTTCTATTCAGCTGTTCTATTACGATTTATACCTTTGTTATTTTCGAGAGACAGTGATCAGTTGCGATATTCTTCACATAAAGCCTGTTTCCAAGTCATCAACTCAGCTGGATTGCAGAAAGGTATGTTCTTCTTGACATCGTGGTTCGTTTACTTACTTTGGTTTTCTAATAACTTTGCGTAAGCTTAAAACCTCAAAGATAAATCTTAAAATTTAAGATGCATGCACAGATATGCCATTGATTGATTCCTTTTTGTTTACTGCAGAAATAACTGTACTCTTTGTTGCGCATCGTCTTCATTAATGGAATAATCTTAAGTAGCCGGATCTTGAGCTGTGCAGGCAAACATTTCTTTTACACCATTATAAGTCGGTGATGTGACCTTAGCATGTCCATAATTCAGTAATTTGGCTTGTTGTACAGCTGGGTTAATATGTTAGATCTTTGGGGTTACTGTACTTTTCAGGTGACAGCACTTGACAAAGCAGTGGTCACTATAATTTATTGTTTAATATTCTACTACATTTCAAATGACAAATGATTTCCCTTTTGAAATTTTTACAGTCAAAAACTCATGTGTTAGATCTATACGTAATTATGGTTCAGTGATGTTGTGAAATCTTAATTTGGTTCATTTTGCAAGTGACAGCATAAGTTTGCCAGATCTTGAAGCATGTGTGTCATTCTGAGTGACCATTGTATTATTGTTCCACATTTAAATGACAAATGATTCTTATTTCATAAATTGTACCATCCAAAACTCTTATGGTTGATACATATGGTTCAGTGATACTGTGAGATCTTAATTTTGGTTCATTTTGCGAGTGAAGGCACTTGCCAGATCTTGAAGCCTACAGTATGTGTCATTCTGAGTGACCACTGTATTATTGTTCCACATTTAAATGACAAGTGATTCTTCTTTCATAAATTGTACCATCCAAAACTCTCATGGTTTATACATATGGCTCAATGATATTGTGAGATCTTAATTTTTTTTCATTTTGTGAGTGACCGCACTTGCCAGATCTTGAAGCCTATGTGTCCCTCTAAGTGACCACCGTATTATTGTTCCACATTTAAATGACAATTGATTCTTCTTTCATAAATTGTACCATCCAAACCTCTTATGGTTTATACATATAGTTTAGTGATATTGTGAGATCTTAATTTTGGTTCATTTTGCGAGTGACGGCATATGCCAGATCTTGAAGCCTATGTATCATTCTGAGTGAGCACCATATTATTGTTCCACATTTAAATGACAAGTGATTTTTCTTTCATAAATTGTACCATCCAAAACTCTTATGGTTTATACATATGGTTCAGTGATATTGTGAGATCTTAACTTTGGTTCATTTTGCGAGTGACGGCGTATGCCAGATCTTGAAGCCTATGTGTCCTTCTGAGTGACCACCGTATTATTGTTCCACATTTAAATGACAAGTGATTCTTCTTTCATAAATTGTACCATTCAAAACTCTTATGGTTTATACATATGGTTCAGTGATATTGTGAGATCTTAATTTTGGTTCATTTTGCGAGTGACAGCATTTTTTTCATTTTGCGAGTGAAGCCTATGTGTCATTCTGAGTGACCACCCGTATTATTGTTCCACATTTAAATGACAAGTGATTCTTCTTTCATAAATTGTACCATCCAAAACACTCATGGTTTATACATATGGTTCAGTGATATTGTGAGATCTTAATTTTGGTTCATTTTGCGAGTGACGGCGTATGCCAGATCTTGAAGCCTATGTGTCCTTCTGAGTGACGACCGTATTATTGTTCCACATTTAAATGACAAGTGATTCTTCTTTCATAAATTGTACCATTCAAAACTCTTATGGTTTATACATATGGTTCAGTGATATTGTGAGATCTTAATTTTGGTTCATTTTGCGAGTGACAGCATTTTTTTCATTTTGCGAGTGAAGCCTATGTGTCATTCTGAGTGACCACCGCATTATTGTTCCACATTTAAATGACAAGTGATTTTTCTTTCATAAATTGTACCATCCAAAACTCTCATGGTTTATACATATGGTTCAGTGATATTGTGAGATCTTAATTTTGGTTCATTTTGCGAGTGACGGCGTATTCCAGATCTTGAAGCCTATGTGTCATTCTGAGTGACCACCGTATTATTGTTCTGCATTTAAATGACAAGTGATTCTTCTTTCATAAATTGTACCATCCAAAACTCTTGTGCTTTATAAATATGGTTCAGTGATATTGTGAGATCTTAATTTTGGCTCATTTTGCGAATGACGGCACTAGCCAGATCCTGAGGCATAAGTGTCATTCCAAGTGACCACTATTACTGTTCCACATTTTAAATGACAATACCTCATTATTTATACCTTTTGTACAGCTCAATGATGTTGAGGGATCTTTGTTAGTTCATTTTGCGAGTAAATGTTTGGCTTTATCATGCCAAATAACCACAATTAATCAATTATTGTTCTAAGCAACATGTGGGTTGCCTTAATGTTACGTTTCTCTGGTTCTGACCGGTTTTACGGTTTATGTATACAGTTGAGTCATGGTTGTGCTCTGTTAGAGCCTGGTGACCTGTGGGACACTATCAGTTCTGCTCTTGAATGACAGGGGAATTAATTTATTTCAGTTTTTATTTACACTTAAAAGAGTCTTAATGAAACAAATGCAGATTCAACAGAAAGAGGCATTTCTGCTCTCTACTTTAACACCTGTTCCAAAAAACATATTATATATTTAATGAAAAAGTTAGTAGGAATAAAATGCAGGGAGAAATTTTTCTCACAAATATCCTCAAACTGTTCCTTTGATTAAGAGAGTGTTTTCAGCTTTTAGCATCGTGTCATTGTTCTGCAACCCAGTCATTTACACTGAGTATGAGCAGTACATGCTTGTTTACCAACTGTGGGTTACTTGTTGGCTGCTAAATCATGGCTCTTCATTTTTCTTTCAGAAAAAAAATTAAAGGGCCAATATGCTCTGAGGGAGTCAACTAGCATCAGTTAGTCAGACAAGGACAAGTACCTTGCATGTATGTCCGTTGCATATATGTCATCAGAGGAGTCTTTGTCTGAAACAGCTGTATCAGAGTCGCATGAAGGTAATTCTTCAGGTTCAGATGAGGACCTCCCAAACAGGGAAAATCTCTGTGTAAGGCCTCTTTCCTGGCAGAGCATTGAGGTTAATGGTTTAATGGCCCAGTTGGACCGCAAAGTTGCATGGTATCAAAGTCAATGAAGTGAAAATAATGGTAATAAAGCACACAGTGAGACCAGCATCAAACCAAGGAGCACCAGGCTAGATGATGCTCCTAAGTTTGCTCTGGCACCCACCACGTACAATAACAAAAGGAACTTGATCATAAGCATAACACAGATAATGTTTTGAAAAACATTCAGAAAAGAAGAAGACATTTTAGATAAAAATGTACAAAATAATAATAACACTCAAGTTGAAGTTGACATGCATCATGATTCAGTTCCTTTTCAGTTAAGTTCCTAGAACCATATTTACTCAGTAGACAATTGCACAATTTTTTGAATTTGATGAAGACCTACAATGTAGTAAGTGAATATCCTTTGACACCCATGGGAAGGAGCCACGTTAAAACTAGGTAAATTACCAAATCTCAAAGTGATTTGTCACAATCCAATGAAGATCTTGCCTGTGTTGCAGACACTCTAAACCTTCTGTATAGAGCATGCCGTCTGAGAATTAGTGCACAATATCATGTTTGAATTCCACTGGGTCACAAAGACATGCATGTATGTCAGCGTTTTGTGATTGGCTAGATAGGTTCTTACGCTGTTTGTGATTAGTCCGATTTGAAATAAAGTGTTGACACAAAGTCACATAATCTCAATGACCTTTGTATGGTATGGTGGAGCCACAAACTTTCCCTTACCAGACAAATGTCTGCAAAATTTGCCATCTTTGCAGAGCTGTCCTTGTTAGTTTGCACCGAATCACTCTGTAACTTGGCAACTTTACTGAATTTTAAAAACCTTCCATCTAGTAGCCTGTAAATGCAGCTGTATTTTCAGTCGTCGTGTCCATTCACCCAACATAATTATGTAATTGGAGATACATCTGCATCCACTTTCCGCAGTGGTGACAGATCCTAGGGCTACCCTAAGCACTGCCTTAAAAAGTGCCACTCCGCGGACTAAATCTAGCCAATACACCCCATAGTAGAGTAATTACTGGACTCCAAATGCCATGATCCTATTTTGTTCTTGGCATATTTTATGAAAAAAGAGTGCGGTTATGTTTTATGCAAAAAAAAAAATACCGTGTGTGATAACAGTTTTTTGATAAGCATGGCTTAAATTTTAATCACCTGCATGCCAATAACAATAATAATGATGATGAATTAAAGAAGTTCTACAGAGCGTTCATAGTGTATAGATTGTGTTTGGATAATTTGGATATTTAATCAGTCCAATACTGCAAGCAAAACAGCTGATCATGTGAATCAGAAAAAATTTAAATTGCTCAAATTTTTAGCAAATAATTTGATTTTAGTAAAAAAAAATAAATGTAATAAATTATTTATGGTCATATAATAGTACAAGAATTTCACCAAATCATATTATTTACAGTGATATTATAATAATAATAATAATAATAATAATAATAATAATAATAATAATAATAATAATAATAATACAAGTATTTAACCAAATCAGTGGATAGCAGATTTGCTTTCATAACTTGAAAAGCTTTTGGCTACCTATAGGATGAGAGTAAAATGGGGGTGTCATTTCATGCTAGTTTTAGAAGTTTAGCAGTAAATGAAGCACCTGTAAAATAAAATACATGTACATGCTAAAAAGGTGACAAAATTAACCTTATAAGTGTTTACTGCTGGGTAAAAATATATCAAAGTTGTACCCAAATCATAGAAATGCACAGAGCTTTCGCATAGTAACTCATTTTATTTACAAGAAATATTTTTATATAACTGATTTGGTTAAAAATGAATCATACAGATGTATCTCCCCTTGGGGTAAGTGAATAGCACTAGGTACACTATATAATATTATTCACTGCCTATTTTGGGTAGTGGGTAATATTTATCAGATGAAAACAAGTTCTTATAAATAATAGTTAGAGGAATATCGCTTATCATAATAATTTGAGGCTAATTTTATTTCCTGTGGTTGATGTTCTGTCCATTAGTAAGGATGTCACATCTACATTGGGAGTGATGTGTACGTGTGGTCATCGTACAACCATTTGCCAATAGTATCAATTGAATCTAGAAAGAGTATATTTGAAGTATACCACTCAAATGGAGTTACGTTTTACCTGTACCAACCTTGGATAATTATGAACCAGCTAGTGTTGACTTGCACTTTCAAACCCAATGTGCATTCTTATACACTCATGAATGTAGATAGTTTCACATTGTATGTGCTTTTTATTTAAAGGCATATATTTTGTGGTACATGTAGTGCCCTGCGGAGGCCAATGGAACTTTCTTTTAATTTATCTTGCTTTTTATTGTACAGTGTATATTAAAGATAATAAAGTCATTTTATTCTTGAAATTTTGTTTGGTGTCTAAATTGTTTGTCAGTCATTACTATTTTATGGTACCAAATAAAAATAAGAAACATGTGGATAATGATGTTTTGATCAAATTTGCTATCTTGAGTGAAAGTGTAAAAAAGTGATATTTTAATCAACTTTGCTTACCTTACTTTAAGTGTGGAAAACTGCTATCATAGCAATATTTGCCATCCTGAGCAAAGATACATAAGAACTGATATTTGATCAACTTTGCTACTATTGGGAAAAGTATGGGAAACTACTGTTTTGATCATATCTGCCATCCTGAGCAAAATTGAGAATAAAGTGGTATTTGGCCAAATTTGCTACCCTGAGCAAAACAGTGGCAAACGCCTATTTAGATCATATTTGCCACACTGAGCAAAGATACAGAAGAAGTGATAATTTGACCTCATTTACTACACTGGGCGATACACAAATAACGTGAATTTTTGCTCAGATTTACTATCCTGGGCGAAACTGTTGAAAAATGAGTTTTGGTCACTTTTGCTACATTGAGCAAAAATGTGGCAAATTACTACTTTGACCGAATTTGCTATAGAGAGCAAAAGCATTCAAAAATTCATCTTCGATCGCTTTTGCCCATTTGGGCAAAAACCTGACAAATGTCAGTTTTGCTATCAAGTTTGACACCCCTGTAAATGCCTTGATAAAGTAAAGGTTATCCTTGTTTTTACACACGGGGCAAATTTGAGGCAAATTCGGCATTTACCACCTTTGCCACTAATGCAAAATTATGGCAAAGTTGGTCCTATGTCATGTGGCAAAATTGAGCAAAATTAAGCAAATGTGGCATTTGCAGATGATTTGCTCCAAATTTGCTATAGAGGTAAATCCGTTTTTTCGTCCAGTGCTACGATCGTGACCTTTAAGGAGCATAATACCTTTCTCAAAAAAACAAAAAATTAATACACTGCCCTGAGCACAATCAAACTTTCCTCCCAATGTTGTTGAGGAATGTTTTTTTTTTTCAGCTCATGATCAGTTTGTCCAATTTTGCGGCCAACATTGGAGGGAAAGAAGGAAAACGTTCGACCGACCATAGCACATGTACATTAATGATGTCTTTGACCCAAGTTGTATCGTCACGCCTTGTAGGTTGTGTCGTATAAATGATCATGATGATGCTCAAATAACCATTCAGTGAGTTTACCTTCATCCGTTCTTGTCCTTGCATGATCTCTGTGTAGTAGCGGGGATGATCATCTGAGGCAGCTCTGTACTGTAGGGTGTACTTGGTTACCCATGTGGCCTTGTCGCTGCTCCCTTGTGTTGCTATACCCGTTACGGTGAAGTCCTCGCTCAAATCAATGCCAAGGTACTGATTAAGATCATTTACAGCCGCTGACCAAGCTCCTCTTAAATTTAGTCTGCCCAGGTGCGCATTGTCATTCTCGGACGAGATTGAAGACGCAAACATTTTGTCATCAGGTATGGTACCGTCTGCAATTCCTAACGCTGCGTGGCAGTCTAAGGGAAAAAAATCAAAGTCTGAGTTAAAACTCTCGATATAATACACATGATTTAGAAATTTTTATTCTTTCGCGAAGAGTTGTGTTAATTGGGGAGCTAGCCGACTCTCCTCGTCCCTAGCCAGTAGGGACGTTTCGCCAGGAAGGACGTCTATGCCTCAGCGACAGAAATTCCATATACTGATGACAAAACTCAATGTTTTCATAGTTGAATCCGGTGGTCATTATCGATTTTGTGTTTCTCCTGGTCTATTCTGGTAAATGTAAAGGTTTTCGTTCTTTAGCAAAAAATCTTAATCCTGGTCGATTATGGTAAATTTAAAGGTTTTTGTTCTTTTAGCGAACAAGCTCCAGCAAATGCTTTTTCTCAAGAGGATCGAATGCCCACGAATATTGACTGTTTTGTTGTAGATTCATTTACATCTAAGCGACCGTATGTCGTTTGTCTGTCATTTGCAAACAATAACTGAAATAATAAGCTACTACGTCGACCAATCAGAACTCCTGACCAGAATTTGGACAGATTTTACATCATTAGTATGGAATTTTTGTCGCTGAGGCGCTGATGTCCCTTCTGGCGAAACGTCCCCAGCGGCGAGGTCAGCGACTCGCCCAGACGGTTGTTTTCGCATGCAGGCTTCTCTGACGATGGTTTGGAGTTAGTTATATAAAAGAGGCGTAACAAGGACTGAATTCTCAGAGTTACGCACGGTTGTCCAAATGCGCCATACATTGTCCTCCAGATAGTTTCCACACACAAGTGCCTTAATTAAATTTTAAGTTAGTCATCACTTTGATGAGTTAAACATCTCGCTGATCATTTGTATGGAAGAAACAGTGATGGCCTTCGTGTACGCACGTGGCAAAATTGGAAAAGCTTCAGCTGCATTCTAGTTTGTAAAGTCATTTAAAAACAGTTAACAAGAGTAAAATATGAATCCTTATTTTAAAAGAATTAAAGTTAAAAAGAGTACTACCGCAAAGACTGATCAAACAACGTGAAAAAGGCTGAAGTATACAATATTTCTACTAGTCAATGAAGACGCTCTTTCCAGCGAAATTGACGGATTTTCCTTAACTTGTCCAAAAAGTCAAAGGTTGAAATAACCGTGAAACGGTCCAACTAACCCCTGAATTTCGACTTCCGTATATCAAATTCTGTTTTTCCCCGTTAATGCTTTGTTTGTCTACTTTTATTTTTTTCATTGTAAGTTCAGATACCAACTCGTGCGCATGTAGCTACGCTCATACTATAAGATGTTCATGGTAAATGCCACAACCACCAATCTTGCTCAATGTTACTTTAACATAGCTTAACATGCTATCACTTGGGTAAAATTAAACAGCAAATCTTATTCCAGTCTAAATTATTAGAGCAAATTGCCAATAAGAAATTAGTGAGAAAACCTGTAGTGAATGACTTGTATTTCAGATTTGTTAAAGATGGATTCTGCATGAGCGAAAAACAATAAAGAATGAAGTGGTAATTGAATGACTGGTAGTTACCTCGACAACCGTACAATTCCACCCTCATTGATATGTTCTGATGCCAGGTTGTTGGTCGAAAATGGATATAACGTGCCCTGATTGGAGGATTTAAGTCGTAAGTGACAACCAAGTCTTGATCTGAGTTTGCAGTGAACTCCTAAATAAGAAAATGGTAAAAGATTAACTTGTGCTCGCTGTTTCGTAGCCTCCCACGCAGGCGTTTTTAGGGGAGCTCGTGTTTCATCCCTCCCCACAAACGCCTGCTCAACCGAGAATAACATTCCTTTCCCAAGCTTAGCCAGTCACATTGTACTTTCCAAATTGTGGAAAGTTAACCTTGACTGCAGGGTGACCCGATAATTACTCGATCTGCACGAAACACAAGGAAAGCTTTATGACCTCTAATAAATGTTAGACTCAGAGCGGCAAAAGTAAGATTTAGTCAGATTTTACAATACTCCTTGTACTGCATAACCTTAGCGAAGGAAAGAAAAGAAGGAAAAAGGTAACTCTGGAGTCACGTTTTTGCGCTACCACGAGGTTATGAGTCGATTTACATCATATTATCTCAGATTTAGAGGACAGGGGGTCGCATTCACAAAAGTAAAGACCAAAGGAGATTGGACGTTCTTAAAGGCCTCCTTGTTAAAGTAAGTCTTAACTTTTCTCTAATCTTTAGTAGATCAAATTTGAGTCATAATATGTCCGTGGTTTTAAAAATTTGTGTAGGCCTACGATGTTATACAAGACCAAATTCATCCCTGAATCACATACTACCAACTCCGCGGCATGGCCAGTACCTTACGCGTGCGCGCAGCCATATAACCTGGATACTGTGAACTAGCGCTTAAAGGAGAGTGCCTTGCACTCGCCTCGTCAGTAGGAGACCTTTGCCTACAATTTGGAGGTCATAATGCAAAGAAGGTAATTAAAATTTACTGGAAACAAAGAAGCATTAACGTCTTACTGTACACTTGGCGTTTTCTCGCTCGGTGTAATTTTGAAAATTCACTCCATCGCTATTAAACTGCAGCTGATAACTGGTCACCCATCCAAAGGCCGAGCCATCACCATGGGCTCCCTGTGTTGATATACGTGCCACCCTAGTTAATTGGCTTTCCATATCCACCTCAAGCCATTGGTTTTCATCATTCGTGGCTGCTACCCAGCCTCCTTTATAATACAGTCTGGCATGACTTGCTGCATAGCTGGCGTTATGTTCTGAAGAGGCGCTAATTTGAGCATCAGCGATCGCAAGGCTTTCCATGCCCAGAGGTGTTCGACATTCTACGAGAGGTTAATGGAATCGGGAAATATTCGTTAGAAAAACCGATTTGATTATTACAAAAAACTACTTTCAGAAAAATGTCTTCAAAAAACTAGAAAAAAGACCTTAAGGATAGTGACATCCAATCCAACACCAAATCTGAACACCGAGCTGCGTTGAAGGTTGGCCTGTCACGGCAATCTAGTCCATCTGTTTAGTATTACCAATTATTTGGCCGTACACGCTTTGGAACTTATAATAAGCAAAAGAATTACCCGTAAATACGGCTTTGTGAGGAAAAATATGTCTCTCAGGAATTTAAGTTACAAACAACCAGAGATAAACTTTGATGAACTGCTGGTCTGGACAGATTTCAAACTTGCCCCAAGTGATTGCAATGACTGTTATGAAAAATTAGCCCTGGGAAAACGTAGAAATTAACTTTGAATGAATAAAAATAGTTTACTGATTAGGTAGTTCTTTACCTTCACATATAGTTATTCCATCTCCCTCAAACCCAGGTTTACATGTACAACTAAACGAGCCAACGGTGTTAATGCACGTTGCGTTGGGATGGTGGCAATTGTGAAGGGTTCTGGTGCATTCATCGATGTCTGTTTGAAGTAAACCGTAGTTGTTAGTAGATTAAATTGTAAAATTTTTTTCCTGTTCCAGATCAGAAATGTACAAAATAAGATTTCTAATTCTGAGGAAAACTGGAATTTTGTGACAATACATGTTTTAGTGTTTTCTTATTTAAGTCCTTTTCTATGCCAATGCCCTGACTACTTATACTAGGAAGTGGTTTATTCAAATCAGTAAATGTTTTTCTAGTTCGTGCCATAAGCCTTCTTTTTTTCCGTACCCCCAGCCGTAGAGGGTAGGGTGGGTGGGTTGATAGGCCGTCAGGTGCACGAAGGTCTCCATGGCAACCCTAACACGGATTAACATATTCTTACTAAATAGGAGGAAAAAGTCGGTAAAGATCTGTCACCAGCGAGGTGAGAATGCAATCCGCAAGTAACAGCAAATGCAAGTAAAAATACCTTGACAGGTGAAACATTTTACTGACCCTTCAAGCTACTTACTGCACCTCGCATATCCAAGCGCAGAAAAACAAACTGCTGCCCCACAATTATGTCGAATTTAACTTTACATAGATGGGAGCCACAAGAATCGGTCCCTGCGGTTCCCAGAGTTTGGTGCATTTGAAGGGACAGAATAGATACTATGTATCCAAATGCGTCCTCGTTAATTTGCTGTTTAGATTACCAGCAGGGCAATCTGATTTGAGTCAGTCAAGTCAAGGCTTGGCAGGACTGGTATGAGCGAAAATATCCGAGGGGGGAACTGAACTATACCTTGTTCCCAAAATAGATTTTTTTTTCATTTTGTTATAAGTTCTTTTGGAAGTCATTGCGCTGATTTCTGTGTTTCATCAAAGTTAGGAACACCGAAACAGTTATGCCCTTAACTGGGTTTAACAAAACTTAGTCAGTCAAAATAATATAACACTGATAACCGGGCCGAGACCTGATTACTAAAGACAAGACCGCCAGCAGTCTTAGTTTCCTATAAAGCTTACAGGGGGTAGCAAAGGGCACTCCCCAATTGAATTCTTACCAACACACAGGCGACCGTTCCCAGTAAAACCATCTTTGCAAAGACATTCATACGAGCCCAAAGTGTTGTTACAGTGGGCATAGTAGTGGCAGCTGTCCAACTGTTTCGCACACTCATCAACATCTGTAATGAAAATCACCAAGTCAAGTCAAAATAGGACTGGAAAATGTAACAGGTTAGTCAACAATGACCAGACCGTTGCTTGGGGGAGTAGCTTAGGCAATTCATTTTTCTCACTAAGTAGTATAGTGGGGACCAGTTACTCTGTTTTCTGCTGCGGTGGAATATCATTATCGTGCGGTAGAACACATTAAGCCTTTTGTCCTTATCTTATGAATAACTGTGCTGTAGAATCTCATAAGGATAAGGTGACGTACTGTTGGTGGTCAAATCGGTTTAACAGATCAATGAATGTTATGCTTTTTGATTAGTTAAATGAAGACTAAAAAAGTGTTTATGGGTTAATGAATAAAAGTTCACTCCCGTGTGAATTATAAATCACTAAGCCGTAATTAGAATTATGCAAATCCCATTTACTACCGCTTTTGTTGCACATTGCATTGCCACACAAATCGTGCATAAAATTGGCCATGGGTTTGGAGGCCACTAGCTCCTCCAATAGCTCCGAACACAATATTTTCAAGGCCGGATTTAGGGGTGGGCCCTGGGGGCCTCGGCCCCCATTTTTGTCCTTGGATTTTTTGTCTTTTGTAAACGTGTCGGTTGGTACTTTGAGCTTTGTTGCCTAAATATATTTTCTTTAATGAATATGGTTATGGTTATGGTTCGAAGCCTACATTTTTAGTCGCACATGACCAAAGCTCCCAGAATGCATGCAGTAAATATCCGTCTCAAACAAACTGGATTTGACAATTTTTCAGGGAGACAATTTTACCGCCTTTGTCGGGAGGTTGCGTGTGCTCTCGCCGCGATCGCTTCGGTCCCTGCTAAAGTGTTACTTGCTTCTTTGGCCACAACCACACCTGTGGTTTATTAAATATTTCAGCATTACAGGTTAAATGTAGAATCCAGGCATTTGCTAAATTTAAGCGTCCTGATGGGCGCTATCGGGCCCATATTACCACTATATACTATATCTTTAGGCCCCCTCTATCACAAAATCCTCCTTCCGCCCCTGATTTAATTTTTACTTCCCCCACTCCCCTTCCTTTTCTTGCACAACTAGGTTATTTCGCTCATGCTCATTTTTTTCTTTATTTTCCCTCCAAGACCACCACATTCCACGTCTCGAGGCTGATGGGTCTTATACACTGAAAGTTGTACCTCTACAACAGCCACCTTAGGGAAGGACGAAAGTGGCCGTTGGGAGGTGGCCGTTGTAGAGAGGTTGAAACAAGAGCAAATGTGTGGACTGTCCGCCAAAAAAAAGGCAACTGTAGAGTGGTGACTTTTGTGAAAAGGGGGCCGTTAGTGGAGGTTCGATTCTATACGCATTTCACCCCTTTTTCCTATCCTGAAGAAGGTCACGGAGGTCTAAACCGATGACAACTATTGAATTATTTCAAAGTATTGATTCTCTAGATCTTACTTCAGTTAAGCCTGCCAGCTCGATGCGAGCAAGCTGGAAGGCGTGCTCTGGGAATAACCGTTAACCGTTAATACCTCTAATTTACTGAGATTCTCCAGGAAGGATTGGCCTTGTCGGCCATTTGCCCAGCCATCGAATCCCTTCTTCAAACTCATCAACAACAACAACAGAAACTACCCCTAGATGAATGAAGCGGTCTTCGTCGACTTCATTCGACGATCGAACCAACATACTCACCAACAGCACAGGCCTCTCCTGTGAAGCCTGAAGGACACTCACATTGAAAGTCATCAGACTCAAAGTTTGGAACGCATGAAGCGTTTTTAACGCAAGGTCCTCTGGAGCAAGAATTCTATTCAAAAGAAAAGAATAACAGCCGGGATACAAAAATCATTTCAATGCGTCATTTATATCTCCAACACCAGATCCAATCCTGGAGAGATGAGCTTTTCAGGGGTTTAGAGTTCTGCCTATATAATTTCCGTTGATGAATTCAGAACTATACAAGACGAGCACACGCTATAAAGAAATTTAAAGGTCGTGTTCTATTGAGAACAACCTTTTTTTGGTTGGTTGGGTTGGTCGGGTGTTTTCGTGTTCTATTTGAAAAAACCGTTTTTGGTTGGTCAGTGGTTGATCAACTTTTCCAATCAGCTCAGAACGTGGTTGAAATGGTTGAAAACAATGGGTAGTGTTTTTTGCGAATTTCGTGCTAAAACTTATTCCGTGAACGAAATGTTCGCATGGGTCTCACGAAACTGAACTGAGAGGTACCGGTAAACATACTACGATAGAGATCTTTATGCAACTTCAAAAGCACTTTGTAAAATGAATGGAGAAAAGGAACAATGTTTTAAAATCTAAACTATAACCAATGCTTCACAGACTTTAATATTTTACTATCATAACTCGAATCTTTTTATTCTCAAAAATAGTGTATGCGAAGTTCACGTTTCTCCTTAGTCTCCAACAACAGTTATGCTACATATTCCCAATCATGATCATCATCTTTTTTCATCAGACTAGCACTGAAGCGTTGTTTTAGGTCACGTGTTGAAGAAGAGCCGTAGCAACCATTCTGCCTTTCGCCAATATGTTGACAACCTTTACGACAGAAGTCAAAGAAGTCTGGAAATCACTAATTATAAACCCAGTCCCATTTGCGTTTCAACCAAAATCGGTTGGAAATGTGTTCTATTGGGAACTTCAACCAAATCAACCAAAACCGTTTTCTGTTGAAATGGCTGGTCCCAATAGAACACGACCTTAAACCCTGATATGATGTACTTGATGTACGTAGTAAAGACCTCGCTAAGCCTATCTCTACTTGCCATTAATGCTGAGGCTATTTTAGACCACTTTGCGGTTTTTTTTATAAATGCTCAAGATTGAGAAAATCTCACTGTAGCCGTTGCAATACAAAATGAGATGAGCTTTTTAAAATGTATCACCCTGTTCAACACTTAGGCAGTCCCAGTCGAGTGGCACCATATGCAAGAGGTTAAATTAATAGTGAGAACACCCTGTTTAGTGTGCTGTGTTTCGAAGGAAGGTCTTGAGGCTGTAAGTCTTTCTTTGTCGTTTTATCAGAAGTCGTGCGTTCATGTAATATATCAAACACGAGATGCAGTGTTTCATCACCAGATGAAACACCGAGAAGCGAGTTGAAAATACGACGCGCAGCGGAGTATTTTTGACGAACTTCGAGGTGTTTCATCTGGTGATGAAACACTGTGTCGAATGTTTGATATTTCTTCTCAACCAAAATCATTTTTGAAGGAGAAATTAAGGATGCAAAAATGAGCAGTTTTTCATCTGATATCCAAACACTCATTAAACATTAATTTCCTTTGAATTTTCTTTATGAATTATTAATGAGTTTGAGAAATGTACTTGAATAACGTACAAGACTGAAATAAATAGTTCTCTAGATTATAATTATCACATGACCAAAAAGACCATTACAAAGCCTATACATGAGTCAACTCTCGTAAGCCACCACCCTTAGAGCACGAAAAAGTGGTTGCTTATAGAAGGTGGTCACTATGAGAGAATTGACTATAGTACACCCTCTTTGAGAATGCAAATGTGGGGCAGAGATGCAGGTACTAGTTTAAGGTGGTTTTTCACTGTCGCGTAATTTTTCCCCGCGTAAATGTCACGTGTAAATTAATGTTGAACCTCGCTCAACTTTTACGTTTACGTGTGGCCTTTCAAAAATCGTTTTTATTCTACATACGCACATAAAAATTACCCGATAGTGAAAATTCACCCCTAGGCCAATTAAGGAACACTGCCCACTGCCCGTATCCTGCGAACAGAAGACACATTTCCGGTCGTCGCTACCCTCAGAAATTTTTCGGAGGGAGAGAAGCCACGACCAGAAACGCGTCTGCTGTTCGCAGGCTAACTGCCCGAGGTGCAAATAATTTTAAGTACAAGTCAAATGTACCTTTAATCCACGGTATAAGTAGTTTGGCCTATTTGTCATGTTCTGTGGGTCCCTAAACTCATCTGATTTGCTGATTTGACAGTCCCTTATGACACCCTCTACCAAAGGCCCTAGGTTATACGATACACACAGTCTGTGTTGGAAGCATCTGAGTTGGCAGTCGTCCTCCTTTTCAACTGGATATGACGTAAGCACTTGTCCTTCCAATGATTTGTCATATTTCACGGCTAGAACCTTGACGAATGAGCATCTACCATCTTTATCGTTCCATGAAATGGTGTCAAAATATTTATGCATACAAATGATGTGTGGAAAACAAACAAACAGACAAAATCAGTATGCGACAGTCTTATTTTTGCCAAAGTATTTCAAAGGTAATTACTGTATTTTAACTTAGGATTCTAACAGCAAAAACTCAACAAAAGGTAAACAGGCTCTCAAGTGGAGTTGGGCAAAAAAAAAATTCGGCGCGTAACGGAGTCGAGCGTGGCCTGGGGAGAAAAATAAACGTCTCTTTTCTCCCCAGGCCACTCTCTGCTCACTTCGCTCGCCGATTTTTCTTTTCACCCTGCTCCACTTGGGAGCTTGTTCGCGGGCTACGATTTGTTAATGTAAAACGTGCCCCTTGATCAGTCATGGCCACGTTACAGCCTCTGCTTGTCCTGGTTGGGTTTAACCGGTAGCTGAGAAATGGTCAAAATTTTAGCTATCAGCTGGAAAAAAGGGCTGAGATCCAGCTGAGATCGGAGATCCATAGAATTTACAGTTAGTAAGTACTTGCTGAAAATTTAACTCTGGTAGCTGAGATATTGCCGAAATTCTAACTTAGTGATAGTTGAGATTCAAGCATTTATCTCCTTGCAAACTCTCCATAGCCACCTGCAATAGCTCAATCCCTAGGCCTGTACAGTCGGATTGATCCAAAATTTATCCCACCTAATTAACACCCAAAATACATCTCATCAATATGCCTGTTTTTTCTCTTTTGAAAAAAAAGATGTTTATTTTCTAACTGAAAGATTTTCATGAGTAATTCCCTACCCTTGGTGGTGGCATTAATATTTTATACAAGCAATTAAGACGCAAGTTTATTTAACATAAATATCGCAGCTGAAATGAGTCTCCCACTGGAGGTATGTTTTGAAGCTTTAGTAAATAATGGTAATGTTAATGACCTCGACTAATAATTAATTAACGATCTGTTAATTGTGCTTTAGTGAACTTTTAGTTTCTGTAAGTTTAGACTCTTGCAAATAGTCATTTGTTATCACTTTTTTATGGCAGTATATCCAGGCTGGCCATTCTTAGTATACGTTCGGCGGCCCTTTTTTACGAGAAGTTCACACTTCACTACTTTGCGTAATGAGATCCGTACAAAAAAAAAATACTGATTTGCATTGTATATATCTTATGATTCAGCAACCTTAGGACAGAAAAATCTCAAAAGTAGCATTTTTAAATTTGTTATTTTCCTTCCATCTTTCTTTTCCTTCTTCTTTCTTTTTTTTTCAGTCATTTTCGTTCACTGAAAATTTGCCCGATCTGTCATCCACTTCGTTCTAAATTAAACGGTATTTAAAGGTAAAAGGAGTTTGTAAACTCACCAACTAAAGCCTGTGAAGTTGTCAGATCGATCGAAGAATTGAGAATGAAAACAAGAGCGACTGTAGCTACATACATGACTGAAACAGGTATCGTTGCAAAGGGTAATCAGATATCGGTGACTCGGTGACTGAAATCATCATGAATTAATCCTAAATGGCGCACAAGGGTGTTTTTAACAGTTGTTAATTGCAAATCATAATATAAAGGTTATTAGTATTTTAATATCCCTCGAACTTGATCAGTGGGGAAAGTTATTAAAGGGGGCGGCCCTGTAATTTTAACCTGTTTATTTGTATTTATTGGAATTTCTTATACCTCTCATGCTGAGTCTAAGCGTAAGTTTGAAACAACAATTATAAACGGAACGTGATCTTCTCATTAACTGCAAAATTAAAAATTTTCTCGAAAACTCGAACTTATTTTCAAAAATACGCTTTATGATGAATGGGCTCCCAATAATTGGCAAACATTTTTTTTGAAGTATTGGTATTTGGCAATTTTTCCGCTTTGACTTTTGTTAACTTATCCTGAGACCTGAGCAGCGCATGAAAAGACTCCTGAGTCGCCCTTTTCTCTGTTTCTTTAAAATGTTTGCTGTTATTTGCGATAAAAATTAAATGAAATTGGCCTAGCGGGCTTCGCGTACCCATTATTCACGAGCACCTGCGTAAAATACCGATAACTGTACTTAGTTTCTGCTGACTAATAATTGTAGAAAAAAAGTGTAAAAAGGCAAACTGATCCTTACAGCAAGGCGATGAACTATTATCAAAAGAATAAAACAAAAAAAATATACTGCAAAATTTCGAAAATAATTCCGGGGCTTATATTTTTCAAAGGCCCTTTTTGAGGAGCTTATTTTTGGAGGGGCTTATATTCGGAGGGGCTTCTCTATGGAGGGAAATTTGCGTTTCAAAATCGATTGGCCTAGCCTTATAGTTGGACGGAAATGTACTGTTTTTGCTTTGTTTTACTTTGTATTTGAGGGCAAATACAAAGCCCCGGGGGGCTTATATTTGGAGGAGCAATTTAACGGAGGGTTTCTTGCGTTACCGGTTTGGGGGGCTTATATTTGGAGGGACTTATACATGGAGGGGCTTATTTTCAGAATTTTACGGTATGTCAACAAATTTGCCCAACGGTGGGCCCCACCGGTGTAACCGTTGGCGCGATCCATTCAACCAAAATTCAGACCGGTCCGACCGGGAAAAGAGGACCACCTCAAAAGGTGGACCTGTTTTTTCGAAACTTTTCCGGTTGGACCGAACCGATCCATTGAGTTTTGGACCGAAATTTCCGGAAATTTTGGTTGAATGGATCGCGCCCCGTGCCTTTTGGAAAAACTGCATTGTGGGTAAAATAATTCAAAATGGCGGACAAAGGACGAAAAGTTTGTTCAAGAATATGTGGTTGTTCTTTGTGGCTTCTGTTCAGCTGGTAAGCTTATGTTGAACTCCTTGTACTAACATCAAAGCTGTAGAGTACTTAAAAGAGAAACCACTGCAGATTCTGGAAGGATTTTTGAAATCGTTTTGTTTAATCGACCATTTTCCAGTGTTATGTAAGCTTAAGCTTACGTCTATACAACTACATACAAGCAGATATGAGGCATGGCGATGCCTGTGGTGTTGTTTTCTACCTACAAAGCGTATTTGGTGGGCTTATAAGCAGGATTGTTTTATACGCAGTCTACACTAAGCACTCTCATAATTACAGTAGTTGAAATTCGTCCCTTCTTTTCCATGAAAGCCATGACTTGTCACTCACCAACAGATGTTTCAGATTGTGTCATATAAGTGTACATAGAGAGACAACTTAGCCCATTATTTTATTTAGGTTGTAGGCTTGTATCCAGAGAAGTCGATCCAGTGTGCTACCCTCTCGAACTGAACATTAATGGGATGCCTATCTGCTCAAGCAGCTTATAATAAGCATAGGTTAATATACCTCAGTGCCTTCCAAAGTAAAACATGTGTAATTTTCCCACCCATATTTAACCGAATATCCAAAACAATTCAACTTCTTCTGAACAGTTTCTAAGATGTTCAGAAGACTTCACGAATCTTCACTGTTTTCTAAGGTTACTTCAAGTAACTCAGTAACCTTAGAAAATAGCTGGTAGTTCATGACGCCATCACTGGTTTCCCATGTAAATGATTGAGGACTGAGGGCAAAAATTCCATGCTGGTGATGCATCATTAATTACTCAGATCTAGGTATTGCTGATTGTAAAATTTGTTCCAACCAATCATAAGCACTACCCCCATTTTTGGTAGTGACACTGTCAGTATGGAATTTCCACACTCATTCCTCAAATGCCCTTTAATGGGGAAATCACATAGTGGCGTCACAAAATTTTCTTGGCTGTTTTCTCAGGCTATTAACAAATATGCTCTGATGACTTCTGAATGTTGCTCAATTTAGCAGTACAAAAAGCAAAATCGTGGCACCAAATTGCCGAGATCACACATATCGTGGCTAGATTACTGAGGCAAGGTTTTGTGAGGCCTTAATATAGCTTAATTATTACTAAGGACTCAAACGTGACCTTTAGCTTTTAGTACCATTCATTGGCTTATTTTGGGTGGAAATTGAATTTATTTTTTCATGTTAATGGTCACTGAATGGTTAAAGTAGTCTTGAATTATGTATTATGTTTGGAATCAAAGTTTTTGATCTCAAGGCAAGGAGTGTGACACATGCATACACTGTAATACATGTGGTTGGGTGGTATTGGTTAAATTCCAGCTGCACATTTAAATTCTTATACCAGTTGCTTTCAAAATGTAGATTAATGTTAATCATAATATAGAGAAAATATGAGTGCAGGACTAATCATTACCTACTTTTTCACGTTAAAATAATCTGCAGGTTTGATCTGGCAAACTGTTTTGTAAGCAGGTACAATTCTGTTCTTTGAAAATTAACTGTGAACATCATGACCCACAGGGGGCACAACAAAATTTAATATGATTCACTGGGATGATCAAAGGATGCTCTTTGTGTGTTTTCTTGTTTTTTTTTTGACAGTTTTTCAGTAGAGCCTCAAGAAATACCACTTCCTGACACATTTATTAATCCTGCATTTCAAGTGGCACATCATTTATGGTGAGTAAACTTAAAGTTCCAATTACTTTAATTTTTTAAAATCATGGGGAAAATGGTATCATTTAAGGCATTGTGGCCAGTGTATTGAAGTGCTTTGTTACAGTGAAATGAATTGTTGTAATTGACTGGCTATGTCCTCTTGCTGTTTGAGGAGGTGTAGGGCAGTAATGACAAAATGAGAATTGATATAGTTAGGAGTGATGGTTTGTCCTTGTTCCATGACATGTTGTGTACTTACAGACTGCTGCAGGCAGGATTTGTTATGTAGGAGATCTAGAGCTCTGACAATCATGATCTAGATCTCAAAGTTATACTCCTTGGTTAATATATTGTTTATCATAATTTAACTGCAACCCACATAAAACATTGAATTAAACCTACTTGATCACTCGTGGCTGTATAACAGGTTCTTGTATTTTTGGGTGTTAAAGTGTCAGATTTCTGCCAAGAGGTTCTTAATCCACTAGGTTCTTATTTTTGTGGGGGTTTACTGTGTCCATTATAGAACTTAAGGTAGCAGAGGTACATGTGTTGCAAGTCAAAATTATATTCAGGTGAAAATTTTTCAACCTAGGTTGATTCTCAGTCTCTTTTGTCTCTTTGTCCTTATTCATGAATAATTAGGGCTAGGAGACAAAGAAAATAAATAATTAACATTTGTTAAAAAATTTTAACCTGATTATAATTCTGGCCTGTAACGTATATTTTATACACAGCTGTTGAATTAACCATTTTTCATTTTGTTACCGGCACACACATGTCTGTTAATCGACCAGCAGAAAAAAATAGAAATAATTAATAAGGGGAACATGAGCTTTTTTTCAAGCTCTATTTATCGGTAGTTTTGATTTTAATGTACGGTATTGCGGTATCATTTAGCCCTGTGGTCGTGCGGTTTTTTATCCTTTTGACTAATGGTATTTGTTAAAAGAAGATCTTTCACGGTATTGCAGTTGTGATACTGTTTCAGTTGCACTCTCCTGTCTAATACAGGTCAATATTTTTAAGACTTCAGACTTAATGGTAAATAATTGCACAATTTCTGTCTTGGTTGGGCATCCAAGACCATCTACTGACTGGCTTTTAGATGGTTGTCCTGATCAAATCGAGATCTTCTCATGTTTTCTCTCAATGGCTGAGGTTGATTGTTGTGATAAACAGACACACAAGATGATTACAACAGCTTACTTTAAGTAAGCGTGACTGGTCATAAATGCGGTATCGGTATTTCATTGATTTTCGACACGGTATTTCGATATTTGCCATTTTTTCTCACGGGATTGGTATTGGGTACGGCCCCAATGTCCCTGTCATTAATATAATAAAGATATGGTGTTGTGTTGTGGTGTTCCAATCCTCGTGATCTTTTACCATGATCACTTTTGCTTTCAGGGAAGGAAAGACAACACAAATAATTAAAGAGCTAAACAAGGTGCACAAGCCTTCATATATTTTGGCCACCCCACAGCACACTTTGTACATTTCAAGGTGAGAATTTCATCAAGTGCTTTATACTTAACCCTGGGAGATACATGGATACTTGTAAAATGATACAGCATAAACTGGATTTCTTAGTGTTATCTTGAACAAAAGAGGATAGTAAAACACACTGTAATCTAAGAAATTGGGGATCCTTAATTGCTTGGAATATTATTTTATATGAAATCCATGGTGCCCAGTGCATGAGTTTTTTGGACAAGCTTCATGTAAGATTTCCTAGGCACCAAAGGGCAAAAGTAAGGTAATATTGCCAATCTAGGCAGTTCATCATTACCATGAAAACCAAAATGATTGTTGACATAACTTATACCCAGAATTAGTTAATGCTTTCAGCAACAGCTTTGCACTGCTTCATTTGGTGCAGAGAGCTAACAGCCCACATAGAAATGTTTCCTCCATCTGTAACATGGCACTAATGATAACTTGATTTCGTTTTCCTCTTTTTTATTCACTTATTTAGCTTTCTGTTAGACCAGGTAAGCTTATTTTTTTGGTAATCTTAAGTCACTTCTGATGATTGTATCAAGTGATAAAGTTTCCATGCTTTCTTCTTGTAGTCTTAAAGTTTGCTTAAATTAATATTATATCAAGCTAGCCGATACCAACAAGTTGTGAGAAACCCCTTCCTTACTTAATACAGTCAAACCTTGTTAATAAGGACACTGTGGGGGCCATAGAAAGTGTCTGTATTAACGAGGTGTCCATGTATAGCAGGTTGAATTTAGAGAAAATGTGAGCGCCTGCTTTCTCCAGGGACAAGAAAAACTGTCTGTAATAATGAGGTGTCCATATTAAGCGGGTGTGCATTTGTGTCAATATTTTGTTAGTCTGTTTAAATTATTTGTAATCCTTAACATCACAGGTGTTGTTTGTAGCAGACACCAGGCAAACAGGGACTCCTGCTGTTACATTTACTCAGGGGCATGGGCTGGATGGACCTTGGGGAATGGTAGCTGGTAAGAATCCATACCACACTTCTATTGCTGGTAGATCAGCTACAAGATAATTTCCTTCTAATCATTAAATATAGAACATAGGGTTTTGCAGTCAGTAGCCCGCCTGTGTAGCAGGTGCTTGAGAAATTTATCAGGTGCAAATAATATTGCCTCCATCACAGTCCTTTATTATATAAAATAACTAAGACATTCTATATGTATACACAGTATGATTGTCTGAGAGGCACATGAGAGTACCTGTATGTAAACACAGTAAAATTAAACTGTTGCGATGTCAAGATGTTTTTGTTGTGCATGCATTAATTACGCTTACGAATTTGAAAAAGTGCTGTTACAAGTTTGATGATAAAATCCACTGGTGACTGTCATTGCTGCCACTTACATGTACTTCCTAATGTGGCAGTCACTTAGGGACTAAACCTCATAGTTCTATATTTTGTATGAATTTTTTGTTGATACTTGCAAAAATCAGACGTAATGTAATATTATTGGATTTAATATTATAACGAAATCTCTTTCAGATGACAAATACTTGTATGTTGCAAGTTTTACTACAGATCAGATACACAAGTATGACCTACAAACAAAAAGGTGGGTCTAAATTCTTTCTTACCGGTATGTTTACCAAATAACTTGGTGATAGTTTTTCCAGTCTGTCCACAAATACACGAAAGACTTAATGGAAATGTTGTAGTAAATTTTTTATCTCAGGTATTTTTTTTTCTTTTGTTTTTTGGGTATGGTAATGTGTGCTAATGAAGTTGAAAGTCTTGGAAAAGAAAAATAAAAATTACATGAGATAAAAAAATTAGCTACAGCAGAGATATAGCAAGAGCGCAATCACAGGTTAATTGCTCCCTGCCGCTGGGGACATTTTGCGAGATTCAGCGCATTGTACGTTTGATTTTTCTGTCATTTTGTCTTTTATCTGTCATTCGCAAAAATAGCTGGAAGAGTACAATTATTACATTGACCAATCAGAGCTCTTGACCAGACTCTGAACCGATATACGTCATCAGCCCTCTTGTCATCAGTCACTCGTGTTCAGTGTTTTGAGGGATATTTAAGTTATTTGTCAAGGAAAGCAGGGACAAGGGAAGTAATGGGAAAGGGAGCAAAACTCCCGGAGGAGGAGGGGTACTCCTGGGAATTCTTGGTGGGGGTCTGCTGCCCCGTTCTCCAAATCCTGATCCTATTTCAGACGAAAAAATGTCATTTTTACTACCTGTTTTCAGACCAGACCTCTTTGAAATTATGTCGTCATTACTTAGATAAGAACAGCTACAAAAAACAGGGTTGTCACTAAGATTTCAAGTTGCCGGGAAAATACAACAAGTAGGCAGGAAATCAAACAGCTAGGGATTTCTTTTGGTTCTATTTTTCTTCTATTTGCCAATAAAAGTAGCAGGGGGTCACACTCATAGTAGCCGGCGGAAATCACTGGTCCCCGGCTCTTAATGACCACCCTGAAAAATATTTCTTAAAATCTATTTTGAATTCGCATATTTCTCTCTTTTTCTTACTGATGTGGAATTGAAACGATAAATACGTTCATACACTCCTGTAGTTCCCTCTAAGTCCATACCCGATTCTAGACCTATATGTCTATACTTGTTTTTAGACCAAAATGGCACAAAAACCCTACCCTTTGGGGTGGCACGTACTTCTTTGGCTTATATAAGGGAGTACGGAGTACGCCCGCCCCCCGCCCCCTCCCCCGAAGAACTTTCCCCTAACCTTTCTCTCCTTTTCGTTCCCATCACTCCTTGCTCGCACTTTGCGTTCATTCCCATCATTCTCCACTCGTGCTTCTCGCTCCTTTCCAGCTCCCCTTTTAACAGACCCTGCTTAGGAAGGCTTGTGGAGGAGGCTGTATTATCAGTATAAATTTGTTAGACTCACTAAACGTCTCAGTGGCGGGGAATGATAGGCTGTAATTGCAGGTTAATGCATATTGAATTTTGAGATGACATTAATGTGCACAGGTTTGTAGCTGCATTTGGTAATGAGAGTTACCTTGATTGCCCTGAGGGAATGGCTCTTGGTCCTAACAACACACTTTATGTGGCAAGCTTTCTTGATGACAGGGTGGTGAAATTTTCTTTACCTGATGGCGCATTTCTGGGCGTGGTGAGTTTCCAGCGTGATGCCATATGTTTATGTTACCTCAGGACTCAAAAAATGTCCCTTTTGGTACTGAGTTCTGGGGTACTTACCATGTGACGGAAAATTTCGGAAATTCCGGATGGAAGGTAAATGGTAAGGTCACTTTTCGGAAATTCCAACCGAAAATTGAGGAGTACGTTTTGAGGTAGTCCGTTCATTGCGGTTGGTACGAACCAAACGAAAATGTTGCTTACCATTTACCAATTTCTCGGTTCCTTCTCGGTTCCAGACTCACGCTACTCAAATTCGTGCCTTTTTTGGATTCAAACCGTAACGGATGTGGCAATTCTGCGGTAAACTGGTAAATCGCTTACCATTATGCTTTTGACACCCCAACCGGATTTTTCTGTCAAATGGTAAGCACCCTGGACAAGCAGATTTTCCTGCTGGGCAAGTAACATTTAAAGCTCACTCGCTCAATGGGTAAGGGTCCAGGCAAGATATCCTCCAACTAAATCATTAACTAAGACAAGCAAGTAGTCGCCCCGGGCAAACAAAATGTGAGAACTGCTCGCCTAAAGGACAAGCTGGGATTCAAGGTTTTTCGAGCCCTGCACTTATCTGAATTTCTTCACATTTGACAGTGATAACGTGAAGCCGTGAAAACGTCATAAAACGTTTGAACGTTTAATTTTTTTTTCTTACAGGTTGCTGACAGAAGCCATGGTCTTAAAGGGTAAGAGACGATATAAAACGTTACCCTGGATAAAAATTTATTACGTTTTTAAACAGGCTTCATTAAGGGGGAGCGAGAAAGGGGGTAAAGGCGTTCTTTCGCAGTCTGTCCTTAGTCCCCTCTGATTGAACCGGACTCCTCGCATAGGCTAAAAAAATTTACAAAGAACGCGATGGCTTCATTAAGGGGGAGCGAGAAAGGGGGTAAAGGCGTTCCTTCGCAGTCTGTCCTTAGTCCCCTCTGATTGAACCGGACTCCTCGCATAGGCTAAAAAAAATTACAAAGAACGCGATGGCTTCATTAAGGGGGAGCGAGAAAGGGGGTAAAGGCGTTCTTTCGCAGTCTGTCCTTAGTCCCCTCTGATTGAACCGGACTCCTCGCATAGGCTAAAAAAATTTACAAAGAACGCGATGCATAAAGAGGAAAATGGATGTAAATTTTGAGTTTATTAAGTGGTGTTTTTTAGCGGTAAATTCAAAATACTCACGCGCAGTAAAATGTACATGTATGTCATGGTTCCGGTTTAGCGGATTCTTGCAAGTGGTCGCCTACGACTCTAAAACACGTCTGTTTCATCGGTACGTAAGTTCTTGGAAGATTTCCAGAAGATGCAGTGACCAAATTGGAACAATTTTCAGCTAAAACAGCTTTTTGTGGTTGTTTTTTTTGTTCTACTACTTTATTGTCTTAGTCGAGAAAAAAATTGCATTTTGTTTCACCAATGTAGCTCTTGTAACAGTCTTGTGACGGAAATGAATAAATGGGCGAAGAGTCTGATATTTTAGACTGGGTCCTTCGGGTAAGGGAAATATTAAGTAGATAAATAAAGTGTTCGTAACTCCTAACCAACAAGAATAACTCTTTCGTTTCCAGACCCGAGGATGTCGCGCTTTTACCTGATGGTTCACTGCTAATTTGCAGTCATTACACGGATGCGGTGATGCGGTTTAACTCCTCTACTGGTTAGTAACATAGATCGACATCGTCAAGCCAGTGGGGTGGGGGTCCTTGCTTAAAGGCCGGTTTTCTGTAGTGACGGAGTGGAAGACTTAATCGGACTCGTAACAGTGCGTTGATGTAAACATACTTCGCTGTAGTTAATTGGAGTTTTGTTTCAAGAATACCGACTGAAGGCCACTGAAAAGCCTTTTAACTGATTTCTTAATCGTGTTATTTGCAGGTGAGAAGCTGGGTGTTTTTGCCAAAGTGGAAAAACCAGTTGGTTTGACCGTGGGCTCAGATGGGTGAGTTCATATAAGCAAGAATCGTTCGTAAAGAAGGCAGAGAAATTACTGCAGTGTCAACTTTCGGCAATTCATCACATTAACAGGCTTATAGTAGTTGCCACTCAGTGGTTTAAAGTTTCAGTGTGTGTTTAGGTTTAAGTAGGTAGACCCTCACCGGCTGAGAGGCAAATAAACTGTACTACGGAAAATCGAGGCTGTGTTCATGCTACAGCTGATGCTATACCGGATAGCCGCTCTTGCGCCGGCGCGAAAACCTGTCGTACCGGATAGGTTCGGATAGGGCTTCTGTTCAATTGATTTCGGCGTGATTTCTGTAACGGAGCGAAGCTACGCCCACGCCGATCTCGAAAAGAGGAACGTCACATATGGGATAGGTTGGTTCCACAATAGTCTGCTACACAGCCGTTTATAATGTCGTCACGCAACGCTCCTTCCCAAGAGGAGCAGGAGCGTTGCGTGACGTGACGACACTAAAACCGCTGTGTAGTAGACTAGTGCCACACTGGTGTAGTGTGGACAGGTATTCGGACAATAGAGGAAGTGAATAAGTAGGAGCGAGGACTGGAATAAACTGAGAAGGAAAACATTTACTAAACCCTTTTGGTCAACCGCCCCGGCACGGTATTCAATATGCGTGAACGTCTTGTTCCAGTTCTGTGCTGTTGCTGTTCATAATGTACCGGATAAGGTTTGAACATAATCTGAGCTCGAAACATCAACTTTTGATTTTTTTTTTCAGTATAGTGGTGAATTTACCTTATCCGCAATGCAGCTGATAAATAAAACTTTCGTGTTCAAATTACTCATCAACACAAATGTATAGTAGCATCTCTCTGTATTGTAATTGCTCTAGCTTGAAGAATGTAATTATCAGCAAGTGGTTAAATCTGATGCCGAGTAACCAACATAAGTTGTTCTCATTTCTTGTTCCACAGAAACGTGTACGTGACAAGTTATGTTACAAATAGCATCCTTCGGTTTGACGGGCAAACAGGTTGGTTCATAGTAACACGAGACAAAGTCAGTCTTGCTAGACTTGAGATAATCTGTTAACAGATAGGCCAACGCCCAGTGGGATCTCAGAGCGAATTCTCTGCTCCATCCTTTGTGTCTTAGTGCTTCGCGGAGCAACATTCATTTGTGCAATTTTGCCACTTCCTCTCTGGCTTCGTAGCTCAGTTGGTAGAGTGACGGTACATTTTACCGTACGACTCGGTTGCCGCGCGTGGTTCCCTGATACCCGCTCTTTACGGGTGCCAACGTTCAGTTAGGTTTATGGGTTATAAAAAAAGCAGTTCACTTGTCTGTCCCATCTGCTGTTTTACAGTTAGTCTAACGATAAGAAGCGATCATATTTGCCGTTGTTTTAATCCTTTCGTTCTTACTGACTCTTCCCTGTGTATCCGAGGGTGGTTTTCGCCAAAAACAACAACAACAACAACAACAACAACAAACAAACAAACAAACAAAGGAACTAGTTACGTGATAACCAGGGCCGACTTGATCGAAGGACAATTTAGCGCCGCAAATCCCGGCTTAGTTACCACGACAAGTCAATTGCTATGGTTTCAGTTAACCAAGACTGAGAATGATTCATTCTCTCTTGAGTTAACCGACCGGGCGCCGAACAATTCGGCCCAGGGACCTGTTTCTCGAAAGTCCCAGTAACTTTTCGGGACCGGGAAGCTTTTCTGCGTTGGTTGTGTTTGCATTCTAGATCAAAGTTTCAATAATTTGAAACTAATAAATGAAACTATCAGTTAACGAAGCAAAATTGACTGGTTTGTGGACTAGGAACTGGGCTACTTTTCAACAGGTTTTTAAAAGTTTCCGGGCCTTTTCCGAGAAACGGGCCACAGGCTATTGGGAGCTCCCAGTTGTTCGAAGACCGATTAGCGCTAACCCAGGGCTAAATTTTGTCCCAGGGCCGAGTAGTTCAAAGCCGGGTTGAGATAACCCAGGGTTAGTGCGAGATTTGAATTCAGATTTGAAAGCTTAAAAAGCATTTCAGTTTTAATTCTTTTTGTGTGCAAGTTGATGATTGAAAGCTCTAAATATAACAGAGGAAATTATCCGAGAAAATGCTTTTGAACACAAGAAAGAGAAACCCGGGTAAAATTTAACCCCGGGTTAAGCGCTAATCGGCCTTCGAACAACTGGGCCCAGGTTTCTATTTCTTTTGTTCAAAAGCATTTTTCAGAATAATTTTTTCGATTCTTTTTACAGCATCAAATCATCCAATTGTGGACAAAAAGAATAAAACTGAATTTGCTTTTTAAACTTTCATATCTGAATTGAAATTTTGTACTAACCCTGGGTTATTTTAACCCTGCTTTGAACAACCCAAACTACTCCAATGTACAGTTAAGTTGTCCAAGCGAAAATTTACAAATAGACCCTTTCTGTTGTAGGCGAGTTTATTGATGTTTATGCTGCCGGCGGTGGACTAGAAGGACCATCAAGTGTCAGGTAAATGGGAAAAAAGCTCTTGCAGCCAGTGAAGTGCCGTGACCCACTGATTTTTTCAACAAGAATTCTACCTAAAATGGATCATTCCAATTGATTTCGTAAGATTCTTCCAGTTGCCGGAAAGATTTTTATCCCCATAAAAGAAGACCCTCAGTGCGTTGTCTCTCACTCAGACGTTAGTTGTTGTAACGTAATGTCTGTCAGCCAGCGGGAGTATTCGCATTGAATATTCCGCCGGTAGCTGATTAAAATCACGCAGCTAGCAAGAATTGTACCTTAATAAAGTTTTTACCAGCCAGCTAAAACTCAGCCTGCGGAACGGATATTTTGTGGAATTGCTCCATTGGGTACTTCTGAGTGTTCTTACGTTTTGATTCTAAGACGAGAAGAAGTACGAAATTTTCTCAATTTCAAGTAGGGCGTGAGCGTGAACCAGCGTCATTTTGACGGGAAAATATGGAAGCCGTCGTCATTCTACGACGAGTTTTAGCGAGCATGTCGTAGTGGCGGCGGAAACAAGTTTAAATGTTGAAAGTTTTATCATTTTGCGATTGGGAGAGGGTATAACTCCCTTTAATAAAGATAACAGTGCTAACTGTTCAGGTGAATCAAAAGTACAACGAAGTTTTCCGGGTTGTCTTTTTTTTGAGAATACGCGAGAAAACGTTAAGTCAAATCTCGTACTAGGTAGTCGTTCTCGTCCTTGAATATAAAGGTCTTTAATACGACCTAACGTGCACCCACAGTTTTATAATGAAACTGACGTAACTTTTTTATGTCTCTTTTGTACAGTTTTGCTGACGTGCGAACTCTTTACGCAGCCAGTTATGATAGTGACCGAGTGGTGCTGTATAATAGTACCTCAGGATTTTCTTACACTCTTCCTGGAAAACGAAATGAGCAGCCTGGAAATGGTATGTACAATTATGACGTAAGATCCATTTTAGTAGCCTCCGATGCAGACGTTCTTAGGAAGGCGTGAACGAACCCCTTAGAACAGGTCATGACATTCCTGGTTGTACAGTGACTCGTTCATACCCGTTTTAATTCTGATATAGGAGTCATATTTTTTGCAGGAAATTTCTCAAGTATTTGGCTAATCTGCGACTAAGCTCTCCCTTTATGGCGAGCGCAGCGAACCGCGAGAGAACTCGCGTCTCCTTTCGCGTGCTGCTCTCGCGTGACTTCTCGCAACTCCCCCAAATGGACAGCCAGCCCACGCACTCGTCTAAACCATTTGTATAGTCCGTCGACGCTCTATACAGAAGGTTTACAGCGTCTGCGACGCAGGCAAAAGAATTTGTCGCCAAAAAGAATTCCTACAGATTGCGTAAAGCCTTTCTCATGTTAGCCTGGAACAGGCTCCAAGATAATGGGAAAAGCGGATCGAAAAGTGTTGCGCCAAAACCGCGTGGTGGCGGGGGAGAGACTGTTCGCTCGCTTTTTTTCGCTAAATCCGCACTGACCGAGAGCCTGGTACGGGCTAGTCCATAACGTCAGCCTTAGGTCAAGACAAATTTCCATCCCCGCCTGTGTTGGTGTAAGTAGGGCACGAGGTGTTCACGTGTAAACTTAGGCTCATCGAATAATTCTGAATTTTTTCAAATGTCATTCATTATTGTTATTGTTGTCTTTCAGGTTCTTTCAGGAATACAACCCGAGACAGATAACGATTACTTACCATTTATTTTCCAACGAATTTTAAATACTATCAAAGATTTTCAAGAGAGAATAAAGAACGGTCCTTTTTCTTCTTTTGGGAATTTTCATCATGTTTATAGTACATGTACCTCTGTGAGTGGTAGATATATTAATTTTAGCGAACAAAGTCGTGTTTTACTCACATTTACTCACTCCGATCTGTGCTGTCGGCCTAACAGAATACATCACACTTTTAAAAATCGTTCAACAATTCATCTTTATTGTGGAAACATAGTTTATTTAATATTTTTCAGTCACTTGAAAATAAATAAATAAATAGTATTCCATCGATTAGTCCGGTGTTTTAAAAATTTTATCGCAGTTTTTTAACTGCCTTATGGCGTTCGTGCTTCTCAATAGCTTTCTTTCACGAATTATTTTATACGTTCATACGAAAATGAACGGTATGAATATATTTAAAACAATTTAATAACATGACCAGTTCTCCTCTAGCCCGAGTGGCCCTTAAAGTGATCTGTATTAAATATCCCCAGCAGCATTACTGTTTATTGCGAGTTTATTCAATCAGGGAAGTAATGAGAATAAATATGTATGATCAGTCAGGATAATCCTCTCGCCACAAGCGATGTTTCCTTCGTTTTTATAGGTGCGTTTTGAAGTCTCCCGCGTAAAGAAGCTGCGTTTCCATCGCGATGGGTCGCCGCGAAATCGCCTATGTTTTAGAATTCTGATGCCACTCGTTGGAAAATTACTACGGCACGAGTTGCCAAAAACAAACCTTGGGTCTCTTAGTGGATCAGACTTAAATAAGATACGCCTTATGCTGCTTGAGAAATTGCATTAAAAGTCAACAAGAAATGGTCACGAATTTGATGGCCAACCAATTTGGTGACCAATCTTATTCATTCAAAATGGCTGTTTTTAAGGGTGTTTTTATAGGCCTCGGCTTCATCTCCACAAAACGCAAAACCATAACCTAGCCTAGTTTTATTGTAACCGGAAAAAACTCATCTAGATGGACGGGAGCTAGGTTTTTTTTTAGTTCCATTGATCGTATACTTCGGCATTTACTTCGTTTACCGGACACAGATCACGTAAAACAAAAGAAAAGAAAACACCAAGCAGATTTTTCCCTGAACAGAAAACAAAGAGGTCTTTTGTTTTACGTCATCCTTATCCGGTACACGAAGTTTTGACCTAGGGCGCTTTCCATTCAACAAAATTCCGGTTTGAAATTTCGGAAATTTCACGTGCCAATGGAACTGTACATATCCGTTGCACGGACCCCACCCAAGCCACCGCGCATTTGGCCATTGTTCTTGTCATAATACATAAGAGCGGTACTGGGGACCACGATTTTGTCAAAGGGAAAGGGGCATTTCGGTCCGACCGACCGACCGAAATGACCAGTCCGGTCAAAGTGGACCATCTTCAAAGCTGGTCCTGAATATTCTGGTCGGACCAAACCGAAATAGTCCGTCCCATTCGATGTACCAACGGAAATTTCCTGAATTTTGGGTTGAATGGAAAGCCCCCCTATACTTCGCAGAACGAAGGTCTGCCGGGATTTCGATGGCCCCTCGATCTTTTTAGCACATAACACTCGGAAGTCGTATAGAGGGTCATTTTTTAAATGGGTCTAGTTAGATAGGGACTTTATTAGGGACCACTTGAATGACCATGCTCTATTAAGTCCTTGGGATCAGATTGAATCTCGGCAGCAGGCTCTATCGGCAGGTCTGGGTTATTTTGAGCCACTTGCTTGTACGTGTGTGTAATGGCGGCTAAAATAAAAATACAATACAATAATTCAGAAAACTAGCTTTAAACAGGTGTTTGAAATGAAAATCAATAGCGAATAAAATAAAAAAAAAAAGACAAAAGGATTCAACCAGGAACGCCTGATACTTGCCCTTCATAAGAAACCCAGAATGCCCATGTATAGGATTGCCAAGGGCTATACGAGCCGTGCTAGTGTTACGTAATAGAGTGTAGGGAGAGAATCAGGAATGCTATTCACATTCAGCGGTGTGTACGGTCAAGTCCAAAAAAGCGAATAAAAACATATGACGAGGGACGTTGCATCTCATTTTCTAAGGAAAATACGCGTCATCTTTCAAAAGAAATTCCATTTAGTTACACACTGACCTCTGAAACAAAGTTAAATCCGCGATCACGCTTGTAAAGTAGTCTCCCGCTAGAATCCCAACTTTGTTTTTTCCAGGTCGACAGATTTGTTTCTGTTTCAGTTCTACAGGAACTTTGAATTTCTAAAACGCTTAACAATGGTTGTAAAAAGAAAAAGAAAATGAAACTGACAAAAAACCTGTGTCGATCAAGTGAAACGTAATGAACATAATTCAAGCACCAAAACTTCAAAACAACTGAAAATTTTCACTTTGTTATGGCAAAAAAAGCTGCTTAACAAAGGATAGTTTTTTTTACACGCCTTTTTTAAATTCAACCAGTACAACATTTACTACCCCTCAAAGACAACAAAATTATGAGAATTTTATTATGGTGTTGAGCTATTTGTCTTATTTTCATAACGGTGACTACAAGCTTCAATAAATCTGACATAGCCTTTGATAAGGTGAGAAAAGATTACAAACACGACGCCAATCACACTCGTATTGACCGCGGGATATGAAGGATAATACAAAGGGCGGGTGAAATATTATCAATAATTAAACGCACGCGATGAAGCAATCATTGTATTATCATACGCTGCTGAGATCCGATATATGTTGAAATGAATTGTTGAAATGTAAATAGTTAAAAGGAGCTTTTTTTGATGACTGTCACGACCTTACCACTTAGTTTGGTGGAAACATAATCAAGCACACGATGCCGGACGCCCACTAACACGCGATGAGTATATTGCTGCACAAACCGTAACATATTCACTTATAATTGCACCAGCGCAATAGCTTGGGAGACGGAAAAGCTTTACAGAAAAAACACTAAAAGCGCATATCGATGACATCTTTCAAAAACTCACACACCCACGTAAAACATAATACTCTGGTTTTCTTTCTGGCAAGTTACAAGCCATTAAAAACTGTCACAGCTTACTTTCCATACTTCAATTATTTTCTTATTGTTGTTTTTTCCTTTTCTACAGAGCAAAGGCATAACGAATCTACTTTTAATTTCTTTTTCCTTTTTTTGCATAGGAAATTGGGATATAATATTGCTAGTGAGGTTATACAATCTACTTGACCCGTTAAAAGATTTCGGACGGATGAAAAATTAGTCACACATGTTGAAAACAACAAAGGACGAAAGGACAGGTGAATTAAGGGCCCGAGGGAAAACTCGCCATAATGCCGATACGGGGACTCGGAGGCCCCGCCCTAAAGGAGTTTCTTTTTCAGGCCCAAAATAAGTAAGTAGGGGAGCAAGGGTGGCGCAGTAGTGGGAGCGCTCACCTCCCACCAATGTGGCCCGGGTTCAAATCCCGGCGTTGACGCCATATGTGGGTTGAGTTTGTTGTTGGTTCTCCTCTCTGCTCCGAGAGGTTTTTCTCCGGGTACTCCGGTTTTCCCTCTCCTCAAAAACCAACACTTCCAAATTCCAATTCAATCTGGAACGCACGGACACGTTTAAACGAGTTCATATGACCTTCCATGTGCTTCGTGGGTAAACAAGCTTTTTTTTTATTTTTAAGCTTTTGAGAATAGGTGGTGTAATTCTTCAAGGTCAAAATTCCACATTCTTTATAAAACATAGGACTGGATGTTGAAACTGGACATGTTCTTCTTATTTTTGTTTTAATTTTTTATCTATTAGCAGATCAGGAAAAATGTTTCCTGATGTCTTTTATCCAAATTAAAGGAAAAACTATGCGAAGAATGGCTTTGATCTGAATTGCCTCCCTTTATATGAGACCTAAAACTTAAAACTTTCGGTCAGGGCTTAAAAAGCGTCAGGAAAATAAAATAAAGAGAAAGAGAGTATTTTGCTTGACCGCTTTCAATTAGTGCGCTCGCGAGAGAAGGCGTATAAACGAGAGGGTATTTGGGAGGGGAGGGTTTGGAGGGAAGGAAACAGTTAATATGGCATTCCGCACCGAGGGGAAGAGGGGTCAAGGGCGCCAATATCTGGGTCAGTAGTTCATCAGTAAACTGCTTGAGGCAGTCATTTCGTGTGAGAGTATCTGTAAGAGTATCCAGGACATTATTGCGCAGTTCAAAAGTACTTAAACATTAAGCATGCTCAACTTACAAGATTTCCTTCTTGATGTTCGCATGGAGGACGACCGAGCAGTGGAAGATGACCTACTAAATGAGCGTCTTGATATAGTGCTGAGGCGAGTGATAGCGGACCTGAACATGCCTTCCTCGGATGGTTTAAAGCAGGAAAAGACCTTTCCAAGGGAAGATGCATAGCCGTCCCGGTATTTACTCATAGTCCACAGACAAACGCAGTGATTTATTAGAGGATCCAGGGTTGTTAAGACCAACACCACTTGATCAAAATACTGGTTATGCCAGTTGAAAACGTATAAGATGAGAATGCGCATCTACAAAATTAAACGGATCAAATGTTGTAAGTTACACCTGGCTCAGTCGCTCCACGTAAGAGAATCCGGATTCCGAAAACCGAGAAATTTCTGCTTTTGGAATCCGGAATCCGGGAAAATTTTTGCTCGTGGAATGGGGAATCCTGAGCTTTGGACTCCGGAATACAGCTCAGGAATGTGGAATCCAAGTTCCACTGACAAACACTGGAATTGTGGAATCGAGAATCAAAGCCGACTGTCTTGGATTCCCTTACAAGGTGCAACTTTAGGAACCAACGGGAGATGCGTTGTTGTACAGTAACTCTCCTTAAGACCGATATCACTGAGAACCAAGTGTTTTTTCTTACTAGAGACGGAAAAGTCGCCGACCTTATAGAGGGTCAAACAAAATTATTATTACAACAGACATGCAGTTGCTTCTAAGCAATAATAATAAGAGTCTTGCGCTCTACATTAGAGAACTGCTCAACGGTATGAGTCCATATTGAAAGAGATACATTTACTTGTTGGAGTAATTTTAAATAAAAGCATATAAATGCGCTTTGGGGCGCGTACAAAACACAATTTGTCGTAAGACGAACGACGTGTCAAACTGCTTATTCGACCAAACGTAGTTGGAGAGTACATAGAGTTTTTCCTTCATTTTACCCCTTTCCTTTTGGCGTGTTTTTTGATCGTTTTATCGAGTTAGGGAATTTTTATGCCGGCGTTTTGTCAGTCCAAATAAGGAACATTTTACCTTATAACATAGGTTGAATATTTACCAGAAACTCATAAGGGTCTCTGTATTCACCTAGTCAAATTCAATAGCGCGAGTGTGTTTCATATTTCCATTGAGCACGCTGATGACGTCAATAAACTATACCTGGAGTTCTTGAGAGCTTAGCAATCCACCCAAGACGTCTCCCAAGTGCATCCATAACTCAACAGTTCACGATGAAGCGTTCACCATGTGTTTTATAACGTAAATTTAAGAGAAAACTTTTGAATTTGGTAACAGATAGTTGGGAAATATGACTAAATGCACAATTAATGATCATTTAGATCGCGGACTGCTTGAAGCTGAGAAGCTAAGTGACGAAAACCACGCGAGTGCAACTTTTTTTTGCCTAGGAGATTTGAGCGGCTTTTAGAACATGCAATTAATTATCAAAGGTGTTGGTGTTTACTTTATTTTTGCTGTATGTCTATGAAAGAGAATCGTTACACAGTTTGAGACTGAGTCACAGTCATTCACTCATACAGATGTGGCTGTGATGTGTACGGGTCTTCTAAGTGTTTTGTGAAAAGAGGGAATGTTGTTTTTGTATATAATTTTTTTCTTTTTTTTCAATTAAAATGTAATTGCCTCGATTTTGTGCGAACGTGTACAAAGTTGGGTAAAGATTCTTGAGGAGGGCAAACCCCGGAGACAAACAACTCTACGCGATTTAATTAGAGAGAGATAAGTTAAGTGCCAGGCCGAGGATGGAGAAGGCTCTTGTACGACTCTTGTATTTAAACTAGAATGTAAACCTGTCCACACGGTTTCTTAAACTAGGAAAAAAATTCACAATATTGCCAATTTCAATCAGCAACCATTTTTCCAATATACGAAATTTCATGGATGTTAATTGCACTTTCTTCTCCGCCGCGGTCTAACAACTTCCTCATCGTCGTCGGCTGCGGGCGTTAGAATTAACCGTGCAGATAACTGACCCTGAAAAACGCAGCTTCGGAAGAGAGATATCGAAAGCTTAATATATACTGTTTCCGCTATATGTGGCGGCACCTTAGTTGCAAAAGCTGCTAACAATAATAAGCCTTAAACAAAACCAAAATTCAGACATTACCAAACCGTTTTCGCAAGAGAGCAGTAAAACCGTGGCGAATGCCATTCTGTGATATTCAAGATGGTCCCATATGTTTAGTCTTAGGAAGAAACCGGCGTCTCCCATTGGTCGAAAAGTTTTAGTGCTAAATGCGGGGGCGAAAGAAAGCAGCTACACTTCACAAGCTACCATCTACAGAGTTATTATGATAACTCATATAACACTAGCGAAGGCATTAAGTGCTTTCACTAATGAGTCAGACTAAAAGCAGTTTTCAGTCTATTTTTCAGTCGGGTTTTCTCTTTCTTCGCTTTACCATGGAGCGATCGGAAATTACTTCAACTAATGCACCAAAACGTAGGATGTTATATTGTTCGAGTTGTAAGTTGTACGATTATCAAGGCTAGAGTGTGGAGCAGGAAGGACGCCTTGATCTTATCTTTTTACAAATTGTGAATTTGCTAACGGCACTTCAGTCTGAAAATCTAGATATGAAAAAATAATAGCAAAGCAAAGTAGTAGTGCTAGATTGAAACCTGGGAGATCGGGCGCCCCTCTCTCTCTCTTTTCCTAATCATCACATAAGCAGATAGAAATAGGCGCGAGCACTGGAGAAATTTAGCTTTGCCAAGAAATCTTTTAGCGTTTTAAAATGAAAAACAAAGAAAATCCAATAACACATTGAAATCGAACTATTTCAAAAAGCACTGCATTCCCGTGGTACATTTTTAATTTTTTCTCGACTGGACTAACTGGGGTTTTGAAAAAAATGGAGGCTGAATTTGGACACTTGATCTTTCAGAAATTGAGAGTTAGATTAGGTCGCGGGAGTTCTTTAAATTATAAAATATTAATAAATTCTCTCAGCAAACAGCTAAGTATACAAATTATTTTGGTGATAAATTCCTAGATTGATTAAAACTGAAAGCAATAGCAAAGCGTCAAAAAATGCGTGCAGAAACTTGCGCTAGCTAGGACAATCAAACGATTACGTTGCTCAAAACAACAAGAACCGTGAACACCTAATTGCCGACTAACACACTGACATCGCATAAAAAAAAATTATCATAATTTCAATTTACGAAAGTGTGGTGAAAAAAAAAATCAAAGTACATTTATTTATTTAATGGTCTCAGACTTATCGACACGTTTCACTTCAGCGGGTAAAAACGGTACGACTTTAACGGCTTCATACGACAGAAAATATTCACGATGTATTTAAAATTCAAACAGCTGCCAAAATAGTTAAATCGTGATAAAGATGGGCACAATTGGCTGCTAAAGTGATTTGGCTCTAGTTCACAGAGGTTTAATGTTCTTCTTTTTCTATGAATTATATACGACGCATCTTAGGAGACATAATTATGTCGAACCTTCATATCACGAAAACAAATCATAACGCGTTAAAGAAACTCTAAAACGGAATAAATTTCAGTCAATTTTCCGGACGAGCCATTAATAAACTTCTGAATAAACTTCGTGTTCCACTGTTTTTAGGAAGCAAGCTTTAATGTTTCGCGATAGTTCACCCACTTGAGTTATCGTCAACCAAATTCGCGATGGCATCGTTTCCAAGGAAGCCTGGCTGATAAACGCGGCTTATTTAAATATTACAGCGATTGTTCCAACCGCCGAAACAGCTAAACGCGCCGATTATTCGACTGAAGAGCTTGTCTTTAAACTTCAATTTAATTCTGTGACGCAAGAAGAACGAGATTGCCGATTTGTGCTGTTTCAGATAAGAAATACCTTGCGGATATAATTATTCTGTTGCGTTCTGTTTCATCATCAAACTCTAGGATTGGCTCTTGAGTAAACACTAACATTCATTTTCTCGACTCGCTTTTGTTTGAAGCTTATGTTTTCTCCACTTTACATCTGGTAAGAAGACCATTCGCAACAACCAACCAAAATATTAATTTTCACTGACCTTAGAAGTTTCATTTAATTATCTTTCAAATTACGGTCGCAAAAAGAAAACAAAAATAAGGGGAGATCGCATCAGTATTAGTTTATAACTCTAAGGTATATATCGACAGAAATCCAAACAAAGTAATGAAAGGTTTGGTTCCATCCACATTTACCTGCTGCCGTTACGCAATGATTTTCAATGATTTTTTCGTCGCAACTTTTATAAAGTTTATTGTTTCATCATTTCGATGAATATAGCAAGCCACATGCACTTTACAGAACTAAAAAAATCACCGTCCTTCTAAAGCCACCCTAATTTGTTTAAGACTATTTTTTTTGGCGTTCAAAAATTCCCTGTTTTAGTCAACCAAAGATGCTGAATTCAACCTAAAAGAAACAAGTGAATTTTAAGACAAGATGTTTTATTTTTTCCTGCGTTTTCAGCTTAAATTTCCGGCCACTTGAAGCGAGGCAGCTTGAAGCTAAAAAGAAAAACGAAAGAAATGCTGAACGGTTCCCGCTTATGGTAAAGATCGCAGTGAAACCAGTCTAATGCTTAATCCAAATGCGCGCCAAAAAAGTTACAATAACATTGACTTGGCGGAATCTATAATAACCTTTACAAACAAAACATAAATAGCAAAGCCACGCGCTGAAATATAGGGTGTTAAAGCAAGTTTCGAGCTAACGTTGAAGATGAAAAAAGTAACAACTTACCAGAATGGTAGTCCAGCATACTGAATAGCATACAGCCATCAAAGCAACCATCTTAGCAAAGCTCACACAGGCCGAGGTGTTGGAACTTTTAACTCGAGCGCCCTTCTCTGGTTTGCTGTCTTGGTCATAAACGTCCGAGAGTGAATTCTTCTCGAGCACGTGCAGCGTGTACACCACAGTTATGTTAGAGACCACCATAAGAAGAACGGACAGGACGTAATGAGCTGACATTACATAGACTACTACCTTGGTATCTGTGTTGTGTGTGTCCAATGTGTAGCTACAGACGCCGGTTGAGACGTTCAACTCGACATTGTTGAGCGCTTGAGGAAGAATGGCAAGTAAAAACGAATACACCACTAGAGAGATGAGCAAAACCACACACTTGTGAAATGTTACCCGTTCCTTGTAACAAAAAGGGAACACCATGGCGCCTAATCTCTCCAAACTCATTACTACCACAAGGGAGATTGTAAGCGTACCGAAAAACAGGACTCCAAACGCGACGAAACGGCAGACGCCAGCGTCCCACGACCACTCGCCGTTAAATCGTGAGGTGATAAACGGAATATACTGAAAACAAGCGATTCCCAAGCCAGCTAAAGACAGCGCACCGACAAATAGATGAGGGATCTTCTTCAACGAGGGCTTGCGGACTTTCAGATAGGTATAGTGAAGGGCAAGAAGGTTCAAGAGGAGTGTGATGGCAAATATGATAAGAACTATAACTCCTACAAGTTGGTCTTTCCATGATACCGAATTGTCGCTCCTTGACATCTTCTTAAAGCCACTTACTTCAAGAAAATTAGCAGGGTGAAAACCCTCGTATACACGCCTGAAAATCGCAACCAGCGATAAGTTCGACAATTCTCCACTTATTCTTGATCACGACTTTACTCATCGGCGCGAAATCCAGGAACCGACGGCGAGTGAGTGCGCTGCGAAACGATGGAGAATTTCTGCTCCATGCCCGAACTACGGCGCAACGACAGATTTCGATAACTTGGCGCAATCTCAACAGATGTGCGTTTTTGTGAGCATCTTGTCTGGAAAGTGGAATGAATGAAGTGTCGTATTGATAGCTATTTTATGACACTACTTATACAGTGAATTTGTATTTTCAATAGTATCGTGCGCGCGCTCTTGTTGAGTGACGTGTAAGGACCTCTGACCACCTACGCACGGCGCATTAAAATGCTTATTATTTCAACGAGCAATTATTTCAAACCAACACTACAATTTTCTATCAGAAAACTGGAAGCTTACTAAATAATCCTTTTATCGTTGCTGAAAATCACGGCGTAAATAAGGCACTCTTAGAATTGAAGTTGTAGAACATGAGCAACGGTGGGATTTTCCGAGTATTACCGGCCAACACAACTAGTTAAAGATTCTTGTTTTTTATGATTTTATATTTATGAAAAGGATAAAACACTCAAGCGAAAGTCAAAACATTCAAAATAACACGCCATTAAACACATCAAATCTCCATTTCCAAGAGAAAAGCCACG